ACACAGAATTTAACATTTTGTGCTTTGCTTAATTTTGATGCAGTGTATCATTGGGTGCTAACACTAACTAGTTGTGTGTGATGGTACTGGCCAGAAGTAGGTTGTGTCACATTACAAAGCTTCGGTTTGTGCAGTATCCTGGTAAAATGTACACATTTTTAAACACACTCTGTATCAATGTCTTTGAGAAAATCTGAAATCTGAAGCCCTTAAGTCAATTAAGTCAAATACAAAGTAGCCTTAAATTCCCATAGAAGCAAGCAATAATACAAAATTGATGTGTAAGATCTTTGTCATTCATTACTGTTACATATTTCCTGACTCAAATTTCAAATCATTTTAACATTTCACACCTGCAGAGTTCTTGCATTACTATTTGATGGTCATAAATAAATACCAGTTTCAACAGCCCCATTCATTTAGGACTGCAATGATGCAGGATTTATCAATGTATCACACTATATATACAGTATAGCATACCATAGGTAGGACACCAAACTGTCGCCTTAAAACAGTTAATATCCAGGCAAATCCTGATATTGACAGTCTGCTGTCATGCGTGTGATTTCACCATTTTTGCCTTTAGTGAAAAAAGTTGCCCTGTAAATAGGAAGCCGCTTTTGCTGTTATTCCAGAAGGTCATGCTACTCCAGTCCCAGATATTCAGATCCTACAGTTCATCCCTTGGGTCACTGAATAAAATAAGACGAGCAGAAAAACGGTTAGAAAAGCATTTAATAATTAATTATATTACATAACCATGTTGTTCTTGTATTCATTATGGTCTGTATGGAGGATTCATAGTATCATCTAGGCATCGTAATGTGGCATGACAGACAACTATGAAATTACACAGGGATAAAAACAGCAAGTCAATGATCATAAATGTATAAGGACAAAATCGAAAACAGCATACAGCTTAATGCAGCATAAAAAGCTTAGTGTTTTAATGTTCTTGAACACTTCTGCTCTTTGCAATGAAGAGAATTAAGTCAAATTCATTGAAATGCAATGCAAACACTTACACCACAGGCATGATCATAGTGTCCCAAAACAGTGATGCTGAAGCGTCGATTGCAGCCACGAAAACCACAAACAAGACGACGACCTGCATTTTCATGGAAGTCATACTGCTGCCGTGTATGTTTTTTTTTCTATTAAATCACTTTTCGAATTGATAAAGTAACACAGAACATAATATAACGGAATGTGTCTGTGATACCCAGATGAGGTCAGTTAATGTAAAGTTCATATTTTCTGGGTTTTGTGTTCATTGCCTCATAAGATTCCCCTTTTTACAGAGCATGGAGTGGTCTATGGTAATCACTGACCTTAATATTCTGCGGATACAGCACTATTATGCTTTAATTCATCATAATGAGGGCTTCAAGGGTAGTGAGGACTTGCTATTGGCCCTTGCCATGGTAGGCCTATCCAAAAAATTGAATTACAGAAAAATCTGGTAAAGTTTTAACCATTGCCTTTGGTTGCCAGTGGATAATGTTTTGTCTTAAATAGTTTGTTTTTAACTGAAAGACAGTAATAGTCTTTCTAAAATAGTAATTCTAAAAATAGCACAACTTCTGTATGTAATCAGAATGAATATAATTCTTAAAAAACGTGAATGCTTTCCAGTCTGTTTTTAAAAAAATTTTAAAAGCTGCAGTGTCACCCTAAATCGTGAAAGGAAAGTTTTAGCCTGTGCATAATTATGTGTCCTTCACAAGTCTGGCAGCTGGTCAGACATACTGAATAAAAAAATACATCTCTTAAAATGTGGGATTAACTTGGATTAGGCAGGCGAATGTTAATTCCTCTGGAAGCTGTGCCAAGGACATTAGCGTGCCCATCCGACCTCATCCTGCCACTGCGTGACATTCACATTTTCTTTGCCTGAGAATCGGTCTCAGCTCATTTGCAAGGTATCTGAGGAGACTCTCCACCAAAACAAACACCAGCCATATTTGAGAATTTATTGGAAAAAGGAGCATTTTCTTGGCTTGGAGAAACAGTTCTAGTCTAAGATAAATTGATGTCCGCTTGGATTGAAATGCTGACTCAGTAGCAGGACACGACATGTGCTGTTTTAGGTGACTATCCTCTCCTTCCTCTCACCTCAATGTCTATTTTAAAGCCAATAATATGTATGTATATCTATGCGTCTGCTTGTAGGATCGATGTGGTTCAGCTCCAATAAAATAAAATAACCTTTCCATATCCATGGCTCTTAACATGTTTTTCCAAGGGCCATAATGGCGTTTGATTCTGGAAACGGTGCAGGGTACAGCTGCTGGTGCGGTGCAGGGTACAGCTGCTGGTTCATCTGTACCTGATGCAGCTTCCGAGCACATGCTACTGCTAACGATCCCCGATATACTGGGTTCCACGTGTCACCCCTAATTAGGGCAGGACATCAGGGGAGCCAGTCATGGTAATGCATGGCTCTAGCACTGAAGATGCATGTTAATAGATGACGCTGCTATCCTAATGGAAAAGACTTTTTAGAGGATCATATGGCTAAGAAGATAAAGGGCTTCTGGCCTGGGGCTGTGGGAGTGTCATCTGATACCCTTTAATAAATGACATTATATGATGGTGCAATAATGACGTGGGAAGTCAGCGGACAATTATTTATGCAATTTTAAAAGACTTATAAAGGCAGATGGTGGGGTGACAAACAACCTCACATGGCAATCAAAGAATTTTATTCAATACTAACTGCAGTTTAGGAGCTGTATACAAATATAAACATGAGAGAAATAATCAGTGATATTAAATGAGTATAAGAATGAATAACCTAATTATGGATTATAAATCATTATTTAAGCAACAAAGACAGCCTAGGTGCATTGCACCCTTAGCTTTACTGTGAGCATTCCTGGTGTTTAAAACTCACAGAAATGAAGACCGGCACCATCACTGATTATTCTCTCTCTCTTTCTCGCACTCAGCTGTCATCTGCAATGTCAAGCTGAACCATGCCTGTGTGTTGCTGTGGAGACGTACTCAGCTACCAGACCCTAAAGAACTCTGGGGAATATTATAGGAACAGATGTCAGCTCAGTGGCCTGGATGCTTATTGATTATCTCATACATTACAAAGACGAGGCCAAGTGAGACGGCACTACAGTAAGGACAAAGGTACAACAGACCCTGTAGAGTCAGCAGCACAGGTGCACAACAAAGGAACAAATGTGGTTTCCACCCAGCATATTTCTAGATAGACCTATATCTAGATCTAAATAGCTGAATATATTTGTAGTGTTTTGGAATTACAAATGTGTCTTCTCCTGTTAACTGAAATCCACTTTCAAAAGACCAAATATTGAGATACTGCCAATCAAAATATTTGTAATTTGTGGACATAATGTTTTGTGTAGTTTGTGTAGCTTTAAAACGGTTAGACAAAAGAAAAAAGGCGACTCTGTACTAGATAATCAATTGGAAGATGGATGGATAGATGGATTTTGTTACTTTGAAAGATTCTGAATCGCAATAGCTCACCAATCTATTATTCTGGGCGAGATGCCAAACTAACAACCAAATTCAAAATTGTCATTAAGGATGCTTTGGGGCTAGTAAAAAGACCAACATGCAGGGTAATTCGACACACTGCAGTCAACCTTAAAATTGATGAAACCAAATTGACAGTGAAAAGGCTGTAGTGGAGTAATATGACCTAATGCAAAGCATTCTAGTTTCTAAAACAAGGCTGATGTTTAGCCATTTTATGGATTACTACACAAACACACCAGTCACGGCAAAAGCACATTAGGGAAGTGCAGAGTGGAAGCGAGGCTGCATTACGGTGCAGCTGTAAGGGGCAAGACAGAAAGGAATAGAATGACTGTGTAGGCGATGGAGCAAAATGTTATGCGGCTCAATGAGCCGTTGCCCTGGAAGCCAGCAGAGAGGCCACTGTACACGAGCCATATTCAGTGCCACATGACATCAGCAGATGCTGCTTCTGAGCGCGCGACATGCACTGCACCCTTCACTCTCCACACGGCTCAGAGTTCAATACAAGAAAATAATTTCCAGTGTTCAGCTCGTCTACTTCACTTCCACACTCTGCCCGCTGTTTCCTTCTTAATTATTACCTGAACTTCGTCTATCCCTGATAGATGCCCCCCCAGGCATGAGGAGGTGGGGGTATCAGTAACCAGGAGAAAAACACGCATCTCAGGGTGTGTTTGGAAATATCTCAGTGTGTAATAATGTGAGTTCTGATTTAGAGGACTGCAGTAGCCCTGCTCTGCATTCACATCATATAATACTGCTGAGCAGATATTAATAAAGCAATTAATAAATAAGCAAGTTCCTCCAAGATAATAATGATTCTGAATCTGAATAGGATATACACTTTCCTCGTTGCTAGACATTTACAAGACTGTCAGTATAGTTTGGCATGAGAATTATGGTTGATTTTGACCTGAATATTACAGGACTTTGGATTACATAACGCTTGTGCTTTTAAAAAAATTTACTATTGCTTTTTTTTACTTTCTGCATTTAAAAGTCATGTTTGTAAGTCACTTATGTAAGGAAATTAGTGTCTCACAATTTTCAATCACTAGTATCCATACTTAATGTGACCATATATACTTATTGCAAGAACATTCAACAGAAGCTTACCATGGTCGAAGACCCAGCAGAGGTTGTTATGTGCGACCTCCTACACTGACTTGTCCTTCATCAAGTCCACCCACAGATATTCCCAGGTAGAAGGAGAGTTAAGTGCAATGCAGTCAAAGCTTATCTACAGTTAGCTCTTTACTGTAGAAAATGAGTCTAGGGTCAGCAAGACTTTGGAGATACAAGTATCATGAGTAATTCCTTGCTGCTAGGTCTTCAGAGCAGAAACGTAATTATTTGCTCCGGCATAACAATCAGTAGCACCATACAAATAACCTGCAATTAAAATGAAAAAAATTAAAGCTAAGTTAGAAGGAAACTTACATGTTGGCAACAGAAATGACAAAGATGCAAACGACAAAATATGATTTTATTTATTTTTTTAATAACTTTTTCATTTTAGGTTAGTTCCAGCGCTTATATAAAAAAACATTATTAATGTCTTTAACATATATACAAACAAGGTATACTGTGCAGATTAAAAATAGTTTCTCTCTCTCCGGTAAATACAATATAGATTGACATTTTTAAAAATATAAGCAACCCCTCCACTTTGTAAATAAACCCCCAGTAACAATCTTACAGTTGGGAAAGGGAGGAGTTGCTATGGAGATCTGCAAAGTTATACGACAGCAAAAAAATATTTAATGACACACAAGTGCTTGTACTGATTTAAGCCAGAAATATCGAAAACCTTTGCACAAACATTTACATCAAGTTCTTCACATATAATACTTTCTGAAAAACACAGCCAAAAATGTTTATTACATGAGAACAACAAAACATAATGACTGAGCTCAGGTACTTGTGTCATGATCTCCTGAGATGCTTAAATTCTCAAGACCCTTAGAAAGTAGTAACTGAGGCAAAGTTATTTTTGTTCTGCAATTCATCACACTAAGGTGCCAATTCCCAATGTTGGCCATGGAGGAACATTTAGTTTAACGACACATGGAGCATATTGCCCACGACACTGATTAGACCTCCTGCAAACTGGTAACACCCATTTAACACCCATTGAAACTATGAAACTGCATTCAACCTCAGTGGAACCCATAAAACTTTTAGATCTAGATAAATCAGAAAACCAAGTCATTCTAACGTTCATTAGAAAAATCATATCTTTGCTCAGTGTTACAGAAATAGGACCAAACAGCATAAGGTTGTGTAGCACAGCACTGGTGTGCAGTCAATGTCATAAGCATACACAACACATACCTCAAATCTATATGTTTAATACTTGAAACATCTTTTAGTTTTTCTTTTTCTTCAAAAAAAAAAAAAATCACCGCAATGGTCCAATGTTTCAGTTAGCAGGAGATGTACAGCAGACCATATACTATATAAACAGAAATAAATGGTTCCGAGTTAAATGCTGCTGAAATCCTCTTTCAAAAGTAATAATGGTTTACCTACAGGTAAATACTTAATTAGTTTGAAACTGACTTTCTGTTGCAAGCTACGGGAAACTAATGACAAATAAAACACATGACTATGTTACTAAAACATAGTAATAGAACTTGCTTGTTGCACAAAATATAAACAATGTATACATCGCACTTGACATCACCTGTGGATTGACATATGTGCAATCAAATTTGCATTATTCAACGGTTTTATTATTTTTGCCAATATTCAAATCATTACGTGACAGAAATACGCACTTTTAAAGCATAGGCTAAATGAGTGATTTTAAAGATGCAAAATATCCCGATTTTCCTATTTGTTTATGGCTTTGCTTTTCCCACTTTGCATTGTGTTCACAATGATAATTTTAGTATAATAACAGTCTTCAAAGGGTTAAAAAAAAAACTAAAAGAATCATTTTAACACATTCTGAGGCTGAACACAATTACTGGGATTAAATGCATGCTGTGACCAGCAGTCAGAACTGCAAAAACCAACAATAATCAAGTTAAAATATTTCATCTACTCCCATCTATAAACATATGTGTTCCCCTGGTCACAAAATGACCTCTGAGAGAAAACACAAGATGAAAATACATAATATCCTTGGTTTCATAAAAATATTAACTACACATATTACAGTGAGAATCACAGGGCTTATTAGGGTAATGCTTTCTAAGAAGACGCAGAAGTACAGCTTTAATCAAAGAAAAATTACCATAATCTTGACATTACTAGTATTTTATATTTTGGCATTACATAGTCATGTGTCACTTGAAGAACGATTTGGATATTATTTTTATATAAGGCACCCAATTTAATGGTTTTCTTCAGTAGAGTCATTATCGGGAAAGGGGTTTAAAAACAAACACAATACCTTTAAAATACCTCACTGACTCAGATACAAAATATCAAATGTCCTAAAAACACAATTTGAAGCAGAGCCAGAACCTTTTCCCACAGCCAGCTCAGTTTTCCGTTTGAGAAAAATGATGACAAAGAATATCCCATCCTCAATAAATAATTATCAGATACAGCACATTATACATCACCTATTTCTCATCTGTTTTGGAATCATGTCAAAATTAAAGCCAGGGTGATTAATACTGCCCTGTCATTTTTAGCTCATTAATAAACAACCTTTTATATAATAATTAAGGCTACACTCTTGGGAAAACATATGATTATTCATTAATATAATAAATCTAATTAGCAAACTGATCATTATACTGTACTTGTTGTTGCTTCTTAGCAAGCACCCCTTGGTCAAAAATATTTATTCAGTCAAGGAACTCCCTTTCAAAATATAAGCAAATGATGACCAACAGGACAATACTTCACACAGCTTCAGAAGAGCAGACATGCCATTGCAAGGCAGAGTAAGCATGGGCATGCACAGGTGGCACGATGCTGCACAGGGGACTCCTAAATAGACAATTATCTCCATGCACCTGCATTTCACTTCCTGGCACTTCTTCCTAATATAAAACCATATAACTAATGGCAACAAAAATATTAATTACACTCCAACACTCTCCTGAGTGTAGAATATATTGGGATCCCAGTGGCGATACAGGTACCTCAGCTGTCATTTCTGTAGCATTAGGAATGTTAGCTATGAGCCAGACTTGCATAAATATTATCGACCCAATCAAAGGCATGAACCTGACACCTATAGATTCACTGTTTTTATGATGTCCATAAACTGGTGAAAAACGAAAAAAAAGCTTCTTTGCATGATGTATTGCAGGGAACATCATAAGCTTACGGTGGTCAGATTCAGCAACTGACCAAAAAAATTACTGGTTTCGGATGCCTTAAATGGACACTAATTGCTTCCCTAAAACCTAAAGCACTTATAAGATACTAAAATATTTTAGGAGTAGTTATTTTCCACTCTGTCCATGTTTTTTATTGTAGAAATGGAAAAATTCCATAAGATAAAAAGAATGATGTTAACCAATCACACACGTTAGTATTTTAAGGTTTGTAAATATAAAATGACACTTCAGGTAGACAAAGATAAATACTGAGATGCAAGGGGGGGCCGGAGGGGGGGATTGTGAAATAGAGAACAGTTTAAGGCAACCAGTGCCGTTTCTGATATTGTATTAAACAGTGCTGATTACCATGGCTATTCATTTCATTTTTTTAGGCAAGATACTGTAATTCTAGATTGCTGGTGCAGTAGTAGCGTAAACATAAGGGAGAACGAATGCACAATTGTTTTACATTTTTGAGGCAAGTTGCAGCTGGGTCCTGGTCAACATTTCATAGTGCACTACCCAGGCTAAGAGAAAGAGGGCATATGAAATATGTCAGGTAATCAGACGATTCACATGAAAGCCTATGTGCTATGTATTCCAGAGCTCTCACATACAAAATCTCAGCTGTTCACTACCACTTCGGTTTGGCATATCTGTGGATGTTTGGTAATGGTAAAGGATAAGTATTCTTCTAATGGCACAACACTGTGGAGTACATCAAAAAGGTAAAGTGCAAAAAAAAAAATTAAAAACCCTCATGTCGGCCGTATGTGTTACACGAGCATCTCTGCCTTTTGCGGTCAGCAAATCTGCAAAATTTCTACGTAAGCACTTCTCATGGGGATGGTATGACTGTAATGACATCATTTACCTATTTCAAGCACATGCTTATGCAGTGTGTGTACATGTATATATCAGGTTTGTTGGTTACTGGTGTCTGAACAGAGGCGTCAAACGTTCACAGACAGGAAAAAAAACATCTGAATATCCTAAAAGCAAGTTATCCATTAGACCTCATAATTGTGTCATAGTGGGTGATTCAAATTCAGCACCAGTGTCTTAAAAAAAAGATTAAAGCAAACTCTTGTGACTATTTTCTTCCATCTTCCACAACTGGTTATCCCAGGAAAATAAGCAGGACACAAATAAGCAATTTAGAGACAGACTCCGTGTGAGGAAACCAGAGAGCACTCAGTGAAAGATGCAGGCAAAATAAACCAAAATTGTTTATACCAAGAAAACTAGATGGTCTTTTTAAAATCTAAATTCGACCACTCTACCCTCTGAAACAACCCCTCCATGTTTACAAAGATCTACTCCCTTGTTTTAGCAGTAGAAGGCATCATCAAAGCAACGGCTAGTAACAACAGGAAAGAGGGATTAAAATTTTCCATAGTCCGTGTGTATAAAAATTTCAAAGTGCAAAATACTCAGGATAACAAAGTGGTCACATTTTATCAACATTTTAAAGAACCCGTGTAACGTAAGCAAGCTCAAACATGGCCACCGACGATGAACCGTAGTGCTGTACATTCCAGTAACGTCGTCTGACTCAGAAACAGTCTCATATTTCTGTAAGGTTTCTGAGTATGATCCTGGAAACAAAAACTGATGAGAGTCCAGGACATGTTATCCAAACAACTGCTCAATTTTAAATGTGCAAGATAAGAACTGGCTTTTCAATATATTTTGTCAGGTGACACTGCGACAAATACCACAAGCACTGGCACATAGCAAACCTAAAAGAACAGAGGCTAGAAGGAAAGTCAGCTCACATATCTGAAAAATATCAATTAAATATATCTGTAGATGTACTGTACATCTATAGATATGCAATCATTTGTTAACATATATATATATCAATGCAAATTGGTACAAATGATTCTAGTTTGCAAGAAATCAAATGGTATATCTTTACTGCAAGTATACAGTGCTATTAAAAAAATAGCTGAATATAAAATTTTGACATCATATTCCATATTAGACTATGCATTTCTCAAAGAAATTTGGTGACCTTATGTTACGGAATGTGGTCAATCGCTTTGGATAAACATGACTCGCTTTGATAAATACAACTGAAAGTCTGTCATTATGTAAAATAGTGACTTTGACTTCAAACAGGCCACAAATATTTCTGTATCCAGTACAGATACTAAGCATCCATCTATCAAAAAACAACATTCAAGGGAAAAACTAATGCTTCAGATTGTTTCTTTAGTTACCTCTTCTTTTGTTTTAACACAATGTTTGAATTCAGTAAATCTATGAGCCAAAATTTATGTCCATTACTTGAGAAAACTGGGTTTTAAAATTTCAGCATTTGGTAGCATAGAAGAATAAAGTGTGTTATAGCCCTTTAATGAATGACAGCGAAACAGTGCAGCTCTAAAAAAAATATTGTGTAGAATTTCATTAAAACTGCTGGCTTTGGTCTCCTCTAGAGTTCCCATTAAAAAAGCTACAAAATTTCGCTTGACATTTCAAAACCCACATTCCATCTTAGAAATAAGCAGAGCAATGTCAGAGATGTTACAAGCAATTAAACATTCAGAAAAATACAGGGATGGACAGAGCGTACCATCAAGAAGTGCTGTCTCATTTACTTTTACAACAAAATAAACTGTATATCGTCTTTTAAAAATCCTGAACACCACCCAGTAGCAGTCTGCTTAGCCCAAATGGACAGAATCAAGAAGAACAGCCCCTTTCAGGGGAGAATCCCAGTAACTACACACACATGATTTCAAAAGGAACATATGACAGGGATTACAGACATATATGGATTCTAATGTGTGGGAAAAAGACGTCCATGATGTAAAATTCACCACTTGAAACCAAGAATGTTTCTGGGAGAAAAGAAAAAACAAAAAAAGCACACTGTCATTAGACATAAAATGAGAAATTTATATCACAAAAATTCACCATCATTATCGTCCAAATTTCATGATGTAGAAAAAATGTTTTTTTAAAAATATCACTGAATAAGACACAAAAAATGGAATGGTAAGCGCTGTTAAATAAAGATTTAATTTAAAATGATCCTCCTCTTAGAAAGTCGTTATTTATGAGGAAGCCACTCTGGATCCAAACAGATGGCTGGAGGGTAATTTGACTGACTACAGGTTCAGTTCCAAAGGAGATGAAGTAAAATCCGTAATGCTGACACATGTAGAAAAGGGGAAAAAGCCACACAAAGGGAAACTGGGTTGGCTTTTCTCTGAGATGCAATACTGCAAAAGCCACCTGCTGGCCCAGGCTCCGCCCAGAGCAAAGACAGCGGGCCACCAGAAGAGGGCGCTGTTGCTTCGCTGGGGCCTGAGACGCGAGAAAAAGCAGCGCAGAGCTGTTTTCTGCACAGGGCCCTGGTGACTGTGCCTGCTTCCAGCCCCCTTGTCCTGCGCCTCTGGCAAGCCTGCTTTGTGAAGTCCTCCCCCTGCTGATCAGGGATGTGACAGAGAGCCCGGCTCACAGCCCACAGCTCACGGTTTCTGTGGACCGGGAGAAAGTACCACCGGCGTGGACAGCCCATCCACACTCAGGGCAGGGATATGGATCTGGTTGCTCCCATTGGTTGGAAACTGTAACAGGGTAAACAAGATAAATATTATCGTGCCATTAAACCATCCCATACACTTTGTATACAAGAAACGATTTAGATAACATCAAATGGATGATTCATTTCCACCTTTAATGATGTAAAACATTGCATTTAATTGTGGTTTGCTGCAGTGCTTTCCTTGGGTAAATATTATAACCAGCTGTTATCCTTTTTGTACAATACAGATAATGGCTCATTAGGCATGTAAAATGGCAGAAATCCATAACTGGAAGCGAAAATAAAAATTCACCAACAGGGGGAGCTGACGCACCATGCCAGCAGGACATGTGACTGCACTTCACTGAAGGGCACAGGCGTGCGAAAGAGGCATGCGTGGCTTCCACAAACAGCACGCCGAACAGACTGGCGACCAGCTGCCAGCGCAGACTACGTCAGGGAGCAGCAGGAGCGGGGAAGAGGCATACCTGAAAGGACAGCTTGGCCGGGCTGCGGGGCGCGATGGGACTGAGCGTGCTCCAGAAGTGGATGGTAGAGGGAAGCGGACTTGGCGTCAACAGAACCGGGGTCTGACAGGGAAGCACAAGGGAAGTATGCTGAAAATCACCCCGACCTGACTTCCAAGGCTGGGTCCATGAGTTGACAGTGTAAAAATACCCACTATGCTGCTATTAGGCATTCAACTAGTCACACATACCTTCTAGACAAATTAAAGTGAAAGTTACATTAAATATTTGTAATTCATAATTGATATACAGCACATAATTCTATCGAAAATTAAATTTGTTGTTTAAAAATCATGAACAAAAAGGACAAACTTGAGTATAAAAAATGTTTTAAATTATTTTGAATTAGGTTCTGTACTTGTAAGGGATACTTCCAATTTATGCTTATTTCATACTTGTCTTTTCCATGTGCACTTTCGGCTGCAGATCGTGCATGCGGAACCTTGTGTTCATACTACATTTGGCTGCAGAGGCAGATGGTTGTGGTCGGTGCATTCATAGAGCAGTGATATGCTGCGTTCCATCTGAACTTGTAAATCTGGAGTTCCTAGTCAGAAATTTCAACTGGAACGCCCCTGAAGTCGGAAGTCTGAGTTGTGAAGTCGGAGGAATCTACACAACCCGACCTCTGAATTCAAGATGGCTGAGCCCTATATCAATGGAAGTTAAAACTGTAGTTTAATACTGTTTATTAGCACTCACGCCTTATTTGTGGCTCATTAAATCGGTCGTACACTCAGTACTGTCCAACTGCTATCTGTGGACATGTCGCTAAGGTGTTTTTATGTGGAAAATACTGAGTAATGTGTTATGTGATATTGATATTGCTAAAAATGGCTAACAATTAACCAGGCTAGAACTGGGGCCATTTCAGAAAGAAGGATTTCTTGCTTAGCCGAACAGCTTGTTGGATAAAGGCTAGTTATACTGGGTAAATAAAATCCAACAAGTTATCCGGCAGAGCAAGAAATCTTGCTTTTTGAAACAAGTCCCAGTTATGGCTAGTGGTTTTCCGATTTGCTGTACTGGAACGCTGTTAACTCATTTGTGACGTCATTCTCAGTTCCAACCTCCGAGGTAAATGGAATGCAGCAATATTCCACCAGACCAGGAGAGGGCAGATGTATTGCAACAAACAAGAATACAAGCAGCTTAGTGAAATGGGTTAGCTTTTTATGAACAGTTTTAGAGTTGTGAGACTGGGTGGTATTACGGTAATACAGCATACCAGCATTTTGAAATCCTTACAACAATATTAAGCAGAGACACCCCAGCACTCGGCAAATTTTATTGGTAAGATTTTAAAATGCCAGAATAGAACTGCCTTTGAAAATACAATATACCAAGGTATGACGTCTGGACAGTATAAAAAGACATATGCGGGTAACTCGGCACCTCTTCATGCAGCTGCTCACCATAACTACTACAACAACTATTCTTTCTCTAATCTTTCTTTGGTTGACCTCTGCTCTGTAAAAGTCAGTGCTGCCACCTACTGGAAGTACCTAGTCAATTAACTTGTACAGGCGATACACACAGACACACGACAAAAAATCTCTGCTACACCCACACCGTTCACCACCATCCGGCACATACCCCCGATGACGAAATTTACGTTACCTGAAATTGTGCGCGATCAACAGTGCATGCGGAAAAGTGAAAAAATGGCTTTTACTGGTATAGGGATGGGAATTGATAAGATTTTCACGATTCCGATTCCATTTTCGATTCTGTTTAACAATTCGATTCTTTATCGATTCTCCTATCAATTCTTATTTTTAAAAAAGAAAAACACACAGGTCGATTAGCTTAGAACTTTGTTTTCTATCTTATCTTTGAACAAGATAGAAATTTAGGAGTAGCATGACCTTACAAACCCAACAGTGAGATCTTAAGAGATCCACAGCCTACGGCTCCTCGATGGGGTGCCACGGGGTCCCCAGAAAAAAAATTTGTAAATGTAAAATAATAATAAAATAAATATTCTTCTGTAGCAATAACAAAGTATAACATAAATTGTTGTGGCTCATTAAATTGTGGCAATTACACAAGAATGTCCAGTAACATTTACACTCTCCTTTTTAAAAGTATATAAATCAACTAACATAATATGCAATGTTAGTTGATTAGTTACCTGCCGTATTAACAGGAGAGGACGTGCAAACATTACCGCTGCTGCTGGGTTGAGATTCACTAGTCCGGAGCGGATCAAAAACACGACATTCATTTAAGGTTATCGCGTGTTTTGTGAACAAATGCTTTTGCATATTCGTAGTGTTTCCTCCCATTGATGAAATATCCACTTTGCAAGTATTGCAAGTTGCCCTGTTGTCATCCTTTCTCGTAAAGTATAACCAGACTTTTGAGCGTTTGTGTATTTCCATTTCCATGTTTCCTGCTGGGTAAATGACGCTACGCAACGTGGTGACGTCATTCGAGGCGACTGGAATCGATAGGGGAATCATTTGCAAAAATGGCAAACAATTCCAAGGAATTGAAACAGTGGGAACCAGTTCTCAACAAGAACCGGTTTTCGATTCCCATCCCTATACAGGTATGTGGATTTTAAGAATTTTCTATGGACAAGCCTTTCCCCCATTCAGCCCATTAAACTGAGGACACAGTATGCTTCCATAAAAGATGCTGATACACAGAAACATAAAGTAACAAAAAAAATGCCCCTGTAACTTCTCCTAATTGGCTGGTTGAACATTTATAGACCTCAGCACCAAGGGCTTAAATCTGGCCAAACGTTGCAAGATCTTAAGACACTATCAGTATCTTCACTACCTTACTTAGCCAGCTGGGTACAGTGTTCACTGTCAGGTCTTAAGGCCATGTGTGTTAAGGGGTAAATACATTACGTCTAAGTCAAAAAGAAAAAAGACTGAAAAATCTAATAACTGAAAATTTTGTAACTGTACAGTTCCATCTTAATGGATTTTCAAAATTAGCATAGCTATGTGTGGTAAACTAATTATGGCCACACAGATGTGAGTGCAACTCACAATAGTCTGATTTCAAAAGGCATGTGTTTAACTGAAATTGTCATGATTCAACTCCAACCACAATCTTCACATGCCTTTGGCAGGCCACATCCGAGACAGAGATCTTGGCTCCTGGTTCAGAAAAGCTACAGGTTGTGCTCCAGGTCAGAGCTCTCCCCACAGTACTGACGCTGACCATTAAAAAACAGCTGGTTAACGGGTTCATGCTGCAGGGTGAAGACCTTCGATGTGAAGCACAGCTCCGTGGGCCGGTGCTGTGGTACGCGGGGGGACTCCGCAGGGGCCCCACAACACTCACCAGCGCGTGAGAGGTGATGACGGTGGGGGTCAGCGTGTTGGTGCCTCCACCAGGTGCCAGGAGGCTGTTGACCGCGGCATTGACCTTATCCAGCGAAAGCCCAGGGGGCAGCTGAATAGGCGATGAGGGCAGCTCCAGAACTTTGGGCTTTTTGGATTTGGGTGGCTGAGCTTCCTGGGGTGATGAAGCAGGAATGGCAGCTTCTGGGGTCGGTGTATGTTTTTCTTGAAAGAAAATAAAGAATTTCAGCTCTTTGCAACCACATGCCTTGGCACTTCAACAAAGGCCCTTCGACACAGCCCAACCTGCACAAAACCCAGACAGCTTATTGATGAATGACAGACCAATCAAAGCATCCTTTCAGACAATCAAGTATAGGTGATGTACTGTTTCCCTGATCCGTCAAAAAAGGAAAAAAAAAAAAACACCAAAACAGACAAACAAATGTTCTGAGTGGCCATGGTTCACCTGGTAACTGAGATTCGGTTTTTCCCTCCCCGTCTGCCGGCTGCTCCCCGCGGCTCAACTCCGCACACGGCGGGCCGGCTGGCTCCACACAGGCCGGCAGGGCTTCCACTGATTCAGCACCTCCTGCGGGTGGTGGAGGTGCAGGAGCAAGAGCAGATGCAGGCGCAGTCACCTGGCAAATGGAGGGGGGAGAACACATTTTCAGTCTTTGGATCTGGGCCTGGAATTTCGCTTAGGATGCTAGGAAAGCATCAGCTCCCACCTCTTCCACATGCTTATCCTTCAGGCCCACAATCTCAAAGATATCCTCCTCAGGTGCCGAGGGTTTGATGACCACAAACACCTGGTGGCTCTGGGACGAAGAGACCACACATTCACCGGCAGCTGCTGAGGACCCGACTGGGGCCGACGGGATGAGGGGCGCGATAGAGCTTAGGTCAGGAACGCTAGTCAAATAGATCTGAGGGGAATCTCCAAGACCTTGGGTCTTCTGTGTCTGGGCGTTCTAAAAAATAAATAAGTAAACAAACAAACAACTAAGTAAATAAAAATCTGTTGATCCATCAGATCTGAAATACCTCATGCAGAAAACTGCTCTCTTTTCTGCAGCAAGAGTATCTGGTTTGACCAAAAGCAGCTGCTGTCACTCACCACACTGCCAGGAGCAGAGCCTGATGGCGTCTGAGGGCTCAGGGCAGGTGTGACACAAGGGGACGGCTGGGTGACTATCACCTGCAGACTGGTCTCTATAGAGCCCCGCCCCTGAGCAGAGCTCCGCCCCTCCATTGTACAGACGCGCATCTGGTTTCAGAAAGGCAGTTTGATTAACCATCTAACCTCTCAGTATTAACTAAGCAAAGAGTGTCTTTGGTGCAAAGAATCATTATTCTGTGAGAAAAGTTCCGTGCAATTTGACAAAATTCTGCTGTGGAAGTAAACGGGAACAGTACCGCACCGGCCTTTTGATTATCCATGCAAATATGCATCTTAATTATTATCTAACCATAAAAACAGTAATTAGATATATGGTACTGTGCAAAAATCTAAAGCTAAAGAAAATTATGTTTAAATCATCTTCACTTTAGTTTGAAACTATGCTATTATGCCTGTCAAAGTATGTTAACTTAGACATTTCAAAACTTCTAAAATCACCCCAGTATTTGCAGCAACCATCCAATACACCCATATATTTTTTTTTTCTTGACATCTAGCACACCTGGTATAGCTAATCAATCTCTCATTGACTTTAATCAAATTAATTAATTAAATGAGCTGGTGGTGAAATTTAATAAAAACATGGAATGGCTGAGGTGATCCTGAGAAGAAGCGGTGTTCATTTAACTATCCAACCAGATATCAGTAACTTCTTGGAGAACAGAAGAAATTCTTACTAGTTTTTATTGCTACTCTTAATTTGCATATATCCTACTGCCAAATTGTGTTTTTTGTAAGTGCCACAAAAGTGCACTTACTACCCAGATAAATAGGTTTAAACAGTTCTTTTGATTGCCTAAGACCTTTGCACAGTACTATACAGTGACTGAATCTCCCAACTTCAGGCTGGACATCGAGCCTCTGTGCAGATAAGGCATGCAGAAGCTCACCTCAGGCATCATTTTCTCAGCACTGGGTACCTTGGGGGTGCCGTCTGTAGGAACAGGCAGCTCTGTCTTGATGGGTTTGGGGGCCTTGGTGGGGGCCTGCAGGGATTGGATGGTGAAGGTAGAGTAGAGTCCTGACTTCATGTAGTCATTGCGGGAGCTGCGCTGGCCCGAGTTTGGTGGGGAGCGCTGGGCCTGCAGGCTCTTGGAGAGGCAGGGGGGGGCATTGCCCCCAGGGGCCTTGGGCAGGCCCACAGCGTCTGTCTGGCTCTCGCGCCGCTGGGACTCCTCCCCTACGCGAAGCCCCTCGGCAGCAGTCGGATCAGGATATGTCACAAATTTGTAGACAAACTTCTGTCCACTCACTTTCTTTATGATATTCTGTGAAGGTGACATATGAAAATATATTCATTTAATTATATTAAATATACATTTTCATAAAATACACCAAACGCGTTTGACAGACTCACAGATAAAAAAAAAATTACACAGTTGCTGTGATACAAAAAAGTTTGTTTTAAAATTACCTTTTAATATCGCTATACAAATCAGAAACGTTTTTGGCATGTCCTGTATTTTAAAGAGTAACAAAGGCTGAACGAAGACTTTTCAATGTAAACCTTACCATACCCAAAAAGAATGTGAAAGGGAAGGAAAAGGAAGTGGTGTTAGCTACGACTGTGACAGGGGTGAAAAAAAGAAGGTGACACAAGATACTAGCAGTGACTTGATTCAAACAAGCCACAATTTTGAGCAAACAAAGGGCGCTTTTCCACTGCACCAAGTACGGTACTTTTGGTATGGTACTTTCGGTACTTTTACTTTTCCATTGACTTCCGGTCAAGTACCAGTACCAAAACTTCCAGTACCGAAAGTGCCAAACTAGCTGGGGTACTTCTTTGGTACGTCGGGGTGGGACTTAAAATGCTTTATTTGGGCGTTTTTCCCCCTCACCAGGTACCGAACTTTTGGTATTTCGAGAAAGTACCGAAAGTACGGTACTTCAAGGTGTTGGTTTTCCACTGGTGTAAAAACTAGTAGCAGCGCCAAATGACATCACAACTGGAGGCGGGGTATTTTGTACTGAATTCGAAATATGGCTGTAATATATTGCACGGCTTGGCGATGTGCAATATTAATACAAACATTGCATGTTATGCAGATACAATTCTTACATCGCTAGTCAGCTATATTAAAATATGGCTTTTTCTTACTTTCAATTCTGTACGGACATTATAGTGCAGGGGTTAAAGTTTTGCTAAAATATTTTTACTCTGTTACTCTGTCATGGGACGCAGTGGTAGCTCTGAGGCTAGGGCTCTGTGCAAGTAACTGGAAGGTTGCTGGTTCAAATCCCACTAATCCATTCGGACTAGTGTGTTGCTGAGGTATCATCTGCCACAGGGATGGTTCTTATCCCTGAGGTGGTTTGTTGTGTGGTGGGTGTGACAATACACTGTAATCAGTGCATGCTCCTTACCTACCTAACTACCTACTCCGTCGTAGGGAAAAAAAAAAAAAACTTAACAAGCTTTGCAATTTTAATTATTACTCCTTGAATAGATTCTTATGTTTAAAAATCAGTTTAAAGTCTACCTCCGCTTCTTTGTCATGAGCGCTGCATACGTTCTCTGAGACAATCGTAATCGTTTTCATCCTTGCCCTTTAAATCACTTAAAGATGAATTTGTGAGAAATTTATGAACTCCTTATTTTGTTTTATAAACACCCCAATATTTATTAGAACTAAACAACACATTGCTATATTTATAACAAAATCACATTGCTAAGACAGCACGCTATTCAGGACTGGTATCAGCACCAATCCATGCCTAATTAGATCGGGTATCGGCCATATGTGTCCGATCCACATCCAATACTTATGTTGTTAGTTTTCAGCAGTCTGTAAAAAGATAGCTCCTACTTCTTGTTAGATCGATATGTATATACAATCGCACGACAGCTCTTTCCCATTTTAGATGCTTTTGCAGCATTCAAGCTGAATGCTAAAACTGCCATTATTTTTGCCACTTAGTGTGTGTGAACGCAGTGACTTCCGCCTGCTGTGATGTCATGTGCATACCCTTTGCAGTAGGAGGAGCATAAGAACGTCAGGCGTGAGGACAGGAAATGCCACTTGCAACCTTGCAAAGCAAACTAACAAATGTTTGCAATCTTAAACTATTTTGTGGGGCATTTTAAGCATTCAGCGTATATTCTCTTGGAAGATATTGAAATTGAACTTCAAATATTTCAAAAATGCTTAAAACAAGATTTAGAAATGAGATGGAGCAGTATGTTTCTAGTAGCTTAATTAACAAAGCTTTTCTGGCCTACTTTTTTCCATTTGTATTTACTAGTTTAATAAGAGCTCTGGTAACAAACTGGTACTCATATTGGCCAATACGTTCTGTTCAGTTTTCAGGATTGGATCCGCACTGAGAAAGTGGGAGCGCTGTACCTCTAACACATTCCCTACTCAGGCAGAGTCAAAAGGATCTTACAAACAGGGTCACCTTGTCATAGTAGTATCGAAGAGCCCTGCTGAGCTTGTCATAGTTCATGTTGGTCTTGTTTTTGCGAAGACCCCAGAGCCTCGCCACCTCCTCTGCATCCAGGAGCTTGAACTCCCCGTCACCAGAGGTCCAAGAGATGAGGTGCCTGTGGCTGCCGTCCTCCAGCAGGTGCAGCAAAAATTGCCACAATGTGATGGACGGGTCCATGGCTGCAGGGAACCAAGATAGAGGGCTCTTGACACAAGGACACAGGAAGCTGTGTGTAACACACAGCAGCATCTCAAGGCTGGGTCATCAACAGAAGAAAACTATCACCACTGCATTCTGAGAACCTTGAGGAAGAGGACATCCTATACTTTGACCGTAAAACATGCTTTAATTTCTTTTAGGCAAGGTGCAGAGCAATATCTAGATGATGTGGTCACAAAAACCGAACAGACTAAATAACACAAGAACACAATGTAGACGTGTGTTGTGCTAAGCATGTAAATTAAATCTATTAGCATTTTCCCCAATTACACAACTCCCATCCAAAACCTTGGAAACCATCATCGTGTATATGAGCAACTGTTACTAAGGGAGAGATATTGTAATGTTAATTTTCCTTGATGTCTGACAGGTAATTATAAATGCATAACAAAATAAGGGCTTCCTCAGGAAGATAATGTTGAAATATGGGCCTTGATAAGAGAAGACTCTTCATATCTTAATAAAGAATTATCACATGATCAAACTAAGATAAAAGAAGTGACATGGCATAATTCTATCAACAAACCAAATGAACTAGTCAGGGGACACATTAATGCACAGAAATACAACCTCTTCTTACTCCAGTATTGCCACTGCAATTAAAAAGGTGATAAACCCATGAAAAATCTAACTCACAAAATGCATTCAAGTTTAAGAGCATCTATGTAATAGATTAGAGGCACAATGTCACAGTGGGCCTATGTTTATAGTGGGGTACCGCAGGGTTCAATTTTAGGACCACTATTGTTCCTAATTTACATTAATGTTATACATACAGTAAACTGGTTAAATTTGCAGATGACACCAAGGCGGGTGGTGTAGCAGATACTAAACTAGCAGCACAGAGGTTACAACAGCATCTTGGTTCTAAGTAGTAACTGGGCTGATACCTGGCAGATGAAATTTAACGTAGATAAATGTAAGGTAAACCATGCAGGGAGCAGCAATATAAAGTACAGATATTTTATTTGCTCCAATGAAATAAAGGTAGCTGATTATGAGAAAGACCTTGGTGTATATGTTGATCCTTCCATGTCCCACTCTCGCCAGTGTAGGGAAGCAATTAAAAAGGTCAATAGGATGTTGGGTTATATCTCTAGGTGTGTGGAGTTTAAGTCAAGGGAGGTGATGCTACGATTATACAATTCCTTGGTAAGACCCCATCTAGAATACTGTGTGAAGGTTTGGTCACCATACCTTAAAAAGGACATTGCTGTTTTGGAAAAGGTTCAACGTAGGGCTACAAGAATGATTCCTGGTCTTAGAGGAATGTCTTATGAGGAGAGTTTAGCAGAGCTGAATCTGTTCGGCCTCGCACAAAGGAGATTAAGGGGGGACATGATCCAGGTATATAAGATTCTAACAGGTCTGGATGCTGTTCAGCCAAATGACTACTTTGATATTAGTTTAAATACTAGAACTCGTGGCCATAGGTGGAAATTAGCGGGAGAACATTTTAAACTGAATTTGAGAAAGCACTTCTATACACAGCATGTAGTTAGAATATGGAATTATATTCCTGTTCATGTAGTGCAAGCTAAAACCCCGGGTTCCTTTAAATCAGAGCTAGATTTTAGATTTAGATTTTAAGAACTCTGAGCTATTAGTTAAGTTCCCCCCAAACAAGCTTGATGGGCCGAATGGTCTCCCCTTGTTTGTAAATTTCTTATGTTCTAATCAAATCCAGAACTGATTTAAATTGCATATTAAAGCTACTTCATACTCCCATATAAATTACAAAACTAATCCACCCTCAATAAATACATTTACCTATGATTGTGTCGTGAGCTCTGACCAGAGGAGTGAAAGACTTCCTGACTCCCTAACTGAAGGGTTTTGCATATGATATACCACATATGAATAATTCAACTCCACCCTAGCTACAAAACAGTCATAAACATATCACTATGTAAGCAATCAAAAAATGCTTTAGAAATTACCAGTGACATACCTGACCTATTGTAAATTATTTTAAGCTATTTTACAACTATCACCATTTTTCAACTATTGTTTTAATCATAATAATTTATTGTTTGACTTGTAATACTGTAACACATTAACACTACCCTTTCTAGGCAATCTCTGAGCAGTGCGTGGTTAAAATCATACCATCCCATTTGTAGACTGCACTTTTTTTGCACTTTTCTTTGTTTTCCAAATTCAGCAAAATGCAGGCACTGGAGGTACTGGAGAAGGTGAATAGATGGAAGGAAAAACAGCTCAAAGTTTCTGGCATGCACTAAGATTTAACCATTGTGCTCTTAAAATCTTTCAAAAATTGCTCAGGCTATGTATACTACACATTTAGAGAAGGGTACTTCAGCTATTTTGTCATTAATGTATCCAATCATATGTATGTGTTTAATTTCTATATTCCTCTTCTGTGGCATTGTCATTACTAGACTGAATCATTTAAAATATCCAATTATCAAATACACAATGCCCAGCTAAACCTTTTGAATGGCAACCCCACTCACTGGAGGTCTTTAGTAAAAATGACCAAAAGATTTGGGGTTTTTTTATGGCTGACTAAGATTCATCATTTGAATAACTACATCAATAAGTTAATTGTGTACACATTTGTTAGCGCTGCAAAATGAAAAAATGGAGACAATACAACCTAGACAATTAATATATTTCAATTACCACCATGAATGGATCATTTCTAAAGGAGTAGATTCACCTGTCAATCACAGAGTCAAACACATTTTAAATGACCCATTTTAAATAAAGCACACCAAGGATATCAAGACGGAGACTCAGATTTATGAGATGGGTTCTCAAGGATTCTGTTCAAGCCCTTCATCTTAAAGGTCATGTAGTCACCTAAAAATTCATATTCACGGGTTTGTAGTTGTTATTGCACTTTTATAGTGGAATAGCTTACAAAAATATCTATTTACCCATCTGAATTAGAAGGATAGACAATGATGAATATGAAAGTTAGCATAACAATGACAATGACCACTGATACCACAAAAAGCAGGTCTGCTTTTTGAAGTGTAAATTTACATTTGTTCCAGCCATTCTCAAAGCCAGAGCTCCTGGTCAAAAGAAAGAGTGATAATAATATTTCTAAGAGATGGTTGACAAAATACACTAGACGTCGATATCTTATGTCTTGCTTGTACTGCTGACATCCATAACCTCTCAAATTTACTTCTTTAATTGCCTGGTTACCAAGGTGGAGTTTACTGTTAATTTGTGACAAAAGAACTCTCCCTAAATGCTACCATTTCCAGAGCTGCACAGTGCAAAAGACCCAAAAACCTTAGGCTTCTAGCAATTGACCTGCTGGTCACCGGTTAGAAGATGACCGCTACTTACAGTAAGATGCTTTGTTGTCGCTCAGTTATGCTCTAGGTCAGAGGTATTCAACTAAAATTTAAAGAGGTCCAGTTAGAGAAAATTTCTTGAAGCAAAGGTCCAGAATATCATAATGTCTAACTATTTAGTGTGATATATATTTAAGTAGCCTATTAGTTGCATCAACATAGCATTTAATCAGTACCTGACTGTCAAATCAAATTAATTCAGTACCATTCAAAAACGTTTTGACAATATTTATTGTCACGTGACATACAACTTCGGCCAGCTGACTGGAGTGAGATTTTCAGTTCGAAATGTCTGCACACACATGTAACAATTCTTACCTTGTAAATAGTCTGCTTTTGTATTTAACCATGTAAATACACCTTTGACGTAGCTAATTTTAGGTTTTATAATGGAATAATATAGATTTGCCGTGAGATTTCCAGCGTGAGTATCATGCCAGATGCTTGAGATTTGGCAGCCATGAAAGCGTACATTTTTTGTTTCACCTGAGTTTATTTATATAACAGATAACATTATTTTATACATGTGTTAAAAAGCAGAAACTTCAACGAACATGAAATCAACAATAAACTACGTCTATTTATCCAACATGTTATATAATACATACTGTATTTAAAAACTTTTCAGCTGTATGATTTCAGGACACACCAGTCACTCTGTTAGAAACATTACAGCTTTTTGGTTGTGGGATTTAGCTTCGCTGCTGCTATTAACACTAATGGCACATTAGTGCAGACAAAGGGCTGCATGAGATGAACTACGTCTAGCTGGGCAGTTAAAGGTGTTTGACGTTCATTGGTGTGGGAAACGGCGGTTCTACTGCTAAACCACTACCGAAAAGACCACAAAAGCTGCGTCGGTTAAAATAGAAACGTCAGGTTTTAAATAATAATGTTTTGGCTATCGGTCCGGGTCCGTATAGGACAACTTCTGGGTCTGGGACCGCAGTCCGCCTGTTAGTGACCTCTGCTCTAGGTTAATGAAACATAAATCTTCATCTCATAAAAAAGAAAGGAAAACTCAACAAAGGAACAATGCAAACCATTCACCCCTCTGGTAAGGTTACCTTTATTACGCATTTAACTTAGGTGCCTAACTGACAAAAGCTTGAGGCGTTTTGTTGTACCTGAAAGCAAGGTATTCACTACACAGACCAATAGGAATAATGTGTTCTGGGGCTTTGTGACTCAAAAGAGCTCACAGAAAACTCCGTCATGATAGTATTCTTAAAAATAATATAATTCTCTTACATCTCATTTTAAAAATCCTGAAAAATAATTTTAAACTCATATAAACATTTTATGCAACCTTTAAAAAAAGGATGTAACAGTCATTAACCTGACGATAACCTAATAACCTGATGATAACCAATGATTCTCGAAACCTCTTCACCTGAGATGGTTTATACTGAATTTTACAAGCAATTTATATGTCTATGCCAATACAAGTACATATTACACTGAGCCAAAGCAGTAATGTAAACATGCCCGTGGGCTGGTACATTCCAGACGCTTACAAAAAAAATCCAATGGGCTGACAAAATATGTGGGCAAAACCACCAACCTTGCAGTGTGTATTACTGACGGGAAGCTGGATAAGGTGCTGGGCTTCAAAAATCTGACATCAGCTCACCTCATTTGATCAAGGCAGTTTCGTAACAAAAGCAGCTTCATATTTTACTTGGTGATAGATAAGTTATAGATTTACAAGGCAGAGCCGTATTCAGATCTTTGGCCTCAAAACCATAATTCTTCCACTGTTTCATTCAAATGAGTATGTCTTGCGAATAAAGTCCAAACTACATTTTAAACTTTATAACTGCTCATTCTTAGTTTTGAAGACCTGCATGCTTTGACTTAGATTTAATTGCCAGGTCTCCTGATCTGTTAGAACAGCTGAGGAAAGAGAAGGTAATGTTCAGCAACATACATGCAAGTCAACAATGATATTCCATTAGGTATAACATCGAGCCACTTAACTTCCAAACTACATCCTGTTTTCCCAACTTAAAAACATGTAAATCATCACTAATGAAAAAAAACTGTAACCTCCCTAAAACTCTGGAGTGCCACTGCCATCCCAAAAGAAACTGACAAATCAGGGAATCAAATGGCATTACTGAACCAAACCACCCCCAGTATGGCTGAAATGGCTCCTCTCAGCTGCAACATGCTTTGCATAAAAGGTGTGAATGCTGTATGGATTATTGGCATATTTCACTTGTAAGGTGTGCCTTTCTTCTCTACTGTATCCAAACAACGTGAGGCCAGAAAAACCGTATTGTATTCACAGTGTGGGATTGCATGTGAGAGATGACAGAATACATACACATACCAAATACATACCAAAAACCATATTTCTGTATTTTTAGGCAGAACAGCGATGCATAATATATCACTTGGTATTTTCTATGAAGTGGACTAAATGTTCAGTTGTAAGTCAAAGCCACGTATGAGATGTCACAAATGCTTATTAAAACAATGTGGTCAAACGGAAATACTAACACAGGGTTTCCTTCCCTATTTGCAAATATACAACTACAACTATTCACTATAACATTTTCTTTACTCCAACCAGATGTTTCAAAATAAAGACAAAACGAATTATGCCTATATCTATGTTGCGAGGGCCAAATAAAGCAGCTATAACATGAAAGCATTTCACTCCACTAGATCCACCAATGGACTCTTTTTTTCAGTTTATGACACTGCTCTCAAAACACTAGGTGAATGTTTAAGGATAAAAAGAAATTAAATCTAAATCTAAAACCTATTTGGCAAATAGCCCAACAGAAGCCTTACAAACACTGAAAGTACACTAGAACAATCCTTATTTTACATGTTTGCATGTTCTCCCCGTGTCGTCGTGGGGTTTCCTCTGGGTACTCTGGTTTTCCCCCCACAGTCCAAAGACATGCTGAGGCTAATTGGCGTTGCTAAATTGCCCTTAGGTGTGCATGTGTGAGTGAATAGTGTGCCCTGCAATGGGCTGGCCCCCCATCCAGGGTTGTTCCCTGCCTCGTGCCCGTTGCTTCCAGGATAGGCTCCAGGCCCCCCACGACCCAGTAGGATAAGCGGGTTGGACAATGGATGGATGGATTTTTTCACCTCAGTCATCTGCCAATATTTTAAAACAAAATTAATCAAGTAACAATGTTTCCTCACCTCCATTAACTTCCCTGTGAGAAACTAATTGAATATTTTGATTTTAGCTGTCAATTCTGGAATTCTTTGCAATGTCACGACCAAAACACTCATGTTGTCTACAATCAGGAGGTGGTCTTGGTTGTAAGGAGGTCTAAAAATACTTGATATTTTAATGCACAGTTTTTAAAAAAGTGTATCGTATATAAACAGTATTGTCTCCTCCAATATCTCATTTGAAAATATATCGATATACCTTAAAAAATGAAAATACTGCCCAACCCTAACACCAGCTTATTTTCCTTCACTGTCGATTTACATGATGTGCCGCTGCCATGCTGACAGTCACACAAGCCTCTTCATTGTGCTTCTATGCAGGATTTGCAAATGCCGCTGGCCAGAAAGTCCATTATCTGTAACTAATTAAACCAACTAAAAGAAAACATGAAAACATAGAGCAGTGTGGTGCATTCCAAGCCTGATGTTCGGAACATCCAAAGTCAGATCACCAGCCTTGTTATAATCACATTCTCAAATAATAGCATGTTATACTGTATACTGTAGTAATTCAGTATAAATTTCTTAGTATATTATACATACTTCATATTATAAAGTAATTCCAATGTTTAGACACTGTGTGCACAATTGTGGAGTAATTTGTTTTGAAGGGTGTGTCAGATTAACATGTAATTAAAATAAAATAATAAAATATTAAAATAAAAACAAGAAATGAGGCCCAGAATTGTGTAAAGAACTCTCAAAGTCAGAGAGGACAAGTACATACTTCTGATTTTTGCCAAGGAAAGGTTCAGTTCATCACCTGTTCTTGAAAGTGAACTACTCCACGATTTACTGGCATTGTCATCTGGCAGAAAAAAATTGGCACACAGGGAAAAAAAAACAACACAGGAAGCAAGGGTTCATGAAATTCTGGATAACTAAACCACGTCCTGGGAAGGTTTGCCAAGTATAGGACATCCCTGCAAAGTTTCACTGCCCTCACTAGGAACAAACTTATGACAGGTGGAGAAAAAAAAGTAGAAATCAACCACCACCAACACCCCCATAGGACATTTGGAAATGGGTGCCCAAACGTTAATCTAACAGTTTGCATTAAATCACACAGCAGACAAAAAGAAAGAAAAAAAGAAAATCACACAAAAAAAATCTATAATTTGAGAAATGTCATTTTAAAAACCACAAACACAATATCACACTTATTTTGTTATGTTGCTATCCACTTATGGAAAAGAAATAAAAAGAACACATTTGTAAAGACTGATATATTTATTGCCAATTGGCTAACAAAACATTCAGGCATAAGAGTTTTTCCTAATAAGGAATCGATAAACCTCAATAAATCATGCATTCAAACAATGTAGCATATAATGCAAATAATGCAGTATATATTACAACATCGGAATCCATATATAAGCATAGGTACAATTTTATCTATCTATGTTTATCTTAAATTAAGTCCAGCATACACATGTTGCCAGAAATGGAAAAAGATTTACGTCGCCATTTAGGAAGGGTGACAAGACTAACGTACACCGGGCCTCGGGGGCGACATGGAATCACACGTTCGGTAATCGGTAGAAACCGAAAATCAAACTAGATCAGTTCCTGCGAACAGCAATCGTGTAATGCCTAAAGACAATTTCAGCCCTTTGCATGCATCATCTTCATTTGGTGTACTACTACCGTTTCTCGGAGAAACTGATTTGTTTTATTTAACCTATACATTTTGACAGTTTACCCTTAATTATACACATATTGTTCTACTTGCTGTTTTAGCATGTATAATCTTTTCAATACTTGGGTTGGCCATCTTACAATTTCTGCTCTGCACTGTTCTGCCAATCGAGGTCATAAAGTAAATCAAGTTAGTTCATTAAAATCAAAAACAAAACAACTTGATTCATTCCTCTTATAACGTTATAACTGATAAATGTATGTAAAATGGTATATATGAAAAGATATGAAGGCTATATTTTTCCCAGCTTCTTTACAGCCATCTATTCTCCAGCGATGCGGAAAACAATGCTGGGTGCATGTACTCTCATACTAAGATCAGTGGGACAGAGTTGGAAGCAGGGGGCAAGAAACGATTTTTCAGAACACGTTGAGAACGTTTTGGTAATTCAATTTACCAGACTGCGATCTTAGAACGAGAGTTCTTCATTTTATTAATACTAGGTAAATGGTCTTCAGGCAGCAGATGCACATTAGTTAACGTGGTCCCAAATGCACTACTTACTACTGCAGCAGATTCCGTACGTTAGCAACATGCAAAACAAAAATAAAATACTGACAGTTACATGGTTATGTCAGGATATGTCAAGTCGGCGCGACAACGTCGATTACAGTCAGCAATGAGTAACTAGTTAAAATGAACACGCGGTTGCACAAAATCAAACAGTTTGCAAGCAACAGTTACTGGTAACAAGTAACCACCCAGCTAGAGGACTTACCACTTAAGAGAGGACTTGAATCCATTTTCTCGATATCTAGTTCTTCAGTGCAGCGGTATCCATTATTTTACGATCGACGCAAACGTCAAAAGTTGTCTCGGGTGAGAAGAGAAACACTGAGGTGCGACGGACAGACACGAGCCGCGGTCGTAATTATGTAACAGCGCCCTGGTAATAACACACACATCTCCACCATGTTAGCAAGCTGCCTGTGGCCGAGCGTGTGCCGCCGTTTTCTTGTAAATAACTACTCTCGTCTCGGCATTACGTCGGCCGCCGAATACAGTGTCCGATACGGTTCCCTGGGGTTTCAAAGTCCCAAGCTACCCAGTTAGTTATCACCCGAACACCTGGGCGACCAGCGGGAAATTTGCTGTAATCAGTGCGCTATCGCAGACCCCCCTCTCTGTCACTCCCTCGGTCAGTTAGGAGATCCGCGTCAAACACTGGCGAAATCCAGCCTCGGTGAAAGGACGTAAAGACGCCTCTGCACTCGCACCCCGGCTATTAACAAGTCGGTTAGTCAGAGGTGAGCTTCGGTGCGCCGGTTCACTACGCGGCCGAGCTCATTCTCGCGGCTCCGCTCGGCTCTTCACCCGTCTTTCTGCTTCCTGTTTGCACGAGCGCCTCGGCCGCTCGCGCGCCGAGCTCTCTCCGCTAGACCTCCTCCGGTCGGCAGGCGGACGCCTGCGAAACTGCAAAGTGAAAGAGCGTCATGAAGTCAGTGACGTTGGCTGCTTCGAGAAAAAAAAACAACACAGATTCGTGGAATCGAGGGCTGTGTGCTCTTTCGGCTTCATGTCGTCTGTCATGTAGGAGAAACAAAACACAAATTCAATGTTAAAGAGAGAAAGCTCTACAATCAAATCGATGTCCTCAGCTTGCTTACTAGATAGCTAGCTACTTAACTACGGATTTGCGCGGATACATCAAAGTTACCGCCAATGAGCGCACGATGTTCCAGTCGGGCTCTGTAAAAGCGCCATTATGCGCTAAGGGTTTTTTCTTTAATAGAAGATTGAGTTAAAATCTTTGACTGTGTATGATCTGTCAGCTATAAGGAGAAATATTTACACACGTTCATATCTCCAGTACTGTACAACATGGTGCAGATGTAAATATTAAGGGTTTAAATTTACACCAAGTACTGCATATACATTGCCATTGTTTATAAATAAAAATGTAAGCTGTGCGGAGCGGAAAGGTTAAATTATACTTTTAATAAAGTATTGTATTTCAGATTAATAATTTGATCGCTGATCAGTGTATGGGTTTAGAATATACCGAAATTTAACATATGTGGTTAGTACATAACTTAACATTTAATATTCTTACGTGTTGAGGCGAACTTTTGGCAAAAGTTAAATGTGCAAAAATATTAGTGTAATGTATTAAATACGCCCACGAACTTTTTCACTTTAGCAAAAACATTATAAATCTGTTGTCAATATGTGTTTATTATTTTGAGGTACAGGGAGAGATGATGCCCAATTTCCAGGTTAAAAGTTGCTCACGACAGGTTGATTGACAGGTGTATGAAAATCACCTAGTGGTTGTCGGTTGCTAGCAGCGTGAAGTACACCACTATCCCAGTTTGCGCTACTTGTCATGTATTGGTTATAATAAATACATGCGTAGTCATGAGGAACATAGATATAACTAATATAGGACTGAACTTGAACACACTGGACATTTTATTGGTGAAATTATCAGTGTGAGAGAGATGCCTTTTAAAGCACGGGCTTTAATACGAGGAAAATTAAATTTTGTACTTTATCCCATGTAGCCCTATAACGCCAGCGATGCGGAAAACATTGAAAATTAAGTGTAATCTTAAATATTAATCTTACATTAAACACAACGGGTTATTTAGGTTGCTGTGCCGACAACCTTAAGTATTATGATGTTTTCAAGGTTTTTTTCAGCCAATCCACGTCTTCATTTTCACTAGAAACTATAAGAATGTTTCGTTAAAGTGTGTGCAGTGAATGTGAGGTTGTGCGGTGCACGTGACAGTTAATGTGTCCATCTTAGTGAATTTAAGCCCATTTATACCAAAAATAAAAAGAAATCTATTTTGGGAGGCAGGTCTTACATTACTGCCACAATGCAACTCCTAGTTTCCATAGTAACTGCTACTAGTGTGACTGACTCCATCACGAAAGGCTAATGATATATAGCTAGGGTGAAACTTAAAAATACAAAGTTTTATATGTTACAATTTCATGCATTATTAAGAATATTAACATAAATATGGATAATATTGCTAGGTAACCTGTATAACCTTGAGACAACTGCAGGGATTTAGCAGCGTGCGGCTCAGTGAGCAAAGTCTCCGTGCCTGTGGTTGGAAGGGCGCCGGTTTGAGCACAGCCACCCTGCAGAGTAAGGCCCTTAACCCACAGCTACGTGGGCTCCGCTGCAGGTGGGTGCCCTTCACTGCCAAGCTTACAATCACACGTGTCTCATGGAGAGCAAGATGGGGTATAGGCAGAAAGAGAAACTCCCCACTGGGATTAATAAAGTGGCATTATTATTATTATTATTATAAACATCTAATTTAAAAGAGGGGCTCTCTTGCTGTAGATTTTTATTTGCTTTATTGTTTTGCATTCATTAAATTAAAGTAAAACATGTGATCCTCTAAGCTAAAATTCTGTTGTTTTTTTTTGATAAAAGTACAAAGCTGTATGTCATATATTAGGGTAACAACAGCCATCATGATCTCAATATGACTCAGTATGAAGTCAACAGTGACAACATCTGATATTCTCTTGACATTTGAATCTAAAGTGCAAATGTTGCTACTAGATGATCAAGGTATGTGAACAAACAAATGCAATGGAGATATTATATATGTACATGTGTATCTACAATGTTTCTTTGCAGTACGGATGTTATTGTACTGTATTTTAATATTTAATGTCCGGATTATTCTCAGATGTCACTGTTTTCATGTGTATGTCAATGATTCAAAGACATGAAAACTTCATGTTATGTCATGAACTAAGACAAATTGGTTTTTGGTATATGCCCAGGCTAGTCTAGAAAACCTTCTTATGCAGAATGCTCCCAGAAACTTGACCAAAAGGAGTTGGAAGATGGATGGAATATGGAATGTAGAAAAACAATGCTCTGGTTTACGCTACAGATTACTACAGTAAGGTTAAGTAGTGTGTTTCTTTAGGATTCCTCATGGGGTTACATTTACAGCCATGTATTTCCATCCTTATAGTCACCATTGTGGGTGGATCCTGGAGCCTACTTCATACTGATTAATGCTCAAGGCAGCTGCATATCCGGAGGGGATGGCAATGCATCACAGGGCACTTAAATGGGACGTTCTCCATCCCGATTGGAAGGGATCGTTTATGCTATCCCAAAACATGGCAAATAGTTTACCTGCCTGACTCAGCTTTGCAATCTGAAATCGAAGGTTGTTTATTCTCCCACCTTTAGATCATGTTTGGCCTCCCCTAAATCTAGCAACTGTTTAGAAACAGAGTTGAATGAGCTTAAAAAGAATATAGTAACTATTATTAGACCAAGACTTAGACCTAAACGTTCCACTCCTGTGTGGATAATTTAATATTAATCCCACTGATAGGATTAAGTGAGCCACAACTTAAACCCACTATAAATTTCTCATTACTGAACGTTCACTCTTTTGGAAAGAAATCAGTGACATGGTGTTTGACACTAGTGCAGTACTCTGCTTATTATCAGAAACCTGACTCAGATCTACAGACACTATTCTTCTTGTTGAAGCCTCACCTGATGAGTTTAGTTTCGTACAGAGACCACGTGGCTCTGGGCATGAAGGCCTAGCAGCTATTTTTAACTCACTGTTAAAAATTGAACTCAAAATTATAGATGAAGATTTGAAGCAGTGCTAATTGAAATGGTGTTTGACCCACCCATCTATATTCTTATAGTATACAGACCACCTGGACCATGCACTTTGTTTCTCACTGAATATGGGGAACATCTTACTGACTTAGTCATCAACTTAGACAATATTATAATACTTGGAGATTTCAATATACACATGGACATAGAGACTGATGCCTTCAGCTAAAGTTTCCTATCCCTCCTGAAAATTACCAGCATATAATGGGACCAACACATGTGCACAACCATGTACTAGACTTGATTCTCACTCACAGAGTTTATGTTCATCATGTATCTGTCTGTCTATGAATAGGTCCTTTTCTGACCATCTTCTAATCACCCTCATGATTCAGCCACCCCCTTGACTATGGCAGAGAAGATTATTATGATGTGTCACCTAAATGGTAGAAATTCCATACAATTTATTAATACAGTAAGTAATGTGAACTTCATGTCTAGATGTCAGCAAAGTCACACATGACTTCAATACAGTGGTTAGTCAGGTTTTGGATGAAACAGTGCCTTTGAAAAATAAAGTTGTCAAAACCAACAGATATTCTCTATGGAGATTGACGGGTTTAGGGGTGTTCAAGGTCGCATGGTCTGACAGCCTGCAGCAATAAAAGCAAGCTCTCTATAGGGCACGTTCAACCTATTACTGAAACATTATTGATTCCAACAGAAATAACCCTCACTAGCTTTTTAAGACTACAGCTAATCTAACAAATGAGGCTGAACCTCTGCTACTAATTAATATTGGTAGTCAACATTTTAAGGACTTCTGTAATGAAAAATTACAAACATTAGACTTCAATCACGTTCAAATGGCTCACAATTGCCTCCGATGCAAACACAGCATGCCACATCCTTAATGTTTTTTAATTAATCAATGAACAGGAGTTAATAACTAAAACCAAACTGACCACTTGTCCACTGGACCCAATGCCGACTCAACTTTTTAAAGAATCCTTAGGAGTTCTGGCAAAACCTATAACTGCCATAATGTACGTGTCCCTGTCCACAGGCGATGTGCCTGACCAATTTAAAGTACCAGTGATCAAACCACTACTGAAGAAACCAAGTTTCGATCCACAGGAGCTCAGGAATTTCAAACCTTTCTCTAACGTACCATTTTTATCCAAAATTCTGGAGAAGAAAGTCGCTGCTCATCTTCAGTCATACCTGGAGAAGCACAACATACTGGATAGATTCCAGTTGGGCTTCTGCACTGAAACGGCCTTAAGTAAAAGTCATAAATGACATTACAATGGCAACTGATACTGACAATGCAACTATGCTAATGCTTTTGGACCTCAGTGCAGCCTTTGACTCTGTTGACCATTTTACTCTATTATATAGAGTTGAATTTAATGTTAGGTTGCATATAATGTTGTTGAAGTGGTTTAAATCCTATTTGACTAAACAATATCAATATCTTCAAGTGTCAAGTAACTGTATTCTAACACCTATGTCACCAGTCAAATATGGATCACCACATGGATCTGTTCTCGTTCCTTTTTTATTTTCTCTCTAAATGCTGCTATTAGGTAACATAATGAGAAAACATAACGTCAATTATCACTACTATGCTGATGACACCCAAATATACATATCAATTACACCCAATGACACCGCATGTATTGTCACTTGCTTTAACAAAGCAAGTAATTGCTTTAACAAAGTAAAGACCTGGATGACCGGAAACCTTTTATCATTAATGCTCAGAAAACAGAGGTAAGTCTACAGATAAGGAATGCTATAATCTCCGCACTCCAGTCCAAGGAGCTAAACTTTTCCCTCAGCAGCTCAGCCCGTAACCTAGGCCTCATGTTAGATACAAGCCTCTCATCGAATTGCATGTGGATACAGTTTCAAAGGTGCGCTTCCTACAGTTACGTAACATTGCCAAGCTACGACGATTCCTTACTATTCAAGGCACTGAGAAATTGATACATGCCTTTGTATACAATAGGTTAGACTACTGTAATGCTCTGTTATCTGGGAGCACACACCGCACATTAAACACCTTGCAGCGTATTCAAAATGCAGCAGCTCGAATTGTCACCAGGAGCAGGGAGTTTGAACACATAACCCCTGTTCTTAGCTCCCTGCATTGGCTTCCTGTTAGATTTAGAGCTGACTAAAGTTCTCCTACTTACATATAAGGCACTTAAAAGTCTAGCATCGGCCTACCTAACAGAACACAAAAAAGATCACAGAACGCAGATTTCCTTGTCGTTCCACATATAAATAAAGTGACAGTTGTCAGTAAAGCATTCTGCCTATGGTCTCAGTTTTTAAATCTCTACTGAAGACATATTACTTCAGTTTAGCTCACCTGCAGCTTAACACGTAACACACTGTAAATATGGCTGCTGGTGCTGCTGTACATGTAATTTTTATGTACTATGCTTTTCCATTAATGTGTCTATACATGTTCTGACCACCCATCTTCTCTGCCTTCCCACATCTCCAGATTGTGCCCAGGGTGGGCACCATCTGAGCTGGAGTCCTGGTTCAGTCCCATGGAAAGGTGACATCATGGATGTGACTTGCAAACTGTAGCATCGTGGGTGCAGCCTTCAATCTGCCACCCTACACAGGCTGGCCTGGAGAACTGACTCATTGATGTACTTTGGCTTTGAACTTGATCGCAGTCTACACCTTGCTTTTAGCAAGCAAGCCCACTCTTTGTCTTTCAGTAACGTTAACATGCCCAGAGGGGGGGGGGGGGCGGCAGCCAGTTGACCTTGGACCCCCCAGAGGTTTTTTTCTCCTTACTTGGGAGTTTTTGTTTCCTCTCCTCCATTGTCATCTGGCTTTGTTTCTTTCATTTCTTTGTCTCTCCTTTTCCCTGCTTTTGTATTATTCTTTCTTAATGATGTTGTATCATGACACGCTCATGTAAAGAACTCTGTTGTGAAAGATGCTAATACAAATAAACTAAATTGAATTGAACTTAAAGTACGTAAACTATGGGAAAATTAGAGACCCCAAGTAGCCCACCTGCATATTTCTGAGAGAAGAACTATGAAAAGAAACTTGGACAATCCTATGAGAACATCTAAACCCCACACCAAGTGCAGGTAGGATTTAAACCCCAAACTCATTAAGGCAAGAAGCAGTTACGCTGCCCTTTGAGTCGCATTTAACTTACAGCCCCAAGCTGAAATTTAATAATTTATTTTGAAATAATGCTCCAAGTGCAATTCCTATTTAGTGTGTTAGTAATAAGCTTATAAGTTATTTGAGAAAATTATTTTCATATTTTGTTTCTGGGTGTCTGGGTGTTTTCTTGTAACAATTTGCTTTGAATTTCTGATTTCCATGGAAAAAAAATAAAAGTATATTTTTGCATGGAGTTTCCCTTCAGACTTAACATGGAAGAATATATCTTTTGTCACTTACAGCTAAACATCATGCATTAATGTTTGTTCTTTGTAAGGTCATGTCTCAAGGTCTAAATTTCTTATCATTAGGATTGTTCCATCCATTATCTAAACTCTTGGAAATCTTAAGCATAGCACAGAGTGTGTGTGGAATCCTGTTATATTGTGGGGTGGTCTCTCTCTCACACACACACATGCACACAAAGAATCAACAATACAGCTAAATTTTGTTTTGATTCTGTGAGCAAACTCAAGTGATGCTATATTATTATTATTGCTTTGAAAATATTTCAGTTATAAAGTTCATTTAGTCAGCTAGCATGGTGACTCAGCAGGTAGCACTTTCACTTCAGATCCCCAGGATTTGGAGTTTGAATCCCTTCCCTGCTCTCTGTTAGTGGAGTTTGTACGTTATCCCTGTGTTGTAAGGCTTATCTTTGGGTACTTTGATTTCTTGCTCCAGTTCAAAGATATACCGTTAGGTTAACTAGCAACCTCTAAATTGACTATAGTGTGTGAGTATGTGGGCTGTGTGACAGACTGGACCCCATCCAGGGTGTTCCCCAATCTTGTGCTACCTGGATGGGTTCCTTGGCCTTTTGGTTGATCAAATTACAGTTCCTGTCATCCTTTCAGTAAAATGGAAGTGTTAATATGAAAACATTGAAGAAATTAATTGGTTTGGTAATAAAATCCAGTACTTTTTGGACGTGGAATTTCTTGCAAAAACTAAATCGAACAGAACTAAATAACCTTACAGAATAAGCCAAAGGTAATTCTCAGTTCTTGATGTATACTGATGTGTTTTAGTGTGAAGTTTTCTGAATGTATAAATGGGGTCGTTAGTAAAGCAAACTCAAGGGGTGTTTGCCAGGTTGAGAGCAGGCGGGGTGGCACATAATCCAGTATGTAATTATTCCACAATAATTATCTTGTCTGGAAGAAGCTGAAGTGTATAAGTCAAGACTGATCTCAAATGATTCACCATGATCGCAAAATGAAATTTATGCTTTTATATGAAATCTTGGGTAAACAGCATGAATACTCCATCCATCCATCCATCCATTTTCCAAACCTCTTATCCTTCTGGGTCGCGGGGGGTCCAGAGCCTATCCCGGAAGTTACAGGCACCAGGCGGGGAACAACCCAGAATGGGGGGCCAGCCCATCGCAGAGCATGAATACTCATTACCAGATTTTGTTGTTCTAAGGACCCTAATGCCGGTGCTCATTTTGGGTACAGAAAAAATAGTTGTGGGAGAGAAGCCAATTTTGTGTGGGTGTAATAAATCTGTCTGTGGCCTCAGTGGCACTACAATCTTTGAAAGCATATGATATTGTGGTTGATGTTAGACCACGAAAAATATGTAGCTGTTAAATGAAGCAGTCCAGAAGTTCAAGATATAAACAGTATTAGCAATCTATTGTCAGTTAAACAGAAAGAAATACAGTATAGTGACTTACAGTTTGACGCCAAAGAGACTCCTCTGTGGATTATATTAAGTTTCAGGGGAGTCAAACTGATACATTGGTGCACATGTAAACATGACTAAGGTCTAAATCCTCCAAAATTATATATTTTTTTCTATTTTAGGGGCTCTATTTTCTTACAGCTGTCTTTCTGAATAAGTAAGTTGCAGGTAGCGCGATATTTGCCCATCCATGTTTGAAAAATTGTCCAGTCTATGTTAAATTAGTTTGGACGTCAGGTTCACAACCATATGAATTTTTTAAAGCATAGGTATTTACTTACCCATAAATCCTGCAAAAACAGGCAGTGCCTGCTATTGTGAAGCATCCCCAGACCATAAAGCTGCCATCTCATTTTAGAATGGCATGGTTTTATCAAGATTGCATATTTTACAGTATTTTTCCCCACACACAGCACTTAATGTTCAGGCTAAAAAGTTTCACTTAAGTCTCAACAGACCATGGAACTTTCGGTTAGATGTTTTATATGTGACATTTTCCAAACTCTTTGCAGGTGAACTGCTTTGTGGCATTTATTGGAGTTTTCTGGAATCTCTGAATTGTCCACAGTGTGTGAGCCCTGTGACACACGAGCAACCCACTCAAGGGATTCCCCTGCATTGTGGCCTATATGCTGCCTGGAATAAGCTCCAGGTCCCAGCACTACCAGGTAGTGCATAAGCAGTTGAGAGGAAGAAGGGAAAATGTGTTTATTTTTAGAAAGATGCGTTCTTTGACCATAAATTTGGCAAAACATAGAATTTAAAAATTAGAAGTATACTGCAACCTTTAGATTTCTTGTGTAGAATTAAATCTACTCTTTATTTAAATAGTACTGACCACAACTACATTAGACAGATTGACGGTATGTGGAACGTAGGGTGTTACAGGCAAAGATTTATATTTGGAACTTAACTACTGGCCAAATACATTGATATTCCAATTCTTCAGATTCTAGACCCACAACCATAATCCTCTGTAAACAAATTTCCATTATCAGCACAGAAAAAACCCTCGAGTCACATCTAATAAACTACGTAATGCATTTTTACAAATATATGAACAGTAATCCTAGAAGCAAGATACGTGAAAGAGCAAACACATTCAAATTATACACAGAATGTAAAGCCCCACCCCATTTTCCATCACCAGCCTGTGGTTTTTCAGTCCATACCAGCTTTTCAGCTTTCTGCTTGAAGCCATTTTGGCTATACAGGTGCCCAGAAAGTATATGTTTTTCCTCATACAAGTACACGCATTTTGGCAAGATTATTGACATCAACCAGTTTAATGTCAAAGTTGCACATCCACATTGTTTAACACAGTGACAATTAACATTTATAACAGGGGATGCAGTGTTCCTGATGTCTAACCGATGCATAAGGACCAGGTTAATAGCATTAACATTTACCAGTTACCTTCTCTGTATACTAAGGCCACCATTTTGCTAATGCGATGCGTCTGGAAATCAAGGGCTGATACAGAAAATTCAATTCTTATTAAAGTATCCATAATGCAGAATGGTTCAGTATAAAATCAGTTATGCATTTAGAAAACACACCTTATTTCTTGCAAAATTAAAACCAAAAGAGCACACACTGTAGGTAATTTATTTATTTACATTTGGCCATAAAAAAATTAATGTGTAGCAAAGAAGCTATTATCAGAACACAGCTAGGCACAAGCAAAACTAGAACACTTCTCTCCTCTTGTCTTCAGGAAGATCTTTGAGACCCTGAAGTTCCCTTAAGCCCTATTAAAGGGAAAGAAAGTATGTGCTTACCACTTCATGTTCAAGAATTTCTCTCTGGGGTCAAGCTCATGTAATTGACTTAAAAAACAAAACATCGCGTTACTTTAAAAATGTATCAAAACTTAATTACCTCCAAAACCAGGCGAATGTTTGCTTTGATTTTTGCAGAGTCCTTGGTTAGAGCCTCTGTATATCTTTTTTTTAAAAAGCACACAAAATATATACAACTGCATCAAAATGTTTTGCAATACAGTAATTATGTTTACATGTATTTAGAGGTCATCTGATGCTGATGCTCTTAATGCCTAAATGACCCCTTGAACTACTCATACTACAGTCTTGTAGGTGCACTGCAAGAGTCTTCATTAAAAGGTGAAGTAGCAAGATCTGCCATGAGATTTATCTGCTTTGTTTCGTTTTACTTATTCAGGAACTATGACAAATGCTGTCTACATGTAAAATGAATGGGAGTTTCTGTTCCTAAGAAAGGCCAAAGGGTCACCATTTTTAAATAAGATCATGAGAAATTTAACAAAAGACAAATCAGCAAATTACTAAACCTGTGTTAAAATCACACAGCATGGGTATAAAATTAAAATTATGAGTTACATCCAAGCTCAGCAGTGCTCCCAGTGCTGACAAAATTTTGAACTATAAGTGAAACTTAATACTAAAATCATAATTTGTAAAAACAAAATCCATTATCAAAGTATCGAACAGCTTCATATTTAGTTTATGAAACAAGGGGTATATAAGTAAAGTACTGAAATATCCATTAAAGCATATTTTAAATTCTAAAGCAAAAATAGTAATATTAAAAACTCATTACAAACACAGAAAAACTAAATTTCACCACTAAAACCATCCATTGAGACTTACTTTGTAAGTTGATTTGTCTTCTTCTCAATGAACTTCAGAGCTTCTGGTAACGTAAACTCGACAAAAAATCCATAGCCAACAGCCACAAATATCATGGATGAGTCCGGACTGAAGAAAAGCGATTAAACATTCTGTTAGGGTGCCAATGAAAAATGTGGAATGAGAGAAACTTCAGTCAAAGCACGACTTACACATGAGCCTGGACGTAGAAATTACATCCCAGGTCCACCTCAGTCTTGAGTTCTTTGCTACCAGCTTCCTAAAAAGCAAATAAAACCTTTATGAAGTCTGAAGAAAGTCAACTGCAGAAACATAATATTTTATTGCTTCATTTGTTTTTATAAAATAAGTATAAATCAAATTTAGTATAAAAAGGTAAAAATAAAAACATGGTATAAAAATACAAAAATCTCAAGTTCTTGAAAGAGCATATCTATCAAGACACCATACCTGTAGACTCTCAATGGTATTCTTTAACTGAAGATACTGAGCTATCTTCTCATATACATCATCTCTCTGCTCCAACACCTTCCTGTTAAATATCATATTGCAAACCAATCAACACTGCTTTAGGGATCTCACCTTTGAATTTAAAATTAGTACGTTAAAAGTATATCTAAAACTACCAAATGGATCCAGCTTTCAGTTACATATTTCTTTAAGGTTTACAACAGACGACTATACCTCAAGAAAAACGTTTGCTTTTAAATGTGTAATGAAAATTTATATAGTTTTGTTATTTTAACAAACGTGTAAACGTTAACATAGAAACTTACTGCAAATCCCTCTTCAGGACTTCATTGATAAAAGTTTCGTACTGCAAGACCTTCTCATCGATGTTCGCTTTGCCTGGAGTCATGGCGTTTTTCCCCTTACACGTGCGCCAAATCTGAAAGGACACAAATTTACTACGAATTACTCATTAACAGTAGTCGCCAAATTGGTTATTTATTATAACCTAGTTATGCAATGTCGATAAATCGTTTGCCTATGTAGGTAGCGTGGCTGCCCAAGACTAGTTAGTGATAACACATTCGGAGGTAGCTAAAATAATAAAAAACAAAATGTCAGAGGAAGGAGTCCACATTTCAACGGTAAATCCAAGTATCGCGAATATTTATTTTGTTTCTAAAATAGCTCAAAACTCATAGTTACTAAATTGTAACTAAACGCAACATAACCTAAACATTTAACTACAAACGTCCCTTTCTAACATACCTACAGTGATCGTTCAGTGATCAGAATGCAAAAACAAGCGATCAACCTAAAATAAACTTCTTCTGCATCTTGATTTATGTGGAAGACTGAAAAAAAAGCTACTTCATAAAAAATATCAATAACGATTAATGTAACAACATCGTTGTGGTTCAAGCAAAAAGACCTAACTACAACCGTGACTGTACACTGCCAAACTGCATGAAACTCGCCATCTCATTGGTTACTATGAACGTCGACCTTTATATTTTCGTATGTATTACTTCTTGATTGGCTAGAACTCTGAGCTCAAAAAAAAAAAAAAAAAAAGACCAATGGCTCCGCTGGCACCAATTGAAACACGTACTTTAAGACGGTTCTTACGTCTGATTAAGGTCCTCCTGCGAGTCTAATATTACGCGTAAAAAATCCCATGTGACTAGCTTTCACCAATGAGTAACGCGCAAGCTTTGGGTTTAAATAGAACATATTTCACGGTTTCCTATTATGGGCATTACACGTGAGAGACTTGAAACAGTTAGTTAAGTGAATGTAGAATTAATTCCGGTGTATTTTGTACACTCTTACTTGGCTAGTTTTGTTAAATTAGGGTCACGGTGTTTGTCCAGAAGCCACAGAGGAGTATTGAGCGTCACTAGGTAGCCATTTAATGCACCTGCTGATATATCCTGCAAAGTTTTCCATGTAAGATTTTTTTATAAGCGATAAACACAACAAAATGTTAGGCAAAAGGAAGCAGTGTAACCAGTTCGTCGTTATTTAAAAAAGCAATTTCAAACCCGTAGTTCAAAGGCTAAGTTGACGTCAGAATTTATTGCTAAGGTAAGGATGCTGTCATTGTTATTGTGATTTGTCAGACTGATTTAGTTTTGCTAATTATTTTACTAAATAGGTCGGTGAAAACTACGGAAATCAAGTTTCGATATTAAAACGCTTCAGTGTTATAGACTAGTATTTGAAATTCTCCGTGGTTGAAAAGTAGACATGCTTGGTCCGGCAATGCTGAAAACCGTTCCTTAAAGTGTAGCCAGTGAAAGCTATTTCAGTACTGGCAACCGATATGGGCTGAGAGCTACACTAATTCATCTGGCACTGTGTATGTCTTTTAAAGTGTGAGGAAACATGGCTGGACCAGAATTGTTTCTAGACTCCAGTATCCGAATTTGGGTCGTCTTGCCTATAGTATTTATAACGTTCCTTGTCGGAGTTATTCGCCACTACGTTACTCAGCTGTTGCACAGTGACAAGAAGGTGGAACTGGAACAGGTGTCTGACAGGTAAGTGCTGTCATTAGTGTTGCTACATAAAGGTTTTATTAATTTTAATTAGTTAATTGAGCGACATGGTTCTGTTCGCAGCCAAGTCCTACTGCGGAGCCGCATTTTGCGAGAGAATGGAAAATATCTTCCTAAACAGGTATCTTGTTCGCTGATCATTTTAAAATCTTTGATATACACTACCGTTCAAAAGTTTGAGGCCACTTGGAAATTTCCTTGCTTTTGAAAGCAAGTTTTTTCGTCCATTGCTTTTGAAAAAAGCAAGTTTTTTTTGACAGATTGATAGGAAATATTGTGCAGACATTATTAATGTTGTAAATGACTATCCTAGCCCATTATCAGCAACAATTAGTCCTGTGCGCAGTTTGAGAAACAGACACCTCATAGGTCTTCAACTGGCAGCTTCATTAAATAGTACCAGCAAAAGACCAGCCTCAGTGTCAACAGTGAAGAGGCAACTTCAGGATGCTGGCCTTCTAGATTTAATAATTGGAAAGAAAAGCTGTATCTCAGAGTAGCCAATAAAAAGAAAAAACTGAGATGGGCAAATAAACACACTGGACAGTGTGGGGAAAAAGTGCTATGGATAGATGAATATAAATTAGAGGTGTTCAGATCACGAAGAACGTTTGTGAGACACAGATCAAATGAAAAGACATTAGAGGAGTGCTTGATGACATCTGTCAAGCATGGTGGAGGCAATGTGATGGTCTGGGGCTGCTTTGGTGATGGTAAAGTGGGAGATTTTTACAGAGTAAAAGGGATCTTGAAGAAGGAAGGCTGTCACTCCATTCTGCAACGCCATGCCATACCCTGTGGATGGTGCTTAATTGGAGCCAATTTCATCCTACAACAGGACAACAACCCAAACACAGCTCCAAAGTATGCACCAAATGTGACCCCAAACTTTTGAACGGCAGTGTACCTACACATTGCCATATTCAAATGTCTAAATGTCTTCATTTCAGGCTTTTGCTATGCGGAAACACTACTTTAACAATGCAGAAAGTGGGTTCTTCAAAAAAGTTAAGCGGAAGGTAATTCCAAAAAACCCAATGACTGGTACGTGGCTTGAAGAAACACTATTTATAAAGAAAGATGAGTTTATCTGAGTACTTGTTCTATTATTTTATCTATTTTTTTATTACGTGAATGTGTACTATACTACCTTTCTCCCCCTTAGATACCAGTATGGTGACAGACATGATGAAAGGAAATCTCACTAACGTGCTACCTATGATTTTGATTGGTGGATGGATTAACTGGGCATTTTCTGGCTTTGTTACCAGTAAGCTACAGATTTAATTTTGTTTGTAGCAAGTTATTGTAAATGCTATTTGTTTACAGTAATAGTAGCATTGGCCTCAGATTTTGGCTTACACATTGGTTGAGGATAGTGACTTAACCTGAAGATCGTTCATTTAGGGTCTCACTTGGGTTCTGCTCTTGCACCCTTCAGCTAGGTACTTGACCTGAATTATTCCAGTGAAATACCCAGCTCTGCATATATCTGTATGTAAAAAATTTAAGTTGCCTCTAATAAGCACGTCTACTAAGCACGTGAATGTAATATTTCCCCCCAGCTAAGGTTCCTTTCCCATTGACTTTGAGATTCAAACCCATGCTTCAGCGTGGAATAGAACTTCTGTCTCTTGATGCTTCCTGGTACAGTATTTGGCAGTTCTTGTAAATACCTGACATTTCCATATCTTGCACATATTGCATCAAGGTAATATTTGGATGTAGTTCCTGTGACACTCTAAAATATAGTTTCTGTTACAAAGTATTTTTTTTCTTTGCTGTCACAGGGTGAGTTCGGCTTCTTGGTATTTCCTCAATGTTTTTGGCCTCCGCAGCATGTACAACCTCCTCTTAGGGCATAACAATGGTAAGTCAGGTCATAATGACATACTCCTGTGGTCAGACTTTGGTTAATTAAATAATAATTGCAATTCAGATCAGTGCTTAATTTAGCTCTTGGAATTGAGGACAGGACATCTGTATAGTAATGCTGTATTTAAGCATTATACATGTGTGTAATGGGTGTCCAGTTCTCAGAGGATTTTTATAAGACATGATATGGCCATCCCATCTAGCAGCCGATCAGTCGTCCATCATGCAGGACCACATGACTGGAGCTGCAATGCCTGTACCTCCTGATCCCAACAAGGCCTTTAAGGTACGTTTTTGCAGCATAGAAGGATCTAATTTTAAAGAGTGGACTGTTTCCTATGAAAACTTACTTTGTCTTTAGCTTGAAATATAGACACACACAAGTACTTAAGTAATGTATATTTTTGTACATCCTTAATGTCTGAGGAGATGGGTGTACATCTTTGGTTTCAGAGTGAATGGGAGGCACTGGAGATTGTTAATCACCACTGGGCCCTGGAGAGTGTGGAGGAGGAGCTCATATGTCGGGACTTGAATTTTGGTGGCATGGTCAGTCGTGAACTAAAAACCACTATGTTTTGACTATGTATTTTTAAAGAAGGTTGCAGGAATTACGTTTCCTCGTCAATGAAATTTTGATGAGCCACATGAAAAAGGTCATTACAATGCAAATTTTCCATTAAGTAAAACTTAAAAATGTATTGCATGCCTTTCCCCAAGAAGTAGATTAGACCATGTTTTCAAATTAGGGTTTTAATGTATAGGGTTTGTAGGTGATTATACCGGAAATTATAGTTCCCGTTAACATTAAACCACAGTAGGGAGAGTGTTTTGAGCTGTTGCGTATTTGACTAATTCTCTATCACAAGTGTTGTTAAAAATACATCAGTAAAAAACAGGATATTTGACGCGAGTACCCTCAATACATGTCCTGTCAGCAGGAATGTAAAGTGCTTTTGCTTGAAGGCTAGTTACAGTCCTTAAGGACTGAATCAAGTTTGTGTTACACTACTGATAACTAAGAAAGTGACCTAAATGTATTTAAGGCATTTAGTGGAAGTGTGTGGTTCAATGCCTGTTTGTAGCAAACATACTGGATTCAAGAGATGCAAGTAACTGAAGAGCCATACAGGAATATGTGTAAACTAAAATTGGACAACTGCATATTCCTTTATGCTATGAAAGATATTTGATATTGCTTGTCAAAGAATCTGTAAGAGTGCAATAAATTTGTTGAAAAATACTGATAAGACTTGAGTAGAAACCATTTACAAAATGAAATTGACCTATGGTAATGTAGTTGTGCCCTTGAGGGGAAAAAATGCCTTGCAGCTTAAAACTTGATAAAGCAGGCAGCTGGTTGCTGACCTGTTGACAGGGGTATTATAAAGCCCAGTCAACAGAGGTTGAATTTAAGTAGCGAGAATGTGGATGCAATGAGGATTTTTTTTTTTTATTTGGTAAGAATATTTTGTTGACATAAGTGAAAGAATCAGTTGAGCAATCTTATGCGATTACATTTCATAGCTGAATATTTAACAACGTAAATAAACTAAATTTTTTAAATAGCCTTTTATTTACACTCTTTTACAGCATGCAAAAAATTCTATACAGTAAATTTAACTGCAAAATAACACACAGCAAATTCTTGATCCAATATGTCTATATATACATACAGATCTATGAGCATATACAGGTATAAGTAGTACAAAATGTCAAGTTATTGGCACATGATGATTAACTTACAAAATATTAATCATGGTTTTTCATAAGAGGAAACATCACCATTGAATGGTTTGAATATTAAATGGGAAAAAATACCTGCTGCATGTTTTTGTTATAGATCTGATCATGTGTTTTGTATAATAATAAAGTCTTTAATCACATTTCTAAGTAAAAGTGTCACAGGATCTGAACCTGGGTGGTTTCAATTTGGAGCAAGAAATTTAACACTAGTCTCACCTCATTCTGTCATATCACCGTGTATAATTCATCACTGTAAATCACGTACATACAGCCTATTCTCATTAAGGTACAGTAACGTTTAAACCATTTTATTGTGATATACATTATCCAAATTCATGCCAATTGTCCGATCCCTGAAGAACACAATGGAAATGGTTGTATAGGTGCATTTATGAGTCAAGGATAAGTAAGCTTTTGTTTTCACAATTGTTTCATTTAAAAGTCAAATCCATGTTCAGTAACCACTATGAGCAGCATAAATCATCTGTTGTATGCATAAAGGAAGACATGGGTGCAGAATGCCCAACTTTGAAAACGAACACCTGATCGAATTTACTGCCTGTATAAAAGCTTTACACGTTATAAAAGCCCTTCCCCACATGTGCTGACATCAGTGGCCATACGTGCAAACATGTAACACGAATGGGAGTCAGATGAAACAAGCAATATAGAAACAATGAAAGTTAAAGGTCAGAGCAGCGCTGACATTTCGTTTGGACCCACAACAAACAGCTAACATCAGTCTCTGTCACAACTGGCATTCAAGATTAAGTTAATATTGTCATAAATGTGCCACATATCAATGGAACAGACTGCAGCTTTTCTCGATCTAGTTAATCCAGAAACAAGCCTGACAGTTTCTATCCCAAATTTTAACATATCACATGGTTCCACTGAAACCAAACCACAATGAGATTTATTGCTAGGAGATAGTTAAAGAATTGAGTGGATAAAAATCTCACTTGAAAAGCAGAGATAGCACTGGAGCACCCCATGACAGAGACGGACACTGGGCACAGCCGCCGTGGAAGATACCCTAAACACAACAAGTACAGTGTCATTCTGTAATGACCAACATCTCTGGGAGACTAATGTAATCTCTGGGATAGCTCTGTGCGCAGGATACACATCTGCCCCCCCCCCAGGTGTTTTTAATGAACTGTAGCAGGTGATGCATTTTTATGCAGACATGACAAAATGCTGAATCATTATGGTTATGAGGGCTACATGGAAATGGAAAATAGGAACATCTGCTTTTTGGTTAACAGGTTTATGGAAAAATGTAACCAGACTAAAAATACAGGGAAAAAATATTCAAACTCTTCTGTAGGGGAATATGACAACACATTATGATGTGAATGAGAGGACCAGTCCGTTCTCAGGAACATGTGCATGCCAAAGAATCTCTTCTCGTTGCTGCTGGTGAGGTGAGCGTGGGCTGTGTGTCACCCGCCCCTGATGGCTCTGTGGAGGCAAGCGCAACGCCAGACCACACGCACATCCACTCTCAGCATGGAAAAGACAAGGACTTTACAGGTGGGATCCACAGGCTGTGAGCCATGGTAGTACGGACAGTGTAAAACCTAACATTTCATTTATTGATATCAAAAGGTAGATATACAATAAAATATTCCATCTATTATTAACAAGGAGATAAAATGGAAAAAATACCCACCCCCTGCTCATCTATGCCAGATGACCAATGATAAAACAAGAGTAATTAGAATATAAAAATACTGTACAATTGCCTTTGAAAAATCAGTCAAGAATGTATTCAGAAAGCACATCTCCGATAAATTTCTCAGTACTAAGACTAATTATTAAGAAAGATCTTTGCATCTAAATTCTAATTACTTTCCTTAACAATAAAAATACAAACTCTTTATGGATTTGAAAAATATGTTTCTTGTAATATTCCATAACAAAGATCCTTTCCCGTCATCATATCAAAGGAAAAAGCTGATCATCATAAGTAATGGAAGGTTTTCCTAAAAGCACTCAAATGCCATTTCCCAGAAACAAGCATGTGCTGCCTATGAAAGACAAGAAACTCCTGCTATGAACATAATTCATTAAGAAAAATAAATAACTGATCATCACATAACTGATACCAAGCCAATATCTCACCATCCACTTTAAATGTGACTGTTGTAACACTATGGTGTCTGACTTGTTTCTAAAGTCCATAGTGATGATATTGCAGCTTCTACATTATATTCCCGTTCATGCAGTCCCTGATATGAAGTGGAAAAGGGTGAAATGCAACCCAAGCTGAATGCAGGACGCCCACTGTCTTTTAGCAGTTTCACAGGATGCTTTTCTGTCATGATATCGCCTTGAATATCTGTACATTAAAACGGCCCATCTACTAGAATACGTTTATTAAAGAAAGCTAAAATGTAAAACTGTTTCGATTATCAAACAAAATCTTTCAGTAAAACTATAAGTCACCAGCAAAATACATGGACAGCAATGCAGCAGGATGCTTGTAGCTAGACAACACACGACACATTCAGAGTTCCTCCTCTCAGACAAGAACTACACTGAGTGCATAGCTACTTACCACTGGCTACTGGAAAGAATCACTGATCACTACAAACCAAACTGTCCCAAACCTCCAGAAAGGAGCACATGGATTCAGTATCTTCTAACAACATGTCTGGAATCTGCTTCAACTAGAGTATGATTCTTCTGCATCTGGTATTTTTATTTGAGTCTAAAGCCAGACAGCTACTTATAATAGTCATACTGTTTTACCCATGAAAACCTGGTTCATTGGTTTTAGATGTTTTTCCCTGGCCTAAACCTGGTTAATATGGGTAAGGAAACCACCTAGGATGAATCCACAAATGGTATTTCAGCTCCAACAGTTCGCAGTCATCCAATTATCAGACCCAAGAGCCAGCGGGGCATCGCTCTCCAGTACCTCTTACTTGTGCACCAGCCTGAGAATTCTGACCCACCTCTAATGCCAAGAGGAGGCAGTAGGTTCAAGTTTTTCTTCTTTGAATAGGACACATACAAAGCAATAAGAAACAAAAACAAACAAGAATAGCTGCCCCTCCTACACACAAGAAAAAACGAATTAAGGATGGAGAACACTGCTTTAGTCTGTCTCCATATTGACAGAGGAACTGGCGCCGTCCACTTTGTCACGGAAGGGGGGGGTGGTGGTACTGGGAACCGGCGGAGATGAGGAGCAGCTATCCGAGGGAGCAGGCAGGATGGGCTGGCGGATCTTGTCTTGTCGTTGGTAGAACAAGAGGTAGGCAGCATTGGTCTTAGGGTGCGGGGGGGGGAAAGGGGGGTTTGCAGTTACAAGTCACCAGCTCAATCATATAATGACAACCATCATACAAAAGCCCCGCCTCAAATGTAGTCCAATATGGTCCAAGAATCCAAATCATTACAGAGCCATTGGTCATTCCATGGAGATCATACACCGGATTGTCTTGCTGCAGCCCATGTTCCAGAATTGGCCCCTTTAGGTCCTCCTTTTGCCGATTGCTAGGGCTGATACTATGCAGATGCAATACTATTGATTCCCCGCTACTCTCCCCACACCTCAAACGCCTGCCTCCCCCTTCCCCACCTCTAACGGCACATCTTCGTTAACTGCTAGGTCACCCGCAGGGACACAACGGAGCACTCCCAAACTGCACAGAGAATTTCTAGATTTTATTCTCTCCATATGCCTGAACTCATTTAACCCATCTAAGTGGTCAGCTTACCACAATTTGTTCCTCCCTTGCATAGGTCACCTTGCTGTCATCGAAGTAATACCATTGGCCATTGTCCTTGTTCCGCGCATAACTGGTATCTACAGATGACAGAAAATAAGGATTGCTACAGAACCCTCCAGCAGAAGATCTGGAATGCATGGAGGGCTATCTTCTGACACAGCCTGTGATTGTGTCTGCTTGAACCAGAGCCTGGTTTTGATGCATTTTTTCATTTCCAAAATCATACAGCTACTTATAATAGCCACACAGCTGTATTGATAAGAACTGAGCTCACTGCTTTACTGTTGCTGAAAAATATACTCCGATGCAGATTATGCTGAGCAACAGTATGAACTTACAATGTCCATCTCTGAGTCCGCCATAGTGATTAGAAACAGCCATCAAATCATATCGGCTTGGAGGTTCCCTGTCAGAATCTGTCTTCCTCAGCAGAAACTGCGAAAAATCCAGATCCCTACAACAAAGAAAGAATGCTTATATCAGAATGCTTGGCTGTGAATAGTGTATTTAAAATACAAACAATACATCACCTTTGGAAAAGGAACACCAGAAAAAACTCGAGCTCTACAGTCATGAAGACACTTTCAGACCAGCATGCGGCATACCTTAGGGGAGCAGTGACAGGCGGAGTGCATGCGGCATACCTTAGGGGAGCAGTGACAGGCGGAGTGCATGCGGCATACCATAGGGGAGCAGTGACAGGCGGACTATATACCTTAGGGGGAAATCCACTATTGTATCCAGCTTCTCACGGGAATACTTGGTGTAAGAGAAGCGCTTCAGGTGGATGATGAGGACTTCTGGGAGGGACCACAGGTCCAATTTCTTTGTTGCCAGCTGATGCTTCTTGCATAATGGGCAGTACCTACAACACACTCTTGTTTTTACTATGTGTTCATACCTAAAGCCTTGCAGGGTCAAATTCTATTTGGTTAGGGCCTTCAGAGATAGATAGTTTTATGAAAAGGCCCTTATTTAAGTTTGAAATTTTTTCTCTCCGACACTGAGGAGAGTTTAGAAACCAGAGGTACCAGGGATTCTCTTCCTCCAGTGTCTCCACGGTGGTGAAGAGTTCGATGCACTGCTGCAGATCCACCCTGGCTTGTTGGTGAGGGATCTCCATGCTCCTGTCCTTCATGTACTTCTGCGGGTGCAACATGACACAATAGCAGCGACACGCACAGGCCGTCATCACGCACACCAAAGCAGAGCAAGCCTCAGCCCCTCCCATACCTCAGCCTCGTTCTCATTGTAGTGCTTCTTCTTCATGTCGGGGTCCCAGTCAATGGCGACGTAGGGCTGAGCTGCAGACAGACAGCAGAGCATTCGCTGAGACCTGGTCACATGCTCAGGGACGCATTCTTAGAAAAACCACCCATGCAGAAAATTTCAATAAGATGGTGAAGAAAGGGGGACAAAATAAGTTTTGCAGAATTAAGTCAGGTTTGCTGCTAACCTTGAATTAAAAAAAATAAATATAAAAAGAACACACCAACACAATTTCTGACAATATACAAAAGACTAAAATTCACAAATATCACTTGACAAAGCTTTATTTATAAAACTAATAATGCTGCAATAAATATTTAGGTCACATTAATTACAACTGTTTCTAGATTTTAACAAAAAACCTATTTAATCAATGTGTTATTCTACCTGGGGAATGGATAAATCTGCAGTTGCCTTTTGTACATCAATTTTTACTTTTTAATAGACTTACTGAAAGCTGTAAAACTTGCTAGCAATATTAGGGTAGTAATACTATCTCTCAAAAAACACTCATATGCAGGTGAATACTTTACAGTAGCCAACAAGGCCTATTAATCTATAACCCTACATACATATCTTGCCATACAGCATATATGGGGGCTTCAGGACTTGGGCTCTGAGCCACAGGTTTACTTTCAGTTTACCCATTTATACAGCTGGAAATTTTGTTTGTATTAAAAAGTACAACGGGCTAAAGTAAGCATGAGCTTAAGGAGTGCATGAGTCCAGAGTTTAGGGGCAACCTAGAAGGACGATGGCAAGATCACTCGTGCTGAGGTCAAGGCTGGAAATAAAGCTCGTTCATTGGCCTGAGGGGGTAATTAAGATGAAGGCTGAATACAAAAAAAAAGCTCAACATTAGCCCATTGGCTAGTAAAAAAGATTGCATGTACAGCTGTAAAAGCTATCGCATTAGTGTTAATTTTAAAGTCACAAGCTTAAAATTGCATCCGTTAAATTTGTTAGACCAATGGAAAAGAAAAAAAAAAAAAAACAGTAAGCACATATTTTTAATAGACTTTCCTTCTTGGTTGTAAAGGACAAGAGATGTACTCATGATGCTGCGCAAAATTTCAATCAATTTATTTTGATACTTCTGTTTGAAAATAAATACATTTCTACACTGACTATATAGAATAATCTTTTTTGGATGGTGGTGGTGTGCGGAGGGGATCCGAGCCCGGCACTCACAGCTGAAAGAGAAGGTGTTTCCGCCGTCACCCAGGCCCCTCTCTGTGGTGCCGTTGGAGTTCACCGCCTGGATGGAGAACAGCGACTTGCTGCGTTTAGTGGGACAGCACTTTCTCTTCGGTTGGCGCTCACTGGACTGAGGGCTGGGGGGTGTGGCTTCATCCTTATCTACTTCCTCTTCGCCATCCTCATCCTCCTCAGAGGGCTGCTGCCTGGCAGCCTGCGGGCTGCCAGAAGCATCTGGTAACTCCTCTGAGACGGTGGCTCCAGCTGACTCTCCATCCTCCGCAGCACAACCCTTTTTCCTTCTGCTGTTGGCCACAGCAGTGTCCTCCTCTCCCGTAATGTTGTTCGCATGGTTGACCTCAGACTCTGAGCCATCGGCTTGGCCGTCCCCCTCTCTCTTGGAGGGCCCTGGCTTGTCACTCTCTTCTTCGTCGTCATCTACATCCGGAGACAGAAGGAAGAGTGACATCCATAAGTGACTAATTTTTAACAAAATGCTCCAAAGACCGACTCCATTGGGAGCTGACAGCAAAAAATAAATCTGTTCCTCCACAAAGAAAAGTGAGTAGAGAAGAGAACAGAAAGAGAAGAAAGAAGAGAAGACTAAAGAGAAGACAGGAGAGGAGAGAGGAGAGGAGAGACTGATCTGACTCGCAATGCACTTCACAAAGGTTCCTCAGGATAACTATGTATTCAGAGTAATGGGGGTAATATTACCATCGCTCACTCCGTTGGTCTGAGTCTTATACAGCTCTTCTTCCTCATCATCGTCATCATCTGCCTCCTCCTCTTCATCCACCTCTTCCGATGGGTCCGGCTGACGAACGTAGCGTCTGAGAGAGAGTGAGACACTTCAACTATCTCCAGGGAACAAGGAGCTCTACCTATCTTTGTCAGTAACTGAACCAGTGTGTCAATCGAAACTGAATTAAAAAGAGGGATCAGTACAGGCCAGAATATAAGTGAACGCATAAACTCCACTCACGCCAAACGCTGAAGGAAGTAGAGGTAGAGGGCCTCCTGAGAGCATAGGCTGCGCGGCGTGGAGATCAGCAGCGGATGGCCGAACAGCGATGTGCCGTAGTTGCTGCTGCCTGAGCCGTAGTCGCGGTAGTGCGAGCGCTCTCGCAGGTAGAGTGCCAGCACCACCTCGTCTCCATCCTCCTCGACGGAGCCCCTGCTCAGCTCATAGCTGCCGCAAGGGAACACAAGGGCATTTACTACGTGTCTGGAGGGCCACGGCAGCCCTTTCACGACACCCAGTCGTGATTCACACTCACACAAAGATGTCGTCCCGATCCAGGATACAGCTAAGGGACTCATCAGCCTGGTAGATCTTATAGAAGCGATGGTTGAACACATCAGCCACGATCATCTGAGCAGTAATGAAAACCAAGGTCAGCTAGCCCAGGGCAAACATTCACGCACAACAGAATCTCAATAATTAGTTGTCACGCTATTCATAAGTAGGATTGTTCAAGGAGCACACAAAAAAACACCCTCTGATTTACTTTATGGTTGCTCTTGATGACAGCCATGCAAAAATGCTTGAATTAACAGGGTTTAAGAGACCCGTAGCTTCAACTTACCTGACTGGCTGGCACATTGGTCAGTTGGGACAGAGCCAAACATAGATCTGACACTTTGCCTGCTTTGGGTACAACCAAGCGATACTAGTTGAGGAGTAGGAGAAAAATACATGTCAAATAAAAACAATTTCAGTTCATTCCTGGAGTAAGTATGGAGATTTGGCAGGATAATTTCAGCCAGGGGGGTGGTTTACCTGCTTGGGTTTGGCTGCTGGGTCAAGAGAGACAAAAAATACTTCCATCACTCTCTCCTTGCTGACAGGCAAGGGCACACTCAGGTAACAGAAGGGGTCAAAGGTGACAGACACTTTGTGGCATTCGGGGCAGACAAGGGTGGACTTGAACAATCCATGAAAAATGTCCACAATCACGGAGTCGTTCCGTCGCCGGTGGTTACGCCAAGCCTCCTCAGCCACAGCCTGTCACATGACATGCTAGGCGGTCAGAATCCAACAGAGTAACACTGTCCCCTACTCTTAAATTTAGGGACAACTCATAACTTTACAAAAATACAAAATATCTAAGTATAGAGAGCAAACACAACATACACAAAGAAGAGGTTGTTATAATACTGTATCAACCCACAGCAGGTCTACACATGCATCTTCACAGTGATTACGACAACAAATAGCAGACACAAAAGATTAAACTTGACCCAGTCATCTTACAATATATGAATCCCAGTTTATGTACTTAAGTGTGCATAGACGACTCTTCACAAACCTGGTCAGGTCTACCATCAGCATCCCGTAACTCTATATACTCCTTGTTCTTGACACGGTTGAGGTCCTCGTGCAAGCCATCAAGCAGGAAGGAGAGCAGCTCCTGGGAATCGTGCTGCTGATAGCCCAGAAACTGGGAGGCAAAGTGGCCCACCTTGGTCTGCACATGAACAGCCATATTAGAGGATCAGAGCCTCTACTGAAAGAGAGCAGCGTACCTTGGGGCCTCTATAGCGGCCTACCTTGAAGATACGAGGCACGACAGAGTAATGGCGGCCGGACCACATCTGCTTGATGACGTCAGCATAAGCCTCGGCGATCTCGCCTTTCATACCCAGCGGGTTGGTGAAGTTCAGCTCCTCCAGGTAGCCATTGCATAAGAAGTACTCCGTCAGGGGAGGGGTGTTGCTGAGACACTGGAAAGGAGAAGATTGGGTGGAGGTGCACTGCTAAGAACACCAACCGTCCAGACAGCTGCCCTAATGCTGAAAAGCCATCACATTCACTAGCTTGCTTAAAATAAGTTGGGTGAAATCTAACTTAGCCTGTCACGCAGCAAAGCTGCCAGGCATGAAAATCCACTAAATAAACAAGAACATAAAAACAAACGCCAGTAGCAGAAGCAGCAGCAACCTACCTGAAGGGCAGAATTCATGAAGCATGTGTTTCCCAAGTTAGTGAGGCCACACACTCCTGGCTGGCCGTGGTACGAGTCCTGCTCGTCCATAGAGTTCCTCCTGGAGACACGGTACAAGGTAACACATCCACAATTAGCACAGTAACTGTGCTTCAAATTACTCAACTATCACTGTGAGACTATAGCTACTGTCACACTGCATTTCAGCTCAGTAGAAAATACAAAGAAAAAAAGAATAGCTATTTAGTCTAAGTATATCTATGCATCCATCCATCTTGCAAAAGCTTATCCTGGTGTCTTAGGCAACATGGATAGGATCTATGTATGTACCATATATTTCTTTATTACACACAAACACATATTGATTATACACACAACCATAGGTGGACAAGCTACACGATTCAAGCACCCCAACAAAGGTGAGCCGTATTAGGGTGAATAAACATTAGCAGCATGTGTCAACTATAAGTGATCAGTCTATTGACCCTCCAGTCAAAAAAAAAAAAAATTTAATGCATCAGTTCCATTTATGGGTAGTTCTAGAGCCCAACCTACATTTTTACTTCCCTCATGCCTCAAAGAACTGTAAGCTACTGAAGGGATAGGACTGAAGCTATTCAAGGGGTCTGAAGGTCAAAGGGTGGCCCTACTCCTTATGAGACCCTTGCTATTGATAAGTTTGTATTATTTGTTCCAACCTATGGGTGTCCATATTCTACACACACACCTCGAAAAGGCGTGTGTATCCAGCAGGGAGTTAATAAGCATTTTTCACCTGGTTCTTTACTTACGCTATGTTCAGATCTTACACCTGACTTCTTCATATTGTGACACAGCAATACATCACAGGGTTTTCGTTAATAGCCACATGGTTAATCATTAACAGCCTTGTTTTAAGATATCATTAGAAGCCTAATAGGTAGCCATGAGCTATTGATGTGTGACGGAGTACATAAAAATTTATCTGTAGTGACTAATGGTGAGCTGACACGCTTCTGAACGCCCATAAAAGTTCCAAAAGGAGGCCTTAAAGCAACACATTAAGTCCCCTAATAATCTTTAACACTTATTGACAGTATAATTTTTATTTTTGCTGAACCAGACTTCAGGGCTATGACACATTTCAATTGTACCGTTTGATTTTAAAAACTCTATTCAAGCTTTTCACTGGTAAGATCTAATTAACTTCACGAGGCCATAATTCAGAAGCATTGAGAAGCAAATGCATTATTATAATAGATATTCAAACTGAAGATCCTTGCTGTGGCTTGCAAACCAGCCAAACACACAGTACATCACTCACATAATTTGAGGTCTGGAGCTGGGCCAGGTACCATCAGTGTTCCTCATCTCCATGATCACTGTCTGCAACACAACAGGAGACCTTCAGGAAGGAGGAGGAGGAGGCAAGGCCAACATGCGACAGAGCTCTGGTTTGCACAGAGAGAGGAAGGAGGGACGTACCATGCCAGAGCTGAGACAGGACTCAAGCACGCTGATGTGAACATTGCGCAGCCTCTCACAGGTTGTGTCAGAGCTTTTCATCCACAGCCTGGTCTCCGCAGTCTCTGGTACCTCAAACAGCCTCCGCATGGTCTTCTGAATCGCAACTGTTAAAGGACCGGGAGGGGAAACACCATGGAACCACATTCGACAGAAATGCCAGAACAAAAAAAGAATACAAACACAAAGATACTCATCAGGATGCTACATTGTCTTCTACAGCACGTGTCACAGAATGTATTAAAAAGATGTCAATTTTGACAGTCAGGAACTCTGGAACAAAGAAGGCTTACATATAGAGTCTGCGCGGCTGAATTTCTCAGTGAGAACGTTCTCCATATCACTATGAAGACACAAGAAGATCTCCACCGGGTACACCTCCACTTTGACGGTGCTGGGCAAGTCCACCACCTGACACATTAAAAAAAAGGTTGGATTTACATCCCACTGTGCATATGATGCACTTACTGACTTTTCATGAATTCAGACGTTTACAAGCTAAACTTATACAAGATCTAGGCAATATACAACCTAAGACACATCTACCTCCATTCAGCTGAATCCTTCCCTTGCTTTACGTGAGATCTGACAAGGACGAATGGTGGCAACAGGAACCTACCTTGCGTTCAAGGGGGGGCTGATCAGCTGCCCTGCCATACCAACTCAGAAGCTTATGCCAAGCCTCTGCTGGGATCAACACAAAATCCTCATTCTCCACAAGCCCATCCCTCAAATGGTAGGACTCCAGATCTGTATCAAGAAGGATTGTAACAGCCTGTTATCATCCTTCATATTAAAGCATAAGTTGTCAAAAATTACTGAACATCATGATGCGGTTGTTGATATGCAATAGCCAGAACCATTTATTCATATCTTTGATAAATAAGAGCAAAGATAGCACACATCCCAAGACATTTACCCATTTATTTTACATAACCACTTCTCCAGTATTGAGTTTGGAGACTAAGCCCATGAAGAAGAAGGCATGATGCAGGGGAGACCCTGAAATGGATGCCAGTCCATCACACTAAGAACATAAGAACATAAGAAATTTACAAACGAGAGGAGGCCATTCGGCCCATCAAGCTCGTTTGGGGAGAACTTAACTAATAGCTCAGAGTTGTTAAAATCTTATCTAGCTCTGATTTAAAGGAACCCAGGGTTTTAGCTTCCACTACACTAGCAGGAAGACTATTCCATACTCTAACTACACGCTGTGTAAAGAAGTGCTTCCTCAAATTTGTTTTAAAATGTTCTCCCGCTAATTTCCACTTATGGCCACGAGTTCTAGTATTTAGACTAATATTGAAATAGTCATTTGGCTGAACAGCATTCAGACCCGTTAGAATCTTATACACACATTCCCACTCACAACTACATGTCATAGACGATTTACAGCTCCCAGCTTACCTAACCACAATTTTTGGACTGCAGTACCCAATGGAAACTAACGGGAACATGGGAGATCATGTAAACTCCACACATACAGAGCCAAAGGTGGTAGTCTTTCTTGCTATTTCCCAACACACACTGGTAGAGTATTTAATACTTATATGATTCCTTGAAAGGCCACACTGGAATTTTTCAGGTTCACTGAACACTAAAATACTGAGACCTAAGATCAAATGAGAAATTTAGTGTAACTATATTTGACCAGTTTGACTGATAGAACAAAGCAAATCCACTATCAACCATTCATCCAAAATTAAGAAACTCTTTTTGAATAAGCCTTCCTTTTTTACTGATCTTCTGACTATTTATTACAAAAACTCATAATACTTTTGCAGTTTCTCTGATTAATTGCTTGGCTGTGCTTCCTTTGAACGTGAGCCTTTTCCCCACCTGCCTCTCATGAGAAAACACGCAGCTCAGTTGAACTCACCCTCGAAGAGTTCTGTGTTGTCTATCTGCCCAGGAAAGGAGGAGGAGTTTTGGTCCCCTGTTTCAACATACTCCTTCCACAGCTCATACCATCGTTTGTCCAGCAGGTACCTGAAATACAATCGAGACAGATTTTCAGATTGCTTGTTCCTCTTACCTTTCATCTGCCCCCATTGTCTTTCATTCCTGTGACAAAGTTGCTGATGTCACACATTCCTTTAAAGAACTGTCCCATCTGGGACTCTCCATTCCACTTCTGCCCCAAACCCCAGTTCTTCTAAACTCTTCATTAGATACCAGCTCTCCACCCTCATCACACACATCTTCATCCTGACATTCCTAAGCTCCTTCTGTCAGATCTCAGACTGCTGGTCCTTTTGATGAGTCTTTTGCTCCTGAGACCTGAGAATCTTCTCACTCTGAAGTGGTGACACATCCAGGATCATGTACCAAAGCCAGAGAACAAGAATCATGTTGTACCATAAGTAAGCAGAACCTTCTGGAAACCAGGCCGAATCCTTGATGGTCCATAAGAATCTATAACTTCTGTGTAGATTCTTAAGAAAACTTTTGCAGGGAGAGGAGTCACTAAGTCATTAAGTACTCCATTCAACATGGACTCTTATGACTAGGAACCAGAAACCTTTCAAACACGGGGTCAGAGTCCGAATCCACAGAACCACACACTACCCTAGTGAGTATATTAATATAATACATTTATTTATCCACAATAAAAGAGGTACCTAAGAATACCTGAACCTGTTAAAACACTCTTATACAATTAATACAGATGTAATTCGCTAAATTCGTGCACCAAATGTTAAAATATGTCATGGCAAATATCCAGAAAACGGACGTATACAAAAAAAAGACCGAAAAAAGACCACAAGAAGCAAGTATTCTATGGCGCAAAGAAATGTGGACTTGGTGAATAAAAACTTTCATTTAGAAGTACAGATTCCTTAGGAAGGGTACCATGACTTATTTACCTTTTCAGCGTACACTGCGCTACGTTTCTCAGCTTTTGCCCAAAGCGTTCATCAAAAAGTTTTGGAAAGAAGTGATACCCTGAAACGAAATGAACCCTAAAAAGCAAAAAGCTTCAAAGCTTCGGGCGCAAGTCCGTGTAAAAACATTTCACAACCTTAAATATGCCAGTTCACTTATGTTCTCCCGGCAAGATTGCTGGCAGTGCAACTATACAGAGGCTATAATGCACTGGGGTTACCGAAAGTCAGGAGCTGACGTAAAAGTTAATGGCTAGAAAAACAGATCCAAGTTGAAACTGAAAGTAAAAATTAATACAAGGGTTAAATTTTAAAGACTTGGGCAAATCTGGCCATATGTATATATACACTCAGTCATCCAGGTTGTGTGTATTTAACACAGAATTAAGACGTCTGAAAAACGATAGCTACCCAAGCTGCGAACAGTAGCGACCTGCTTTGAAGTTATTAGTTAACTCGCCAACGGACTTGCGATCCATGCAGAGAGCGTCGGTTTAAAATTACGGTTTTTCAATCATTTTCAACTAGGGACCACAAATGAAAACATACCAGAATTAAGGATGGCATAACAACGACGATATAAGAACCGGGGGGGGGGATTGCAAAATTTCTGGCTCAGACACAAGGGTCCCCCTTCAATATCTGTCGCGTTGAGTAAACTGGATACCGACAATAATACAGGTGGCTGCGCACCCTGTTACTGCTCTACGGATCCCGAGGGTGAAAACCCCTGGTTTCTTCTGCGCTAAGAAAGCGGCCATGCACAGGGTTACCGGCTGCCTGACAGTCTGTGGGCGGCGCGTCCCATATAGTCCCGACGAAAGCATGCCTGTAACCTCTCCAACGGCGCAGGAGTCAGACAACAGGAATTCTGCGTATTCTTTCAATGCAGCCTCAGTGTGATCATGACATGACAACAATCTCTCAAAACCGCAGTAAATAAAGGCACCCGAGCGAAGGGACTCATCGGGAAGGACAAACGAACCGGTCGAGTTAGGAATCGAGGCTGGAAGTGCAGACCTGTATCCCTGGTGGGGTACTTCTACGACCGGCAGGACCGCTGGTGGGACCGGGTGAATAGTCAAGGTTTACTCGGCTAGGTGAATGGCCAGCTAGCCCGACAGCTATGTTATTGTCGTTGATCGGTGGGTGTCAGCCAGAGGGCGGCAAGTCAGTCTTACCAGCTGTCCCCGGCGCGGAGATGGTGGTTCTGGACCAGGCCCTCCACTTCCCTCCGTTGGGTTTCTAAACCAGGCGGTTCTGCTGCGGCGCCGTCGGCAGACCCAGCCATAATACCGCATAAATGTCAGAATGTGAAAGGAAAGCACTCCACTCATCCACCGTAAAGAAAACCGGAAAACTGGAGTGAACACAGGAAGCAGGAAGCGATTGGACGATGACTACTTCCGGTCCGGGGGAAGGGGGTGGGGGCAGCTGTGAGGGGCTGCGTCACTTCGTAAGGCCTTTGGGGCATTTCCAGTGAAATGGTACACATGTTTTAAAGTTATTCGTGGAAAAACGTTACGTTACGTTATGTAAAATGTTCAAGTAATGTAGAGCTTTCGGAGTACTGGAGACGAACAGGTTTCTGTCTGGGTCATTTCCACAGTTTGTGATCTTTTTACGTCCATTACGCATTTTATGTTTACTGTATAAACTATAAAGCCAAATTCTCTTGAATTCCAATGGAGTAGGTGGCAGTATGTTACAGTGTAATTTATGTATACAGAGAAATGTGAAAGAAGTTGATAATGACAAGGGAAAGATGTATTTTGTGTTTACAACACTGACGTACTGTGCATCTTTTTTGGTAGAACATACGATAGCTGTTCCTTCTTAATAGCACAGGTTGCCGGAAATAGTTAGCCTGGAAACAAATTAAATGAGAGAAAATGTTCTTTACACTTTATTACTGGCAGTTTAGCAGCACGATGTAGCCTCGTACTAGAGAAGGAATCTTGTACGACACAGGGAAAGCCTGCAAAAACTTTGGAAGTGTGGGGCAATAGCGCAATATGGCGAAACACACACAAGTGATCTTCTTAATTGCGTGATAGTTATTCCGTAATGCCGAAGTGACATAAATACAGTAATACACACTGGGCCTTAAGGGAAGAACCGGAAAACCTGCTCCGGGACACACCCACTTATGAACAAGTTATTGTGTAGAACAGGGAGGTCTGAGAAACCAGGATGTGAAGAATACGGAACAGTTCAGATTTGTTTTCTGCCAGGTGTATTCAGACTTCTGCATACAGAACTAAATGAGAAAAGCCACCCTAAAAAGAAAGCCTTTGTAATGGGGCAAGTGTTGAATTTGTATACTTTTGTTTACTTTTTACATGCGCAAAGAATGCAGGGTTGGGTTGAACTTGGAGCTTATCTTGGGAAGCATAAGGCACTGGTCAAGCACAGGATTTAAATCCATAAACCACGCAACCCCACCTGGAAATATAAGGCATGAATATATAACTGTTGCTATTGTATTTATAAGGATGTATGTTCCCGCTTAGATTCATGTATTGTAAAGCACAACAGAGCTCGAAATTGATTTATTAGGATTATACTTACAGAGTAAATAATGTGGCTATTCTGTTAGTTTTAATTATACATATACATGTGTATAATTTTAAACTTGAAACTTGAAATTGCGTATTTCGGAACTAATTAAATATGAAACAAGGGTCTCCAAGTTTTCCATCATACCCTGCTTCTGATGAGCCATGCCTGTTCTCAGGTAAATACCAGGAACAGGTGTGGCTCATCAGAAGCCAAGTGGGACAGAAAACCTACTGGATAGTAGCTCTCCAGGACCGGAGTTGGAGACCCCTGCTCTAAAAGGAAGAGGGGGATAAAACAAATGCGGCTCCAAGCAGTTTCTCCTGTAGGTTGCGGTTCAGCTAATCACCACCAGAGGGCACTGTCGTCACATGTGAGACGGGCACATTTCAGATAATGCAACTACGTCTTTCCACCTCATAATGAAATCATATTCCCCTCTTCAGCTCCCATTTAAACCAAGTATAAAAATATTGCTCCTGAAAAATATTTTATTTCATTACTCAATTCTAAACCCACTCCCCCCTGTCAACAACATTAACCGTTGCCTCCTGTCTCTCCCCAGTAAGTAAGGGGGACTCTGAAAACTGACATAGTCCAGGGGGTTCTCATCATGGTGACGTACCTCTGTCAGCATTCGCATGTCCATTCAGCCTTTAAGCAGAGCCATAACCAGCCCCCCCCTTGCAAAATGCTCCCCGGATGCTGAGTACATGGCTGACCCATGACCCTATGCTGTCAACTGTATATACAACAATGTGCAAAAGTCTTAGGCATTCAAAGAAAATGATGTTTAAATAACATAAAGGGTACTATATGTGTGTGTATGTCTCAAAAGACAGCAAGATGCACAAAGAAGTCTGTGTATTCATATTTGAGCAAATAAAGTCACTATATTTCATTTTTTAAAATACATATAAAATGTTGACTACATTTCTAAAGCGTAGGAAAATTTAAATTATTTTTTTATTACCTGTCTTGTTTTGAAAAATGTATACTTTATCTATACCTGCCATTATTTCGAAGGCTTTGTAGCCTAAGCAGTGAAATATTTATCACTGCTGGAATGCTGTGTATGTGAATGACTGAGACTTCCAGTGTGACACTGATCCCAGTTCTCCTTCAATTGGCTCAGTAGATGATTATGGATCATCCGTCTGCATCAAGCCCTAAGTGCACAGGGCAACAAGCAGTTTGTCTGGTTTCCCCTGTAACTGTTGTGTTATCTCTGTACTGAAGGTGGTCCCTGTGTCAGGATGTGGCCCTGAATCTGTAGTCCACCAAGGGCCAACCAGGCCCTTTCATCCTCGGCCAGGGTTTCAGAAAGTGACAGACTGTCAGCACTGGTCTCCGTGTTAATTCTCTGTTAATTCATGAACAAGCTGAAGACATTGATGCTGCTCAGTTTCTGCACATTGGTTTACTGTGAATGTTTCCAAGGCTGATGTACCACAGATCTCACCCAAAGTTATCTGATAATAGTATCATTGGAGAGAGCAGGGCCTTGATTGAGATCAACACAGAAGTGATCAGTGAACATATGAATAATGTATGATTTTACTTATTTACCTTTTTTACTTATCTGATAATACATACTTAGGTATTATAGAGTATGTATCTGATAATACATACTTATGTATTTCATTGTGTGTATCTGATAATACATACAGTATGTATTATAGTGTGTGTATTTGATAATACATACTTATGTATTATGTATTAGTGTGTGTGTATCTGGTAATGCATATGTATTATAGTGTGTGTTTCTGGTAATAGATATTTATGTATTATAGTGTGTGTATCTGATAATACATACATTACATATTTTCCTGACATTTGCAATAATGCGATAGTGGTGAGTCTACACAAATATGGTTTCTTTAATTCACAAAATATGGGCATATTGTATAGTTAAAATTCTGGAGGGCCACCTTAAGGCAATTTACTTTAAGCAATAACAAAATGCATGTTTTTAAAATCTCTCATCTGTATACTAAAAACTATTTCAAAATTAGTTTCCCTTTTATTTAAAACAAACTTAATCCTGATATTTTAATTTTTATTTAATACATTTCCATTTGGGAAGGCAAAATTAGTAATAATTATTACAACAAGCTAGTGGTACTTCAGTATTTATAATCTTTTTTCACCATAATAAAGCAACCAGCATTTGTCTTACACGTCACCCAAAAAAAACTATTTGCAATATTCATGTACTCATTACACCTCCTAGTGGACAACTGCAATCAATTGTTATTCAGCAACGAGCTGCCGAATGTATCGGTTCTAATGTCGATTTAATGCACTACTCACCATTTTAGAGGCTACATCTGGAAAGAGACTTGAAATACTAATTATGTATTTCTTTTATTAATAGAATTGTAGAAATATTTATGTTTATCTTAACTGTTTTCTTCAAACAATAGTTTTATGGAAACGTTTCCTTCATGACCATGACCAGGCCGAGAGATACTTGTAGATGCTTATAGCCAGGGGTGTATCTAGAAATTCTGGGTCCCCTGAAGGGTGTGAGATGGTCACAGTAGATTTTGCCCACCGGGCCCCCGAACTTAGACTTTGGGGCCCCTATAAAGTGCTGCCTCCTCTGAATCTGCCCCTCCGATGGCCCCGCTTGCCGTTCAGAAAATAATGAATCTATAGAAATGAACTTAATGATCTATGGGTTTGAAACTACTTAAATGAATACAGAGACACTGTTCTTTTTAATTTAGGCCTTTTGACAAAACATCCCCTTTTATTATGTATAATTACAGAAGTTGTAAACGGAACACTTGTGCAACTGCAGTTTTCTTATAAATAGGTTACCTGGCATGTAACTGTGAATTACAGTTTATATTACCTTACTCACTGTGAATGATTGTAGAGTGCTAAGCAGTGTACATTTAATTGACCTTCACTGAAACATGAACAATGTGTTCAATGTTAGCGATGATTAAATAAGCAGAACTGTAACAAAAAATATTTTCATATAGCAGCGTTAAGAAGGCAATATCACAGCAACAGGGCCTTTGAAATAAAACTGTAAATCGTGGAGACGGAAGGAGTCAGCCATGCTCAGTTCAGTTTTATTATTAAATCATTTATTCTAACATGCATGTCAGGCAGTCTGAATACCCAGTGTTGCCCAGATCTTGCTGCCCATCAGGGAAGGGCCCTCCATTTCGATGGGAAAGAAAGATCATACAAAATGTCAAAGCAGAAATCAAAGAACATTTTTTTCATTCACATACACAACAGAAATCCTGAGTTTTGTGTTTTAAAAAAGAAGACAATACTCATTGCACATACCAAATACACTACAAAGGTCACCACGCCATTTATGTCATCATCAGAATGCATTAGACGCTTGGAAGTTACCTGTTTTTATTTAGTTGGCCTGACCCTGAAGATCCCACTCTCTGTAAATTGGTTTAATCTCACTGTGTTTAGACACTACACCCTGAACCCCCCCCCCCCCNATGTCGATTTAATGCACTACTCACCATTTTAGAGGCTACATCTGGAAAGAGACTTGAAATACTAATTATGTATTTCTTTTATTAATAGAATTGTAGAAATATTTATGTTTATCTTAACTGTTTTCTTCAAACAATAGTTTTATGGAAACGTTTCCTTCATGACCATGACCAGGCCGAGAGATACTTGTAGATGCTTATAGCCAGGGGTGTATCTAGAAATTCTGGGTCCCCTGAAGGGTGTGAGATGGTCACAGTAGATTTTGCCCACCGGGCCCCCGAACTTAGACTTTGGGGCCCCTATAAAGTGCTGCCTCCTCTGAATCTGCCCCTCCGATGGCCCCGCTTGCCGTTCAGAAAATAATGAATCTATAGAAATGAACTTAATGATCTATGGGTTTGAAACTACTTAAATGAATACAGAGACACTGTTCTTTTTAATTTAGGCCTTTTGACAAAACATCCCCTTTTATTATGTATAATTACAGAAGTTGTAAACGGAACACTTGTGCAACTGCAGTTTTCTTATAAATAGGTTACCTGGCATGTAACTGTGAATTACAGTTTATATTACCTTACTCACTGTGAATGATTGTAGAGTGCTAAGCAGTGTACATTTAATTGACCTTCACTGAAACATGAACAATGTGTTCAATGTTAGCGATGATTAAATAAGCAGAACTGTAACAAAAATTATTTTCATATAGCAGCGTTAAGAAGGCAATATCACAGCAACAGGGCCTTTGAAATAAAACTGTAAATCGTGGAGACGGAAGGAGTCAGCCATGCTCAGTTCAGTTTTATTATTAAATCATTTATTCTAACATGCATGTCAGGCAGTCTGAATACCCAGTGTTGCCCAGATCTTGCTGCCCATCAGGGAAGGGCCCTCCATTTCGATGGGAAAGAAAGATCATACAAAATGTCAAAGCAGAAATCAAAGAACATTTTTTTCATTCACATACACAACAGAAATCCTGAGTTTTGTGTTTTAAAAAAGAAGACAATACTCATTGCACATACCAAATACACTACAAAGGTCACCACGCCATTTATGTCATCATCAGAATGCATTAGACGCTTGGAAGTTACCTGTTTTTATTTAGTTGGCCTGACCCTGAAGATCCCACTCTCTGTAAATTGGTTTAATCTCACTGTGTTTAGACACTACACCCTGAACCCCCCCCCCCCCACACCTCTTCAACCTTTTGGCCACAAATCAGATATTAACAATACGAAAAAAAGACTAAATAATAAAATGCTTCCATGTTAGTTTCAGGCTATAAACTGGAGAGCAGTTTAATTAATCCTTAGTTACATTCCTGTGTATCATTGTAGATAGAGGACACACTTAGCTTATTATCCTATCCATGTCTATTGTTTTGTTTTTCTGCTTGTGTGCGTGAATATACACATTACGAGCTATACAATATACCTATATTTTTTCTAAATGGAAACCATTTATTACACATTATTGCAGAATTTGACAGTACACACATTTGTAATTGATTAATCACACAAGATTAATGTTTTTTTTTTATCCCAGTTCTTGTTTTAATTTCTTGTTTAAACTTTCACTTTTATGTCACAGTTTTGTTCACCCCTTGAAGATGGTTCTGTGGCGTTTTCAGCATTGGAACGCATTTCACCATAAAGACCTCTCCCCAAAGTATCCTCTCCTATTGTCATGTCACGGGCAAGTACAGAGGTAAAGGCAGGCATGGGAAAAACCAAAGGGGGGCTTTATTAAATGAAATAACAGGCAGGGCAAAAGGAAACAGACCACGGGGGGTCAAAACAGGGTATGAAGGATCAGGCAAGAGCATAGAGCACAGGGCAGACGAGGGAACACATGCAGGCAGCTACATCAATGACTGGACAGGGGAGCTTGAAACAGAGAGGCATTATATACACTGACGAGGGAGCAGACGAGAGGCAGCTGGGGTGATCCACACAAGGGCTGCAACAAGAGGCGAGATTAAACAAGTAACAGGTGTGTAACAAGTAATTCGTTAGAGCCACACAATGGAGAGAACGAGGAGGAAGGGATGCACCTATTTACATGGTAGTCAAACTGGCACATTGATTGGACTTATAGTCAATGTAAATGAAGACAAAGTACAGACTCCAATGGTCCGAATAAAGGGTAACCCTTTACATTAACTGCACATTCATAATGCCTTTATAATGTATTTGTAGAACATTCAGAGCACCTTCATTATACATTATACATTGATACATTTTGTGCACCTTCATAATGCATTTATTTATTATTTATGCATTAAGTAGCATGTAAATATACCTTAAAATCTTTAAATATACCACAAAACAAACTTTACCAGCTTTAATATACATTAATAACAATCATTCTGATTATCCAAATATAATATTTGCTATTATCATATAATGTTTGATACTAATATGAATTAAGCCTGTTACAATAGATTAGGATGTTAAGGTATACTTACTCTTACACTTACACTTGCTACTTATGAATGATGCTGTACCAGAGCACCCAGGACTGTCAAAGACCCATCTCACCCCAGTAACTGCCTGTTTGATCTACTGAGGTCAGGCAAATGCTTCAGGACTATTATGGAAAAATCAGAGAGGCTCAGGAAGAGCTTCTACCCTCAGGCTGTAAGACTCCTAAATCAGGACATGCCACCACAGAAGGTCCATTTTCATCAATAGCAGCTAGCACACTGCACTTTACAACAAAAATATCCATAATCTATTCTATTATTTTGCACATTGTGCATATACGGCCTATAATTGTAATGTTGCACATTGTACAGAAATTGCCTGTAATTGTTATTCAGATATATATTTTTTGCATATATTTTCATTACCCTTAGTCTTACACTTTTTATATTTATCTTTAATTTGCGAAACCTTATTGCACAGCCTCAGGACTGAATCAAGGTACATTTCACCACACCTTGTACTTGTATCACTGTGTATGTGTCAAATAAAGAATCATGAATGTTGAATCATTATGAGTATATAATTAAAGCGTTATGAAGGTGCATTAGATGTTCTATGAATGCATAACAAATGCTTTATGAAGATGCAGTTAATGTAAAGCATCACGTAATAGAGTCTAGCTATGTTTATTATTTAGTCTGTTTCCCATGAGTTTGCACCATACATATATCAGAATTGTCTTCCCATCCTGCAGATTCTTTCACAAATTCTTTAAAAACACATTTATTAGAATTTACCTATTCTATTGTTCACATATAGGTATTGATATCTCTTCTCTTTCGACAACATGCAGATCACCTGTACAGGGGCAGCAAATTGAAAGACGTGTTGCTACAACAATGAAAGCTTGTGCTCCTGGTGTCAAAGTGCACATTTTTCTTTTCCGTGTCACACAAAAAAAATCTCATATAACAAATAAAAATAAGGTAAAGTTGCAGTTGTAGACACAGTGAAGACATATATTCCAATTTTCATAGGGAATAAGCATAAAGATGCTTATTACTGCCCACATTCCTGGGCACATACATATTTGCTGTTGCTTCATCATTAGTGCTGTAGCTAATGCTGTTTGTGCTGGGGGTTTCTATGGGCCGTCAGACTTCTGTAAAGCCTCCTTCAGGTACAACACCTTCAGCTCCACTCTCAGTAGCTCCTTAGCTACCTTTCACTCCTTAATGACGTTCATTCAGACATCTGAAATGTGGTGGACCCATGGACTCCTTCTCTGGAAACATCCCTGCATTGTAGGGGTCACACAGTCCTCTATTCATAGTCTTGATATAAAAAATAGTTTACGCACACCATTAAAAATGTTTTCACCTAAAGTCAAATTCAGTATTAATAGTTACATTTTAATCAAAAACATTAAGAACATTAAACAATACCTACATCCATTAGTAAATGTTACACCCCTTTTTTGAGATTTAATATTGAGTTACTTGTTGGTTGATCTGTATCACCCAGCTCTCCAATCTTACAGTTTTTTGTAAATTCAACACATTACATGAGCACATACAAATTGCCATGCCTTCTTATATATAAAAACAGTTACAGACACACAGACAAACAAACACACAGTCCATGCTCAGATGACAGCCAACCAAGTACACAAACGGCAGTCCCGATGCTAAGCTACATTGTTGTTTGGAGCACTTACCCATTAGCCTCGCTAAGGGAAAACTTTCTTATACATGGCTGACAAATCAGCTGCACATACTAACCAACTAAGAAAAACTGAACATCAAAAGGGAGTAAGCACAACTATTTGTCAGTACATTTTTTAGAGACTGATAGGTTGACTTTGTCTGGCTTTGAACCGCATTTTACCTGCAATACTGTCAAAATACATACCTTACCAGCCAAATACAGTTACGAACCATAACTTTCCATTTCAGTATTCCAGGTTTTTTAATTATTATTTTTGTGTCAAGTCAAATGTGATTATTAAAATCCCAGTAATTGTATCAATTATTGTTATTTCATGGGAATTTTTTTCTGCTCAGTAATTACTGTTCCATGATGTCTCCAGAGAGAAACCATTTCCTGGATCTGTTGTTGTGGCACATTATCTACAATTAAAAAGAGAATTAAAAATAATTATTTTGAAATGATATTTCACAGTGTTCCACACAGTTTCTGACAACGCCTAAAGGGAAGAGTACCTTTTTAATACAAGTGCAATAAAAACAAGTGTTGATATGTACTATACATGCTAAATACAAGTAAAACCTCTGAATTAATATTTTTATTAAATGTGTAATAAAAAAAACTTTGGTACTTTGGTTTGTGAGGTAATCAGACTGGAAATGATGTAAGTCACAACACAAAGCTTTGAAAGCAGCGTATTAACTCTGAAATACTTTCATCCCTCATAAGGCATGACACAGTTACAATGTGCCTTTTATGGGATCATTGCACCCTGCTGTAATGAACCATGTTCAAATAACTTACTGAAATGCAAGTGAACACAGATTTTTGTGAAATAAGTTGTACCAGCTGTAGACGAAAAAGACAATACATCAATGACAAGAGCCTTTAGGGTCCAATATTAATGGGTTACAAGTGAATTCATTCAAAACAATTGAATGAAATCAGTAATCCAGTTATTTTAGAACAGTATTATAATTACACTGGTTTAGTAAATCTGTACTGTATTCAGTTGTGCATGAAGGACAATCTAACCTCGCTGTACAGGACAGAATATTTTCTCAAGTTTTATGTCTTGCTATTCATTTTGACTAATATCATGCGCATATAAATCATTTTCTGTAGTGCTCCCTTAAGAAATTGATGCAGACCAAACAACAGTGAATTAAACCTGGTAGTATTAATGTTATTTAATTTTGTCCCAATATAACCTCCTGCATTGGACAGTCAAAATAAATGTGTGGTATCACCAGTGCATTAGTTAAATACGCTGATGGATTTGATCATCTGGTGGGTATAGATGTTACACAGACAAATCGCTAAATCATTCAATAAGAAGGAGGCAACACACATCATTAGATGAGATTGAATGTTTTTAGGTTATGTAATTTCATAGTGGATGGTCCGTTTACATGTAATTAGTATTACAGCTTCCTCTGATAAAGTCTCCTTTGTTTTTTCATGGTTACTCTCTAAAATGTAGTGCTATATATTTCCGCAGAAAATAGGAATCAATGTTAAACAAATCTACAAATGCAAGGAAAAAGCGTCCCTCTGACTGAAACAACAATTATGTGTTTCTTTTTTTCAAGGACAACCTTCAATGTGAAGGTCAACCAGCATCTAATTAGGCTGTAATACTCAACACCGAATGAGAGAAAAAAGGTGAAAGACGCGTTTGAGAATAAAGGTGACAGAATGGGCTGAACACAAAAGCATTTCAAGGAAACTATGACAATGGGATCCACTGAAACAGATGAGCTCATTCACAAAGGAATCGCCGTATGCAGTACACATTGAATGGGAAGTCCTCTGGAACTTCATGGAAAAAACTGAAATACATTTCATCAAGATTATTCATTCATCCACCTCCAATTGCCTTTCCTGGACAGAGTTGCCTGGAGCATATCCCAGGCAGCGTACGGCTCAAGGCGGATATACTCCCCAGATGGGATGCCAAGCCACTGGGCCCAAGCAACAGAACTGCTGGAAGGAATGGGACCCAGAGGAAGCATGCACAGCAGAGGGAGGACATGAAAACACCACACATGGACTGGGAGGCAACAGCGCCACCCCCTGGCCCCATCCACCCTCTTCATCAGAATATTAGCTAAATATGCTGTAGAGGGCAAAATTTGACATGATGTAACAATTTAATTACAAGAGTTTGTTGACCATACCTTACAAACAGAGTTTCATTTTACCTTCAAGAGTTAATGACTGATAAACTGCTACAAATCATCTGATAACTTTTTAATAGATAAAACTCATTCCTAAATACATCCTGTAGCATTAAATAAAGCATTGTGCTGATAACACAAAAGTCGTAGGTTCAAATACTAGGAAGTGCATTTTTGTTTATTATAGCCCTTCTCAAAACGTCAAGTCATTTCAGACAAAAGATTATGAATAAATGTAACACAATCATATATTACTCCTGTTATTTACAAAACAGTTTGCAAATCACATGCAAATATAAAACAACGGGCCAGTATGCATACCCAGAAATGAGTCATAATTGAGCATTTACAAGATATTTAGTAAATACTTTATTAAACAAGAGTAAGATATCTGTGTAATATATTTTTAAAAATTGATTGTAAGGGAATCTTTATTTACTAATATACAGTATAATCAAATGATTAGTAGCTGAAAGAGCAAACCTTAAACTAAAATGTTACTGATAAATTTATTCATTACACAAAAGAAATAAAGATTTCAATAAATATTTTAATAAAGATGCATTTGAATTTAAATTATATTTTATTCATTAAAGAAAGTAAAAATTTAAGTATTACTTGCTGAATCAGTACTTTTACACTACCTTCTAGTAATTTTCTGTCTGTCATAATTTACATTTATCTTAGTTTCTTGCAAGTCATAGTGTCTGTTTAGAGGTGATAATCATATCAGTAATCATCATTATTTAGAGATTCTAGGTAGCTTAACAATGTTTTGTATCAAATAGGGCGTAGGAGCTGAGGGAGGTGGGAGAGGACATATACCTTCATTCATTGTGTCCCCCCAATATCAAACTCTCTCCTATGCCATTGGTTCCAAAGACCCAATTGTAAGGCAGTGTGGAGATAAGCTGCCTGGAATTTGTCTGCTGCCAGAAGAAATAGGGTGAGCACTGAACAGGTGGGTGGGCCTTTCATATGGGGACTTTCAGTGGGCCGATGACAAAGCAAGCAAGTGAAAAAGGGAAGGTTGATACAAAGAGACCAACAGCAGGTGATGGAAGCAGAACAGGGACACTGGAAGATGGGAAAAACATTAAATAGTTGAAAAGACAAAAGATGGAAGTAAAATATGCTAATTAAATGAACAAGATAAATCTGCCCTGTCTTCATATACACATATTTCCAAAGAACACAATAAACCGTTTTTTTAAGCAAAAGGATTGGGGCCTGGTTTTAATTACATTGAGGGTATTCAACGCTATGACAGGGAGATGTGTGCATCTGCAGCACTGATATTCTATGTATCAAAAATGCTTTCACATTTTACAGACGCAATATGGTACATGAAGATTAAAGCCTTATTTTTTAAAGAAAATTGTGAAACAGAATGAAAAACATGCAAACACTTACATGGCCTACTGTGATCTGTCCGGCTCCATTTTGGTCTCCCCGTTCTGTTTGTCGCTGGACTTCTGCGAGAGCCGCGTGGACATTGTGGCTGCCTGCGCCACGGCCTTGAAGCTGCGCTTGCGTTTCTGCACGTTCTGCTCTGGGTGGAAGATGATGACGTACACCTTGGGCATGTACAGCATGCCCAGGGACACGGAGGCGCTCAGGCTCATGGAGACTGTCAGCGTCGTCGTCTGGATGCACATCTGTGCCATGACAGGAGAGAGCTGGTCACGATCTCATCCGGCACGCCTCTGCACTGTGCATGTGCTGAGATTCCACACACAGTCATAATGTGGTGTAATTATGGTTTGACATAAAGTAAAGCTACTTAAAAAATTAAATAAACCAAAAGTATTCTTCACTAAGTAACAGACTCCATCCATTTTCATTTTAAAACTTTTATAGTCATTGTTTTGTATTAATGTATTTAGTATAATTAATATGATCTTTCACTAGTATTCCACCAGACTGCATGTCATTCTGGTTTTGCAAAATCTAAAATCTTCAGGAGATAATAGGTTTCTGTAAAACTGCCATTTTTACATAGTTGCTCATTAACAGAAATATAATCCAGCCATCCATTTGTAACTCTCCAAGAAGAAGTCATCCATCTCTCTGGTAGGGCCTGCAGAGGTGTTCAGAATGATGCAAGATAAATTTTTCATCCATCCATCAATTCATCCATCCATCTTTCATAACCACATATCCAGTGCAGGGTGGCCTGGAGGCTATTCCAGGCAGCACAGAACACAAGGCAGGGCTACAGCCAGGATGGGACGCCAGTCATGCAGACACTCACAGGCATCATCACCCACAATGGGCAATTTAGAGACACCAGATCACTGTGAGAGGCAACCGGAAAAGCCAGAGGAAACCCGCACAACACTAGGAGAACACAAACACCACACACAGCCATGGGACCCAAATATAATCCTTGTGTAAAAATGTTAATAGGAATGAGTTTTCAGGTTATGCGGTTCAAATACTGTACTTCCTAGAAACCTGCATAATAATACATGATTATTCAGGAATGACACTCACATACTTCTGCATGAGATAAGCAGAGACATGGCAAATCCATACAGAAGACAAGATTTTCTGGGGATCCTTTGTAGGGGGTAAACAAGAGCAAGTATAACAAAATGCCTTGTGAATAAATAAAAATGAATAATGAATCTGCAAAAACCTCATTGCAAAATAATCTTATAAACAATACCTACATATATATATATATTATGTATATACAGTATATATATATATATATATATATACACACACACACACACATTGGTATTGGGACACCCCTTTGAATCAGTGACTTCCAATCACTTCCATAGCCACAGGTGTATAAAATAAAGCACATAGGAATGCAGACTGATTCCACAAACATTTGTGTATGAATGGGTCACTCTCAGGAGCTCAGTGTATTCAAGCTTGTTACCGTGATAGGATGCCACCTGTGCAATAAGTCCATTTGTGAAATTTCCTTGCTACTAAATATTCCACGGTCAACTGTTAGTGAAATTATAATGAAGTGGAAGCATTTGGGAACAGCAGCAACTCAGCCACAAAAAATCACGGAGGGGGGGGGAGACAACGCATGCTGAGGCGCACAGTGTGCACAAGTCGCCAACTGTCTGCAGAGTCAATAGCTACAGACCTCCAAGCTTTGTGTGGCCTTCAGATTAGCTCAAGAACAATGTGTAGAGAACTTCATGGAATGGATTTCCATGGCTGAACAGTTGCATCCAAGCCTTACATCAAGTGCAATGCAAAGTGTCGGATGCAGTGGTGTAAAGCACACTGCCACTGGACTCTAGAGCAGTGGAGACGTGTTCTCTAGAGTGACAAATCATGCTTCTCTTGGCAGTTGCCAGGAGAACGGTACTTGCCAGACTGTGTTGTGCCAAGTGTAAAGTTTGGTGGAGGGGGGATTATGGTGTGGGGTTGTTTTTCAGGGGTTGGGCTTGGCCCCTTAGTTCCAGTGAAAGGGATGGCCCCTTCCTGTTCCAACATGACTACACACCAGTGTGCAAAGCAAGGTCCATAAGGACATGGATGAGCGAGTCTGGTGTGGAGGAACTTGACTGGCCTGCACAGAGCCCTGACCTCAACCCCATAGAACACCTTTGGGATGAATTAGAGTGGAGACTGCGAGCCAGGCCTTCTCTTCCAACATCAGTGCCTGACCTCACAAATACTCTCCTGGAAGAATGGTCAAAAATTCCCATAAACATACTCTTAAACCTTGTGGACAGTCTTATCAGAAGAGTTGAAGCTGTTATATAGCTGCAAAGGATTGGCCAACTCTATATTAAAGCCTATGTATTAAGAATGAGACGTCATTAAAGTTCATGTGTGTGTCAAGGCAGGAGTCCCAATATATATACTGTATATATATTTTACCAGAGGATTACATTTTCAACATACCTCTTTTAACTATTTCTAAATGTTTTCCAAATATGTAAAACATTATTCTTTTAAAATCAAGGCTAATGATATGCTGTCCTGTAAAATTGAAGTTTAAACTTTAATTTTATAACTGATCACTGCGCATACATTTGGAAGTCTGAATTCCATTATTGTGTCATTGTAAATATGACTTTGGTTAATAGCCATTAAAAGGAAAGACACTTTTAAGAACTGAGACTAAAGTTCTTAAAGTAAGGTAAGAACGACTTACATAATATCTTCCTTGTGGTCATTAATGAATGCTATATTTCTCTTATAGGAACATTCTGAATAAAAGACTTAAGTACAAATTTGCAGTCTTTTTTCCTAAAGTCTGTCTTCAGATGTTTTGATGTTTTCAAACAATGTCCAGCTAGCTTGCTCTACAATAAGTATGCATAAACATACTTTGAACGTATTTGATCATTCTTAAAAATTTGCTTTCTTTTAGCACATTCAGGACTGCATTGGACATTCATTCTATTAGTAATTGTTAATATTTATAGTATTTCAATTAGAAATCCTTATTACCTTTTTTCTTAGAAGACCCTGGACATTAAGCACAAATAGCTTTCCTTGCATTTACTAGCCTACAATCCAGCAATCTCTTTATTTAATTTCAGATTAACCGTTTTTGCAGTGTAATCAAACACTGCTTTGTTACTGATTATTGCTCTGCAGTAGCCATTAAACTGGGCCCTATTCACCTTCTGCAGCCTGTAGCTATTCAGAACATGTAGCACATCAGATTTACTTGTTGTCATTTTACCTCAGAGAAGAAAATTTAAATGAATCATGACTAAAATCCATAATTTAATGTTCTTTTCTAACCTTCAGTATCCATGAACAAATATTGCACTAATACCTAAGTATCCCTGTCAATACACATCAAGCGGTTTATTGATATTTACATGCATTTTTAAAGTAGACTGCAAGCACCCAGCTAACCCCAGCCTGGATAAGCAGTTGGAAGATTCAAGGATGGATGTACTGGAAAATGTTAATGTGATGAATTAGCAGTAATTGAATCTGTAAACTGATTGTAATTGTAATTACAAGCAGTGTCCCGATGTTCATTCACCTATTGTTATTATTTAAATATATCTCTGTACCACTAGCAAATTATAAAGGCCAGATAAAGGGAAGCCGAAATGATAAGAATTAGACAAAAATCAAATTTCAACCACATTACACCCATTGCTCTGCCTTGGACTTAATAAATTATAAATAATAAAATGCTACTAAAATGATTGGTCAAAACTGCTTCGATGAATCTAACTGATTTCGTTTTCAAAATCCACTCTCTGAGCTATTGGACCACATTTAATTTAACTTCCACAGGAGACTGATTACAGATAATATTCAGTTATAAGTAAAACTGAAATCCATTACAGATATTTGATCAGAAGCAAGAGATTTCCCCTATGGGCAGCTGCATATTTTTAACACATTTGCCATCATCACATTGGACAATTCATGCATTCCTGAGGTGCTGTCAGTAGGAATGATTGATATACTGAAGCCATTCATTAGAATGTCTGTCACTGCAAAGCCGAACACAGTACTGAACACAGGTCAGACTGGACTGTGACAAATGGGCAATTGGGACAAATCTAAATGAGCTCCTGTTTAAGATCTATGACTAAATGCTGATCTTTTAGAGTTCTTTCTTTAATCCGGTGAGTCAACAAATGCACTGAGAATCATTAGGTGTGTCAATCCCACAGATTCCAATCTGTGAACCACGAGAGAGAGCAGGAGACAAACTCAATGGCTCTTTCTTTCAGAGGCTTGCTGAGGTACAAGCTACCAACTAGCAGAACAAATACCTACATACTTTTACACTCTAACTTCTACAGAGTGCAGGCATAGTTACACAGGAGGAGACACACAAAGGCTACAGTCACAGTGATTCAGAGAGAAAGCAGTGCCAGTTTTCACTGAAAGGTGGGCCCATTTCATTGGCAAACACCTAAAAGCTGTAGCCTGCTCCCAAATTATTTACAAATGGGTTGTGGTTAATTTCATCAAAGTCGAAATGTGTTTTTTTAAGCGATAAAAGCCAACGACAAGCTGATTAATGTTCCCTGGATTTATTTTACATCTTGGGTCAATCTTTCCCAGTCAAAAAAGAGGAACGCTTCAGTTATTGCACCCTAGGCATTTAATTAGACGCTAACGAGTATGGTTTGCCAGCAACCAGAATAAAACCTCCAAGCACAGCAGCAGGATCATAATTAAACCAGAAAGGCGCCCTCAGTTGGAATCGCCTGTCTTGTTTAGAGAAAGTCAATAGCACTTAGCGGCTAAATATCTCAGTATCTGCAGCTCCATTCAGCCAAATTGACCATGTGGCTTCACTCCTAGTTGGGAATCATTATTGATTATGTGCTTTGCAACAGTGCGCTGAACACATGATTACTAGTCTCTTGAAGTGTCCCAAAGGAATTTTTTTTCCCAAAAGAAGATTATTGGTTCAGACAGTCCCATCACCGGTACTGAGAGCAGAGGCTCCTGTGCTGTACATGGCGACTGGATGCCGTAAGTCCATGCAGGAAAAACAGGTCTCTCAGCACAGGAGGACTGCCTCATTATTCCTCAGACTAACTATCCCTTTGAAGGTTACATTACTGGCCATGAAAAACCCATGAGCATGATATGCGTCCTACAGTCTGGTGACGAATCTCCTTCCTCTCTTTGTACCTTCACTGCTGAAATATCTGAAAAGAATCCAAGAAAACAGCCCTCAGAGCGCTGATTACTTCCAGCTCCTTTGTTGCCTTTTTGCTATTCAATTTTTTTGTTTTGTTTTTTTTCCAATATTCTCTTATTTAGCACAGGGGCAATTTATAAGAAACATTGTTAGCCAAAGGCTAAATAGTCTTTTACCATGTCTTACTAAGTAATGTCTAGAAGTGCTTCACAATGAATGTTACTAGATGTACATGCCCTCCTTGCCTTCCGGTTGATGTCTATTTGTATTAGTTCACGGTTCATTAAGTATTTATATGTGACTCAGCGTTACAGTGCCCTGTCATACTGAGTCCCATCCAGCTTACACTGTGTCATATCATACACAGAAAAAAGCAGACTTAGTCACTCGCAGGGACTATTAATTTGTGGAGAGCAATGTCACGTCAGGTCATAGGCTACCATGTGCTCTGTCTGCTTCTGAACTCCCCTTATTTCCTATTATTTACGAGAAGTCAAGTGAAAATTCAAAAGAAAAGATGCCAACTCTCATCTTCAGGATCCCAGTAGAAAAGCCACCCAGTGTCTAAAAACATGCAACGGACAGTACGTAAGTGAAAAACAACAAAAACACAGTATTCAACACCTATTGGTGGCTATTTAATATGTTAAAAATGATCCATTTAAACACACTAAGACTAATGGAGTGTAGTACCTTTATTGACTTATTTGCTGCATCTATGCACACAGTACATACTGCTCATAAATCAAACTGTGATTATGTAACAGATTTATTATTTAAAAGAGACATAATACCAACAACAGAAGGCCTCACACACTTGGGATTTGTCCTCATAACGACCAATCATCTGGCGGTTATTACTATCCAAAGATTCAGCTCTTGCTTTTGTCATCGCAAACCGGATAACCATTAATGCCGCTATTAAGTAAAGCAAAAATGTAATTCTTCCACATCACGGGGGTTAGGGGCACAGGCCCCCTGGGATCGTTAGTCCCTTTGGTCAGCAAAGCGTTTCGTGTTGTAGTACAGTTTAGGTCACTAAAACTGCACAAAAAGATGCAAGAAATGCGAGATACTGACATCCCTGCGAGATAGACTGCCATAAACACACTTAGCATCCTCCAAACCAATACTGCATGTATATTTTACGCATTTATGAGTTACTAAACTTTTTCTGTCGATTGCTGGCCTTCGTGTGTCGCCCGCGGCTTTCTCAAGACTCCCACAAAATTTCCCTTTTCACTTCTTATGCCAACCCCACGATATGTCAAAACCGCCATGGGGAAAGGGTCGATTGGACTCCCAAACGGAATTTAGCAGGGTGACACAGGGGAAGATGACGTCTCAATATTCGGGGCATGAGAGCACAGGACCTGTAAAGGTTTAGAAATGGTTGTGGTAAAAGTGGGCGGCGATTGCAGGCCCGTGCGCTAACGGCCCTGACTGGTACGTGGCCAAGTGTCGATCACTTCCCGCCGCACCGCAGGCTCGCCCGAGGCGACTGACGCCTCTCTTCCCCGTCTCCTCCACCCGCCTCCGCCCACGTTCGGCTGTAGCCGGCGAGGAGAGCCTGTTGTCTCTGTGTCGCGGTGTGTCTCCGCCAGATAAAACGGCGCCGCTCTCCTGCTTCATCCCTGCTCATTTCCACATCAAAGAAGGCCTCCGAAGTCTTCCCGCCATGTAACTTCCTGTTATCAAGTGGCGGGCAGGCTGTCTCCTACTTCTGCCTTCACTCTCCGAACACAAGTATTTGAGATGAAAAGTCATTTGTCTTTGAATTCCTGCATTTCCACTGCTTTTTCAGAAACGAGAAAAGCCTCAAAGTGCCGTGCCATACTTGGGTATTTGCAAATGAACATGTAAAACTGCACTAGGGCCTCTCTGACATCGGTCTCAGGTTAGGTCTTCTGGCTATCTGGAAGCTTATGGCATTCTGCTGTCAGACTTCCTTACATTCTTCAAAATACTCTACTGCTATGCTTTCTAATGTATGTGTTAAAGTCAAAACCACATCTACTCATTCTAAGTGTCTACCTAGTGATGGTGCTTTGGCTCAAGGCCCGTCATGGGTTTGAATCCAGCCCCCTTTGTGCGCATGTGGAGTTTGCATCACCTTCAGAAACATATCAGGTAATCTGGTGTCTCTAAATTGCCCATAGTGTGTGTGGGAGCACCTGTGTGTGGACTGACATCCCTTTCATGGTGTTTTCCTATCCCCTGTGAGGAGTTCCAAGGTCTCCAGAAATCTGTACTGGATAAGTGGCTACAGAAGATGGATGGAAATTCTGTGTCTGTTTGTCATTATTGTTCAAAAACACTGGCAGGTGTTGTGGAGGCTTGTTGTCAAAGGCCACCACCCCCCCCCCCACTAAAATCTGGAGTGATATCAAAACAATAGGCCTGCATCAAACAAAATAAAATCAATGCTGTTTACTGCTAGCCTGACAGACACAGTGAACCTGATTCCCTTTCATCAATAAAACACGGAGTGTTAGCAAGTTAACGGCACATAACCGTAGCAGACAGGCAGTACACACCTTCTCCGTGGACTGCGCCGTGCCGAAGAAGATGGGCACGAAGGCCAGCCAGACGATGCAGGTGGTGTACATGGTGAAGCCGATGGGCTTGGCCTCGTTGAAGGTCTCGGGCACGCCCCTGCTCTTCACGGCGTAGACGGTGCACGTCACCATCAGTATGATGCTGTAGCTGAGGCAGGAGATGAGGGACAGGTCCGACATGTCACACTTCAGGATGCCCCGCGCCAGCTCCGGGTTGGGTGGCCGTAGCTCTTCGTAGTCGATGATGGTGTGCGGGGGGACCACGGCCAACCAGATGAACACCCCCACCACCTGTGGAAACATGGACCCAGCTGGCATGGCTTGGATTTTCATGCAGACGAGGTCGTCCATTTGCTCTGCAGGTTTCCCCTTTCAACGCCTAGCAACACATCTCATTTTCCTGCAATACCCCAGAGCGGACTGAGAGGCCGGCCCATGTTGCTAAGACACGTCGTGACGACACAGACGTTCAACAGCACTACAGAAGCAGACGTCCTGCAAGGCCAGCGACATGCTGCCATTTGCCATGACCATTATTTAACGTCACAACTTTGTGGGGGAAAGTTCTGCTTCTTGCTTGCAGTCTGCGAGGGGAGGCAGACAGACGATGGCAGGCAAGAGCGAGCAGCTGCTGCCATCATGGTGCGCGCAGCAGGGTCTGCGAGCTCATTTCGTTCTCCTCCACCCCCTCCCCCATCTCCCTCCAGCCTCAGTTTGGGCTGAGAGTGCCGCTGATTGCCTGGAATATTGTCCCCTTTAACTTAATTATGTTGACATTGTGTCAGCGCTTGGCTTTTGTGCTGTTGCGTTCCAGATGTGCTAAAGAGTAGGAAGAGGGATGATAAAAATGAGCCTCATAGAGTAATGTACCAAAGAGTTTTTAGGACATTCCTAGACCTGCGGGATTTACTTACCTGGTCCCACTGGATCAAATGGTATAATCTGAAGTTTAAAGGAGATTATAGCCGCTGATCAATATCAATAAAAACAGATTAACAGGGTTTAGAAGACAAGCATCCAGATTCTGTCACAGGTAGAACGGCACAGGAACTCACTTGCACAGAAATGAGGACAAAGGTGATGACAAGTTGGGAGCTGGGGCTGATGAACTTGGGCGGAGTGACGGACTTCTTGCCCTGCTCAAAGATGCGGTAGATGCGGTTGGTCTTGGTGAGCATGGCGGAATAGCTGATGCATGTGCCGAGGCCGAGTAGAAGGCGCCGGAAGGCGCACACTGCTGTGTCTGGCTCGGCAATCATCAGGAAAGTGATGAAGTAGATGAGGAAGATGCCCGTCAGCAGCACGTAGCTGAGCTCGCGGCCAGACGCGCGCACGATGGGCGTGTCGTTAAAGCGGATGAAGGTGACCACCACGAAGGAGGTAGCTAAGATGCCCAGGATGGCCAGAAAGACAGGGATGATGGCCCAGGGTGAGTGCCACTCTAGCTTGATGATGGGCGTGGGCCGGCAGCTGGTGCGGTTCTGTGTGGGCCGCATGTTGAAGGGGCAGCTCTCGCACGTGAACTCATCCAGCTGGTACTGGTAGCCGTCGCACAGCTCGCAGTGCCAACAGCATGGCACGCCCTTCACCATCTTCTTCCTCTCGCCTGGCTTGCAGGGGAAGCTGCACACAGAGTCTGGAATCTGCTGGTCCCCACCCGACCACTGCATCTCCTCCACCTGAGACAGGAGATGGAGAACACCATCGATATCAGGGAACTCCCACCACAAAACGGCTCTCTGGAGAACTTAAAGAGCTTCATTTACGTTGAGTCGCAGGTTGTTGGTCCACTGGCCAATGACCTTGTAACCTGGGTTGGTGGTGTTGGACAGCTGATACTGGAAGATGTCGTAGCGCCCAGGGGCATCTCCGTTCTCGTTGAAAAGGACGCCGGTTCCCGCACTGCCTGCACAAGGACACAGTCTGACCCTTAATGATGCCACCTGCCAGCACATCCAAGGCGCCTGTTCACCATGATTCATACACCACATTCATCTGTTTCAAGGTTTTACAAAAAAGCCAAACCCAGCATTCAAACCCAGAGCAATATTACGATACATTCCACAATTAAATCAGGCAAGAGCACAGGGTTTGATCAATGACTAAAGTCACGGTGATTGAAATCCTTGTGACCTGTACTGTTAACAAGGGGGGTGCAGCACCCTGACCCGAAATCTCCAGAGCCGTGAAAAGAATAGCCGGCCGCAGCTTTGTGTGTCTGAAGTCTGCATATACTCCCCATGTCCAATTCCTCTGGATGCCTCATCATCAGAAACTGATGTTTCTACACTGCGCATAGTTTGCCCTACATTCACTTGTTTGCACGTTAAAGGCATGTTCGTCTGTGCTCTACATACCTTGCTGCTGTACGCACAACTATTTCCCTCTGGGACCAATAAAGCTAGTCTAACCTAATAGTGTGTGATTGTGTATGAGCCCTGTGATGACTGGCATGCCACCAGCCTAGGGAGTATCCCTGCCTTAAGCCCTGTGCATTCTGGGATACACTCCAGGCTCACTGCACCCCTACATGGATAAGCAATAAGGATAGATGAATATAATGTTTACCCCCTGCCTGCTGATCATGAACAAGACCTCTGGAGCTGCAAAAAGGCTGCCCTGCGGCACATTAAAGTTCCCATATTTTACGTATCCACGTGCAAAGGACGTTAGGAGCCTACATCCATGAGTCATGTCACATGTTAATCCGGTCCCTTGAGGCGCCCGCTTCACAGCGGGTTCCCGCGCCACCGAAGCAGTGCCGCAGAGAGGCAGACCCCCTCCGGAAAGCCGCTCAGCCGCTAATGCGTCGGCGCAGGAAACGGCTTTCTGCACAAAGGCAGCCCCAGAGAAGCGGCCCTCAGCGGAGAGGTGGCCCCGGGCGGTCACGGCGGATTACAGAGGCAGGCTCTTCATGAGCTGGCGTGCCGGGGAGTCTTTAAAAACACCTCCCCACAGCTAGAGACGGTGCCACTCCCTCCACCTTTGCCTGGCTGCCCTGCTCAGCTCTGAAATCTGGAACAGGGAGGGACGATCATGATGGTCACCTGAGGTCACCCAGAGCCCCCGAGTAAACCCAGAGCGAATGTCCGGCAAGGTGTGACACTAACAACTGAACCTAGTACAGAACCTGCACCCAAGGTCCAAGGGGAGAAATGGAAGGCCAGAGAAGATGAGATGCCACCTGCTTCAGTAAGCATCAGTAAGAACTTCCAGCTTCACGGAGAATCACACTTAACAGTAAAGCAGCACAAAGGAAACCTCGTAAAGACAGAAGATCAAAACATGAGGCCATTGTTATGGGACATCCTTTACTGAAAGGTAACTGTGACCAATCTGTGTCTGATTGCTAGGACAACTGTACTTTTCTATCAGCTTGAATTCAAGACACACACACATTTTTCTGGCACTTGTTCAAGGGCCCATGGACATGTGGCTGCTCTGCCAAGACTGGGGTGCGAACTGGCAACCTTCTGATCACAGACATAGAGACTTAGATCATTGAGCCACTCACCACCCCCCACTGTCTCCCACTGCCCAGATGTTATTCACTATTATAATAAAAACAAAGTCTTCTCAATTATTAACTCCACAACGCCTTTGCATTATTGTCCATCCATCCATCCATTTTCTATACTCGCTTATCCAATTCAGGATCGCAGATGTCTGGAGCCTACAGCCCAGAGGCTACAGCCGCAATGTTTCCATTGCTGTTTTTAGCAGATTCCTTATTCAAAAGATTTTTTTAGCATCTCCTCTCATTTACGCAATACATATAGGGAGAGGATATAGATCATTCTCCAAGTAACACAAACTTCCTGCTGCTGATCTCTAAAACAAAGCAAGAGGCATGAACAGCTACTGAGACACCGAAGACACCAAAACCATGGGGAGATGTTCATTATTCAGTGATGTCATAATAAATAATGAATGCTTTTCCTCCTGCACCTGTCATTCTGTCTACTTCACTGTATAGCTTGGCTCAGTAACGGAACAGACAATAAATGTGTTTTTACGTGCTACTGACAGGTGTTGCTTTTTTCCTTTGAGTAGAAGAGGATCCTGGCAAAGGCAGATGCCTAGGGCAGTACTGGGGTACCAGTGCCCCCCACCCATTCCTCCCCCCATCTCCCCCCCCCAAGCGACTGACAACTTTTACCATCACCGCCTGGTCAGCAACCATTTCTGCTGACACCCCCAACCGCACCCTCTAGGTGGCAACTCTTACCGTTGCCCCCCGTCTGGTCCACTGATATGTATGCTGACATGAGTTAAACTGGGTAGTGGGGTTTGCTGAGGTAGGGGGGGAGGGGGCACAGGCTTCATCCAGCACTGTTACTGTCTAATTACCTCCATGACGATGAGCATGGGACTTTCGGAGCATAAAATGAGAACCATGTTGGATATAATGGGTGGATAAAATAACATGGGAAAGAAGTGTGCAGCTTTCTGAAGCTGAGAACAGGGCCTGGCCACCCATGTGCCCCAAAACATGCCCGTGCGCCACACTGGCCCCGCTTATGCCATACTCACCATTAAAGTTAACTGAGCGAATATATTTGAGCAGCAGGCGTCCCTCCACCGGGTCCATCTTGTCACAGACGCCCGTGTGGCCGGGGCAGAGGTCCACATGCATGTTATGCAGGGCGTGCGCCATGGCGTAGACGGCGTCGATGACGAACTGCACCTTCCCCTCCTGCTCATAGTGAGAGTCGCGGCTGATCCTCTCCTCCCCTGCCGGACAGGACGGCACAGAGGTCAGGAAGGCAGCTACATTCCTTCATGACCTGTCTCACTATCGACATCTATTGATATCCGTGACCTATTGGAAAAGCAAGCTCATATATTACAAACGTTACGGCTTACAGTAATGCAGCACTGCGCCCATAAAAGTCTTTCAACGATATTCTATATCTTCTAATAAAGCAAATTACATAAGAACATAAGAAATTTACAAATGAGAGGCCATTCGGCCCATTAAGCTCGTTTGGGGAGAACTTAACTAATAGCTCAGAGTTGTTAAAATCTTATCTAGCTCTGATTTAAAGGAACCCAGGGTTTTAGCATGTACTATACTAGCAGGAAGACTATTCCATACTCTAACTACACGCTGTGTAAAGAAGTGTTTTCTCAAATTCAGTTTAAAATGTTCTCCCGCTAATTTCCACCTATGGCCACGAGTTGTAGTATTTAAACTAAAATTGAAATAGCCATTTGGTTGAACAGCATCCAGACCTGTTAGAATCTTATAGACTTGGATCATGTCCCCCCTTAGTCTCCTTTGTGTGAGGCTGAACAGATTCAGCTCAGCTAACCTCTCCTCATAAGACAATTATTGTCTGGCTTGGCTGGTTCTTTCACTTTTTGTGTTTGATAATTAAGGCTTTGTTTGATACTGTCCAACATGTGTGAAAGATGAGAAATTTACTTATTAATTATCCTAATACTTAGCAGATCATTATTATACATTCTAAAAAATAGGACACAGTGCATTTTGTTACTGCACAGCTGTCAAGGTCTTGCAGCTTGAGGGTTTTAGTGTTTTCTTGGGAGATATGCTGTTGTCAGGCACATGGGGAGGTCAAACTAAACGAATCTGTTAAAAGCATCCAGGTGTGCCGCTCAATATACTGGTACGTTGTTTTAGATAAAAGCACAGAAATAACAACTTAATATTCTGCAAGAATACACCTTCTGTTCATTATTAGGTTTCAGATTTCCATTATGTCTTGCTGTTACTTCCATTATAATTGATTTCATATTTTAGTTCACCTCACTCACAGCTGTACTGTATATTTCCGCTTGACAAAAGACTTTAACAGAGAAAAGCAGAAATCTCTTAAAGAGAATAATGCAGCGGGAACTGTGGCAGTAACTCCACAGAGTGCCATCACACCTGAGGAGGTATTATTTTGAAATCCCAAACTGATTATACATTCATTTTACAGGCAGTTTCAGAAGGCACCTGTAAAGGTCCTTATCAGTTTGTGCCACATCAAGATTGAGCGTCGACACAGGGCTTGTACCAACTTACCTGTGCATTTTTTCTTATCACTGTCCAGTTTGATGCCCGGCCGCGTCAGCTTGCACCTGAAGTCGTCTTCCCAGAATTCTGCAAACCAAATGTTTCGGCGGTTGTTCTCCAGGGATCTTGATGTGAAATACTGATCAAATCCTGTGCCAGAGACAAACAGAGGCATTATTGCTTATGGCTGATAGGATTGGATGATGCCTTCAGATTTGTGCCACGCTATGATGGATACATTGTTTTATTGGTGCATATCACGATAATATAATGAAAATCATCCAGTCATACAAATTTCTGGACTGGCATGAGCTTGATTATAAAAACACAACCATTATATTGTGATTGTGCCATAGAATTATACAATTGGAATGTATTTAATTGTGCTTTGCAATGGGCTTGCACTACAACCTCATGTTTTGGCGCTTCCCAAGAACGCTGCCTAGCAGCTGAAAAAAGGATGGGAGAGTGTGGTTTGAAATATGCAAAGCCATTGATGATGGCACTGACGGGAATGAACCACTGCAGCCATAAAAATCTATACTTTTATCCAGAGAAAGAGAAGGCAACATGGTAAATCATAAATTATTTTGTTCTCCTCTCAACACTGACTTTAACTACAATGAACAGAAGAAGCTGCCCACAATAAATCACCCAAATATTACATTTATTTGACCAGTATGTTATACGTTTCCCTTCGCTGTGAAACCAGTAAGTGCTCTGCAATTAAGCTAACTGAATTGCATGAAAGAGTGCGGTCTGGTCATAACATTTTGATTTGGAAAGTAAATACACAAGTAAACAACTAATTAAATCAGCTCAGCTCAGTGTCTCCAGTGTTGTTCTCAGAGTTGTGTTAGCTAACACATCTCTCTGCCCATATGCGTACAGCTGTCACCTCAGGACCAGGCCAAGGTCAAACAGTAGTGTAAGGATGGCATCCAAACCTGGGGGGGGGGGGATTAGCCAACGGGAGTCAGTTATGATTCACTAATAACAGCAGAGGCATCAAATGCAGCATCATGACGACAGCAGGCAAATTTTAAGTAATATTCATCAACCCGAATGTAATAAATCAAAGCACTGACAAACAAATTAGTAACACCACAGCCTTCTCCTTACTCTTTATGGATAAATGGACAACAACTAAAAAATAAAGACAGTCAATTTATTGTAAGGTAATTGGTTTAGTGCTCATTTTAGACAATTTGATTTACAAGTTAACGTGTAAGAACACCTTAAATTAAAGTGGATGAAATCCTTTTAGAACATCTGGGATATTATTGTCATTTAGCCAGGAAGTCCAGGCTTCTCTCTACCCTTCTAAACCACCTCTGGTATTGGTTTAGGATTTCGGCACTTCTGACACAGTCGTCCAAACAATATTAGCGACCCGACAGCCTATAGGCTGGGAGAGGCCTTCAGGGAAGGCCAGCAGGGCACAAATGAACAAAAAGGCTTCATTAAGCAAAAGCACAAAACAAAACAGAGGGGGGCAGCTTCCCACTGGCTCCCTGCGTCTCTTCTCCTGCCCTCCTCTCTCCAACCAACACATTACAGAAACTACTTTTCTTTAAGATGATATAAAAGCAAATGTATTTTTAAAAGAACTTTCTCAATCTCTGATATGTTGATCAGCAAACATTTCTACTGTAAATATTTCTCATGCACAGATATATAAAATTATTATATAAATTATTTCTCTCTCCTGGAGCCGAAACCTTATCATGGTGGAGGGGTTTGCGTGTTCCAATGATCCCAGGAGCTAAGTTGCCTGGGGCTTTATGCTCCTGGTAGGGTCACCCAAGGCAAACAGGTCCTGGGTGAGGAACCAGACGAAGTGCGGCTCACAAGACCCCTTATGATGAGTAATAACATGGATCCACGATTTCCCTTGCCCGGACGCGGGTCACCGGGGCTCCCTCCTGGAGCCAGGCCTGGGGGTGGGGCTCGATATAGCGAGCACCTGGTGGCCAGGCCTACACCTATGGGGCCTGGTCGGGCACAGCCCGAACAAGGCACGTGGGTCCCCCTTCCAGTGGGCTCACCACCTGTAGGAGGGGCCAATGGGGTCGGGTGCAGTGTGAGTTGGGCAGTGGCCAAAGGCGGGGACCTTGGCGGTCTGATCCTCGGCTGCAGAAGCTAGCTCTAGGGACATGGAATGTCACATCTCTGGCGGGGAAGGTGCCTGAGCTGGTTCACGAGGTTGTAAGGTTCACCGGGGGTTTAAGTATCTCGGGGTCTTGTTCACAAGTGAGGGAAGGATGGAGCAGGAGATCGACAGGCGGATCGGTTCGGCGTCAGCAGTGATGAGGGCGCTGCATCACTCTGTCATGGGGAAGAAGGAGTTGAACCAAAAGGCAAAGCTCTCAATTTACCAGTCGATCTACGTTCCTACCCTCACCTATGGTCATGAGCTATGGGTAGTGAAAGAACGAGAACGTGAGTGCAGGTGGATGAAATCAGTTTCCTCTGCAGGGTGGCTGCGCTCTCCCTTAGAGATAGAGTGAGGAGCTCGGTCATTCGGGAGGGACTCAGAGTAGAGCCGCTGCTCCTTCACATTGAGAGGAGTCAGATGAGGTGGCTTGGGCATCTGCTTAGGATGCCTCCTGGATGCCTCCCTGGTAAGGTGTTCTGGGCATGTCCCACTGGGAGGAGGCCCCGAGGAAGACCCAGGACACGTTGGAGGGACTATGTCTCTCGACTGGCCTGGGAAGGCCTCGGGATTTCCCCAGAGGAGCTGGATGAAGTGGCCGGAGAGAGGGAACTCTGGGTCTCCCTCCTTAGACTGCTGCCCCCGCGACCCAACCTCGGATAAGCGGTAGATAATGGATGGATGGATGGATGACTATTTGCTTAAAGGGGCCTTATTATGCTCATTTTCACAGTTCATATTTTTATTTTTCGTACTAGAAAAATACTTATACTAGAACATATTTATGTTTCTAAATTCTAAAAACACATAATTTTTCTCATACTATATATCCTAATTCACTCTATAACTCATGTCTATAACTGTCTGAAATGCTCAGTTAGAGCTTTTAACGGCCCGCCCACAATGAGCCTCGGGTGCTCTGATTGGTTAGCTTGTCCGATTGGTCGGCTTGTCCAACATGTTCTGCCCCTGTCTTGCAGTGTGCAGGTAGATCCTTGCAGGTAGGCAGCCAATAAGCATTGTGTTTCAAGGAGAACTCATCATGTCACAGAAGTAAGGGCTAGAATTCCAACAAGGTGATTCAGGCAGATTAGAGAAGAGTGGTTTCTGTGGTAAGAGTTACTCCCTTTGATGTGCACTTTGGGCCTTTACAGACCATTTATATGCACATAAAGCTATGAACACACTACTGTATATGAAAGGGAAAAACCAGAAAAGTAAAATATGGCCCCTTGAAATGCAAGCAATAGTAAATATCAAATAAATCTGTCATGCGATATTAACTTAGATGCATTCTTCCACAATTAGAAGAGACACCTGTAAATGAGAATGCGCTGTTTGTTTTGGACGTACCGTCGATGGAGGCTCTTTTGGGCAGAATAGTGACAGCACCCTCAGCCACCTCCTCCTGGTCTAATATAGGGGAACTCTTGGCTCCCCAGCTATCAGACCCCACAAACTGGAAGTGCCCTGTCAGATTTGCCTTCTTTGCCGCCTCCAGCACTCGTCTACAGAGGAACATGGTTAAAAAAAAGAACTACATTTATCACATAAAATAGATGAGAACAGCCTAAAAACTTAGGATTTAACACCTGCCAACACCTGGATGCTCTTCTCTTAATTTCCATATAAATTCCTGCTCTACAGAAGGCACTTGTTATGAAATTTCTACCAAATCTAAAAATAACAAAATGTATTGTCCAGATCAGCCCAAATATGAACTGCAATTAAAGTGCTCCAGATTCAAAAGAGGCATTTTAAGAAATCCACAGGTGCTGGAAAAGCCACAGTACACACCTTACCACACTGGACATACCTCCCAGGCTCACATTTTAGTGACATTTGCATTATTAATATTACTCTTTGTCTAAAACATGCATTTTATAATGAAAAGTAATATGGTAAAACAACAGTGCTTTGCAATGGGAGAGCAGAATTTTCTAAAGGTGGCTTAAAACTGATACAGATTCCATTTTAATCTACAGTATTTAAAAGCCAAACAGGACAGGCTGAAATATGAGGCCTATTGATATGGTTCAATACACAGAAAGCAAGGCTTTTAATTCAGCACTGCATAGCTGCAGTGGCAGTCACAGGCTTTTGTTAGACACAGCAGTACTGAGAAGAGGAATGCTTACGTAAATGGTTAAACTTAGCTACACGTGTTATGGCAGTGGCCTGGATGACTACCTTAGTTCCACATGTTTGGAAACATCTACCAGAACTATGAATTCAATTATTACCTTAACTTTAAAGAGAAAAAAACATTTTTTTACCAACTAGCCTCGTGAAGCAGTTGTATCCAGGAAGTACGGGTCACACAATGCACAACTCCAGGCTCCCCTCAAATGACTAATTTACCAGAATCTACTTGAAATGTCCTGAAAGCTGACCAGTCTTTGTCAATACATCTATTAATACCTGTAATTATATGGGTATTAATAGTGATCTTTTTGAAGGGCAGTTTCATCTTACCAGCTCCCACTGGCAACTGCAGTTGCAAACCCACCCCCCGCAGACTCTCTCGTCATTTGAATCCTGCGGGCTGGCTCTGCTCTGTATGCTCTTAGTACTTATCTTTGCGCTCTGCCAGCTGCGCTACTTTCATATGGCTTATTGCCAGTTACACCAACCATTCGTATGAAATGTAGGGATAAGAAAATCCTCTTTCTGATTTTCCTGCTTTCTATGCAATAACTTCTGTATTGTCTACTGCAGGGGTGTCAAACTCCAGTCCTGGAGGGCCGGAGTCCTGCACATTTTTGAGTTTCCCCTCATTTAACACACCTGATTCCGCTCATTTTGCTGGCCCTGATGCACTACAGTTACTAACAAGATCCAATATGGCCAAGGCCACACAGCTCTCAAGCTGAATCATTTTTGGGGGAACAGGGAAAGAACTAAGATACACAGGGCTCTGGCCCCCCAGGACTGGAGTTTGACACCCCTGGTCTAGCATAGATCTCCGTTTTCTCTGCTACTGGAAAACCAACATAATTTCAGGTGCTGTTCCTGATTATTATGGCACTAATGCACACTAATATTTATTTTATTCATTTATGTGTTCGTTTTATTGCCAGGCCTGTGTTTCATGTCTGGTGTTAGACAGCTTCAGTAATTGAAGTAAGTCCCAGATCATGCTCTGCTTTTTCATTTGATTTAAGGGAAGAAACAAGAAATGACTGGGAGACCTTTGTCTAAAGGCATAGCTTTGGTTTCTATACTGGTAGCAAAACCAAATCAGCCCCAAACCCCCCTCCGCCCCCCCACTGACATACAAGATACTCCCACAATATTGGTAGAGACATGACACTGCCATCTACATCCAATTATACACCCTTGCCTTTGTCTGCAACACTTTATAATACTGTTCTGCAGTTAACAGGTAAATATGCAGGAAGTAAGCAGCAACTAGTAGTTATTAGAAATAATCCATAGTTAGTAGATAATTCCCAATGAGACCTGCAATACTCAATAGTTCCTAATGGTGTACTAGTGAACTACTATAATAATCAGTTCACTATTACCTATTGAGTAATTAAGCATTACTCCTTAGTAGTGAATAGTACTAATTTAGGTGTTAATGAAGCACTACTCCTTTGTTGCTGCTTACTTCCTGCATATTTACCTGTTAACTGTGGAACAGTATTAAAAAGTGTTACCCCTTTGTCTTATGAAAAATTATCAGAATAAGAATGTCTTAAAAGTAAATTTGGAGAACTACACAGAAAAGCATGGATTTTCAGGGCAATTTTCAACTTTCCTTGAATGAAGATTAAATTGTTGATGATTTACCTGTAATGTTTTTGGCTGAAATTCTATTTTAATGGAAAAGAAAAGCTTACTTTATGTCATCCTCATTGGCGAAGATGATGACCCCACGCGCGTTGGAGGTCTCCATTAATCGCTTAATGATCTTGTCAAACTCGCCAAATTTGGGCTCGCGGGGAATCTTCATAGACTGTGCTATACACAGGCCTCCTGAGGTGGGAGGGACAAGACACAACACTGTAACCCCCATGGCAGAAGGAACTCCGATATCACACACGATTCCAAAATACACAATCGGTAAATACTGTAGGTGGTGTCAGCGTCAGCTCCTGTTTGCCCAAGTCTTCAGAGTGTTTTTACAGTGTGTTTTTCAGTGCTGATTTTATGGGTGTAACAAACTGATTCGAAACAGAAATCTGGTTCCGTTGTCTGCGATTCAGTACCTTCATTCCCACTCAAATTCATAAGGAAATCAGACAAAAACCAATAAAAGTGTAACAAATCGACACACCAGTCACATCACTTCATATTACTGTAATATTTTCTCAAGTTATGATGCACTCCAGGGGTTTTGCAGTACAAAATAGTAACTTGTTCTGAAAAATTTTTTTTTTTGAATAAATAGGGCACTTCATTACAGTACATTCAAGGTGTTCAGTTTTTTTTCCTGTTTTTATCCCTCAAAAACCTCAACTGTTTTGTTTCAAACTCTGTTTGTTCCTTACTTTAGAGAAAGAATTAACTCCACAAATAACATATCCTTTATGAACATCCTTCCAGCTTGCAGTATTGTAAAAAACTGTTAATCCGTACTGGTTAGGCATATATACACAAATGGACAGATTCAAATTCAACACTGTTTCTCAGTCTGACATTTCAATAGCATTCTTTAATGCATCCACTGAGCCTGCTTAATAAATCATGTGTAAATTGTCTGACTGAAGGGTTTATGTTTGACCATGTTATATTCTGCATTGCAGTTGTTTGTTGACAGTACCTGTCTCCCGGGAGATTTGGATGAAGGCATCAACTCCACTTTCTCCATAGTTTCCTTCAGAAGCGAGTGTCGACACATAATTCCAGCCCATCGCCTTGACAATGTCCACCATAGCCTGAGCCTGGTATGAATCGGGTGGAACTACCCTCGAGAAGAAGTCGTAGCGGTTGTTGTCGCTCAGCTCTGGGGCTGTGGAGGCATAACTGACCTGTGGGATCTGAAGCAAAGTATAAGAACATTCTTTTACATCTGGTGGGAGGACCAGTCGCTTGCTGCCTGCAAAAATATATATCAGGTAACATCTCAGCAGCATACAGAGCTCAGAGAAAGTCTTGGGGCACTTGCTTAATTCTATAAAAATGTGTGTGTGTGTATATAAATATATAGATATTTGTTTATTTATTTTTGGTCATATCGGCCAGCTCTAATATACCTGGCCAGTATGATCAAAAATTTATATCACGGTATTTTTCAAAGCTATATCGGTTTCACGGTATACAATGTTTTTTTTTTTTTTAAAGTATGACTGGGCGTTATATATATAATATGTGTGTATATAAGTATAAAAAATATGTAAACAAATCAATACAGTAATGGTTTTATTATAAAGCCAAAAAAATCGCAATATTTCTACTGAATTAAGTAAACATCCTAAGACTTTCTGTGAGCACTGTACATGTATACTGTAGCGTAAAGGAGCCACTATTGTACCCCTGACCATATTTTCCAAAAACCGACGATTTCCTGAAATAGTCCTCGAAAATATGCTTTTTAAAACCATTCCAGGATCTCAGTTTGAACTCTAAATTATATCAATTTTAATCCTTTCCTTGACTACCCTGTATACAGTGTTGCTCTGCTCATTGAGCCTGTGTAGTGGTTTGTGGCTGGACTCACAGACTGCAGTCATTTGTCCCCCATTCTCATAATAATACCATACAGTAATACCAATAATACCACTACCATGATAATCCCACCAGCATCATCAGCTTCTTGAACCAATCTCACTTTACTTCTATTTCTATTACCACTGTTTCTATTACAGTTTTCAAGAGAAACTTTTCTCGCATCACTGAGTCATAGAGTCTGCATTTCAAGTAAGACACTTATTTTTAAAGACAGGGTTTAAAAATGGAATTAACAGCTGAATGACATTCCCAAATGATTAAGTGTCAGCTCAAGCAAGCGCAGTGAATCAGTACTGTCTATGTGTTCCTGGACAATGCCTGACTGGTGGTGTCTACGTGCTGAGGGACAATAGCATTTCTTTCAACAGTTACAGAACTAGAAAGGTATTGTTCGGCAGAGGTCTACAGCAGTGACTCCAGAAACTGCAGAAGACAGAGGCAAAGTTCTAAAATAAAAAAGCATTTATAGAGAGCATAATAGCACAATGAACTGAGTAGATCACCTACACATTTAGGCCTATTTGGGTGTTATTCATGTATCATTATCTCATATACCTTTCACATAGCAGTTACCAAATGGTTCAATGAAACAAGTAAAAGACAATGGCCTACAGTCAAGCACATTTATCAACAAATGAGACATACATGATCGTATATAATTTTAACAAAATCCCTATCTAAAGTGAGTTGGCACTTTCAAAGTTAAGACTAACAACTGCATAAGATACTTTACATAACTGGCATGCAGCGCTGTTCAACTCATTAGACAACATAGGCGGCTGAGGGGACCAGTTTCACTTTCCCTTGGATGCTCTACATGCTGCACTACATGCTGGGGGGCAGTGGTGATGAAGCTTTCCAGTGTCAGACACATGGACACATGGATGGATGAATGGATGGATGGATGGATGGATGGATGGATGGATGGATGGAAAATGTTAAATTATTTATATTGTTATTATTAGTTGTAACTAAATATTATCCAAATAAAAGATGAGAACCCAGTTGGAAAAAAATCAGTTGAATATCAAATTGCAGTGAAAAACACATAAAATGAAATATGGTGATATGAGCATTAGTTTGAAAAATAAAGGAGATGATTATTTTACCCATCTACTGCTCTTTTAATGAGGCAGCTTAGTGAAATGAGCTTGTGCTCACGGCTGTTTTATCTCTGTCTGCTTGTCTGGTCTTTGAAAGTGGTGCATATAAGGGGGGGTTGGATTGATTGTTAGAGAAACGGTATCTAGGCACAGAACTGCCAGGTTGTGAGGGAGGAATGAGGGGGAAGAACCATGCGACGGATTATCTGGGTGGATTAACGAGGTTTTAGTTAAACAACGTTAACTGCAGAGGGAGGGAGATCGAGATCAGCAGACAATACAATAAACACAATACACCTAAAACCTGTGGCCAAAGGGCTCTCCTGCTCACAGCCACAGCCTCACTTTACACCCATAACTTCAAAGATCTCACTATTGTTCCCCTCCCTCTGTTTTTCGAGTTGGACCAATAAGCACAGCGATGCAGTTCAAGGCTATAAACGCATCGAGTGAAGCTTCACATGAAAAACACTAGCATTCATTTGTACAGTGAAATATGCAATTTTCAAACACCCTAATGGATTATTTCTACATCCTAGTTGCTCTGTTTGTACAGTAGATATATTACAAATGAAGTACAATACTTACTATCTATAACTTATTCTAAAGAGAAAAGTGGCCAAAGGTTGTTCCTGCCAGCTGTAGTTAGGACGGGAAAACATTTTGAAAAGTTGAAACGAACGGTAGACTTTACGGAAGTTGTTTTATGTCATCAGCAGCTGTTAACAGCTAAGAACAGTAGTCTTTTTGGAGAAATAATCATGAAATCGCCTCTGAGCCATTGTGAGATAATTAACATAATGTTTCGTTTTCCTTGCCGAAACAGACAGGAGGGGTTGCTGAAGCATCCTCAGTACCCTTACTTGCTGTGCTACTGAAGCATAATGTGGTCCCTGTAGCTAATAGCCTGCACACTTTCGGTACAATTTCCAAAACTTTGCTTAAACGAGTTCCATAGTTCCATACATCAAACAGGCTTTAATCACTTTCCATAATACTCCATTTAGCTTACTGGACAGCAAATAGCTAGGCTAACAAAACCGGATGGTGGACAGATTCCATCATTCTTGTATAAATACAAGGCCACCATTTAAAAATGATCTGATAAACGCTGAGCGAGCCATTAAACAGGCTGATTGATAGGTAAGTCTTTATATGTGAAACCTTAAAATGTCCTTTCCAATGACAAAGTCCCTGCACATCTTGCTGTAGGCCATGGATACGGCCCTGTAATGCAGGGGTATGCACTGCATCATTTCTGGCCAAGATATCTTTCTAAAAAGCGATCACTGAAAAGCGTGAGCCATCATTTTGGTCTCACAGTATGTCATATTCTGATTTGCTTATTATGTGTTATCTGCCTCACTTGCATGTTGCTTTGGAAAAAAGCGTCTGTGAAATAAATAAATGTAAATGTAAATCCCTTAGCTAATACTCTTGCCAACAACTCATGTGTTTTTTGATCATGAAACTCATTTAAATACTTCATTGTGCAGAAAGTGTCATTAAGACACAATGTATAACTTGTAGTTGTGAAAAAAATCATCTATCACTTATGCATATAAGAAAGCCCACAATTAACCCATATTTTCTCCATAAGTCAGATTTAGAATAAGATTTGTCTTCAAATACTCATATTTCTAACTGTGCTCAGACACCTGAAAAGATCCCACTTGAAAATTATAATCTGATGCATCATTTGAGCACAGGGAGGGAACAGAAGGCTCGCATTTGTCTGAAAAAAGGCACAGTCATTCTTCAAAGAGAACACTTCATTTCCTGTTATTGGAAATAATTACACTGTTCAAAAAAATTAAAGGAACGCTTGGAAAACACATCAGATCTCAATGGGGGAAATAATCATGCTGTATATCTATACTGATATGGACTGGGTAATGTGTTAGGAACTAAAGGATGCCACATGGTTTGATGGAAATGAAAATGATAAACCTACAGAGGGCTGAATTCAAAGACAACCCAAAAATCAAAGTGAAAAAATGATGCGGTAGGCTGGTCCATTTTGCCGAAATTCCATTGCAGCAACTCAAAATCGTACTCAGTAGTTTGTATGGCCCCCACGTGCTTGTAGGCATGCCTGATAATGTCGGGGCATCCTCCTAATGAGACGACGGATGGTGTCCTTGGGGATCTCCTCCCAGATCTGAACCAGGGCATCACTGAGCTCCTGGACAGTCTGAGGTGCAACCTGGTGGCGTCAGATGGACCGAAACATAATGTCCCAGAGGTGTTCCATTGGATTTAGGTCAGGCGAGCATGGGGGCCAGTCAACGGTATCCATTCCTTTATCCTCCAGGAACTGCCTGCATACTCTCGCCAAATGAGGCCGGGCATTGTCGTGCACCAGGAGGAACCCAGGACTCACTGCACCAGTGTAGTGTCTGACAATTGGTCCAAGGATTTCATCATGATACCTAATGGCAGTCAAGGTGTCGTTGTCTAGCCTGTAGAGGTCTGTGTATCCCTCCATGGATATGCCACCCCAGACCATCACTGACCCACCACCAAAATGGTCTTGCTGAACAATGTCACAGGCAGCATAATGTTCTCCGCAGGTTCTCCAGACCCTTTCACTTCTGTCACATGTGCTCAGAGTGAACCTGCTCTCATCTGTGAAAAGCACAGGGCTCCAGTGGTGGACCTGCCAATTCTGGTATTCTATGGCAAATGCCCATCGAGCTC